ACCGTCGTGAAGGAAGTGAAAACAAGCGTAGTAGCGTTGATTGAATCAATGTTACGACGTCGAGGAGCCCAACATCCGTCGTACAGTTACTATCGCTCTCTGCTATAGCGTTCATACCACGTGCACGCTTTTGCAATGAGAAATAACATGTCGTGCGAGACATGGGGCGGGGAACAGATTTCCTAAGGTTCGTTTGCGCCTCCCTCTTTTTTCGAGGCATCCTGGGCTGACAGCCTCCGCACTCAGCATGTTTTGACTCGGACCACTGCGCCGCCGGCCCGCTAAGCGCCTATATACAGACTTCTCGCGATTCGTGCTTTCGAGCCGCGGCATATAGTCATATTCACATCTAGTTGACAGTGTGATATGGACACGGACTACTGATGACGCAGCTGACGTACCTGTACCTACAGCCGGCGGGGCGACTGTCGCCGAATCTGGCCGCCGAATCTGGACCGCCGTCAATATGTAATGGTGCTTCTGGTCCTGGTGAAACACAGGCAGCTCTCGCCAAGACCTCCCACACTGTGTCACCGATATCTCTGAAGATACGCAAGATTCCGATCTTCGTGAGCCTTTTGATACGTTCAGGTATGTAGCTAGGGTTTACATTGAGAGGCGGTTATTGGCAAAGGCTTCGCATTCGTTTCCTTTGATGAGCGCGCTATATGTTGAGCAGCGGGCGATGGAAAAACTAAACGGCAAATGTGATTTTGAGGCTGGACAGTGGTCATCACCTGAATTTGGGCTCTTCAACTCAGGAGAATCTCAGGTTGTTGTGACCCTCGCAGTATTCGAACCCCTCTTCTCGAACACTCTTCCACTCTCATCACAATACCGATGCACACAACCGAACTACGGCACCGCCAAAGGCGACCCATCTTTTCTCGTGGTCCTCGTATCGTCCAAGTACAGTACAGGACAGAGAGGCATGTATTTCTTTGTGTGTGTTTCCCAACGCCGTGGTTTAAATTTACTGCTCCGCCATTACCACAAAAAACACAGTAGCAAACCCAGTTGCACGCCAAGGGGTCGTCTACGATACCGCCTGCCGTCCCCTCAACGTCCACGACACCTCCCGTTCTTACTACTAGTACAGCCGCATCAGGTGCAGCGACCATGCAGTCACCTCTTTCACTACAAGCTCGCTCCGTGATGGAAAATTATCTTGTCTTTGCATCTGGTTCTTTTGTAAATTTTTCACCACGTTGTTCACGCTGAGAATGATTCCACAGCTTCCTCAATTTCAGCTTGCTCTCAACTCCATGTCATGAAGTCTTGGTTTTATTCTTCAGCAGTTATAGAAACGTGTCCTGGCTGGTGCTTACTGCACAACTTGCGCATCCATTCCTCGAGTACCTGATAGTAAGTATTCACAATACCCTGCCTCGGATTGAATCGTTCCTCCTTCGATTGTATATGCGCATTTCCTGCAAGGCTTGCTCACCTAGTTTCAACACGTTATGGTGATTGCAGCGATTTCCCACTATGTGAGTTTCCTCGAGTGCACAGGTGCTGGCCATGAATTGTCTGCTAGAGTGACATGTGATCTTTACAATCAAAACGTCTCGACCCGCTGTCTGCGCTACGACCGGCCGTATTGTCCCTGCATGCCCATCGCACTGAAACATAGGTTGCGGACAACGCAGTGCCAACCACCTCATGTTGTGACAATCATCATGTAAGTATGTAGTTACTCAGTGGAGTCACTCAAACATCTTCTCTGAGACCACTACCTTCTCGCCAACTACCCGCCAAAGTTCACTGCTTTCTGTACTTGGCTGGACTTATTCTTCATATCATCCGTCCTAGTCGAGCCACACTGTCAAGACAGCTGCAAATCAGTCGTACAGGAATGTCTTGCTGCGACTGACCCGACAGTGTCAATCTGTCGTCAATGGAATGGATGGGGATTTCAAGAACGGCCTGATCTAGCATCGAGCTCTCAGCCAGACGGCTAATGTCTTCGATTATCCTCGCGATAAGACTTTACTGACTTTCATCGTGCCCGAACGGTACCGCAGGTCAGCCAATGCGGCAAGTGTGTAACAATGCAGACAAATGATATTTTAAGTGAGTTGCCATTCTAATCCATGCTTACGATAAATACTCGTATGCAGCGTTTGAGGTTAATTGGACTGTCAGAATGTAGCACGGGTCGCGGATCTGAGTGCTTGATCTACACAGCTTCAAGTTATTGCTGTGTAGATCACGAATGGGACGAGCCTTAAAAACGCTTGAGCGAACGGGTTCCCAACTTCCTCAACTCCCAACCAGACGCCCTCCGATCGCCGGTTCGTTTGAACGTGTTGCTCGTAAGGCTACTGCGGATTCCCACAAGGATCTTTTGCGTTCTCAAGTACCGGCGCTGCACGTGCATACATTGTACCGAAGCTGTCTTGGATTGAATTCTTCTGTCTCATCAGCAATGTCTTGTGTACTCGTATTGACGACAATGAAACAGACCCGCCAACTCACTACGAACCATACTGTTTGCCTGATAATTCAAGATCCCGGCAGGCTTGTTGTGCATATATTAGGCTACAATCGGTTGCAGCGGAGCACTAAAATCTTGGGCGCCGACCATGTCTTCCTTGAACACTGAGGTACAAGAACTGTTGGTTACCATGCCACGTCAGACGTTGCAAGGTCATACCAGATGGGTGAACGGTGTTGTGCACCTGCCTGGCGGACAACGGATCATCACATTGTTCGGTGGACGGCTCACTCCGACTATGGGACCTAGAGAGCGACGCACAAATAAGAGAGAACTTGCGAGATGAGAATGACACAGGAGTGTGGTCCATGGCATTGTCTCCAAATGGCAAAACTGTTGCTAGCGGAAGTGAGGACGGGAAAGTGAAGTTATGGAACGTCGAGACGGGAGAGCTTATTGCCAAATGGTCAGTGCACACCCATGTCGTGTGTGCACTGTGCTGGAGTGCAGATGTACGGTAACAAAGTGCTGAGTGGATCCTGGGATGGGACGGCAAGAGTCTGGGATGTCGAGGGCAGCAAAACTGTCCTGACAATCGAACCTAGAGACAGGTGGGTGAACGCGGTGATATACTCGCCCGATGCAACGAAAATTGCAACCGGTGGAGACATGTATGCAGCCGACTCATCTGGGATGCCAAGACGGGCGATCGGCAGCGGCTTAAAACGCTCAGACACGGGATGAATGGAGTTTGGAGCATGTTGGATGGACCAGTTCATCCGACCTGATTAGGATATTCGACACAGCCACTTGGCAGGACTGGTCACACACAAGTTGTGGGCGCCATCTTATTGTCCTTCAATGACCGTTTCCTTGCAAGTGTATCATGGGATAAAACAGCACGTCTATGGAATCTGGACACCAACCTCCAAATCGGACCACCTCTCCAACACGAACAGGATTTACATTGTGCACCCCGTTCGACTGATGGAAAGCTGCTAGTCACTGGTTCCGAAAACAAAAATGTGTACACATGGGACATACATGCCATCCTCAAAGAAGCTGGCCGTGAAGACCTCCTTCCTTTATCTGATTTAGTAAAGCTCTTGGTTCTTCTGTGCTAATCTTCCCCTCACAGGTTGCAGCTCTGGATGTACGCGATTCGTTTCTCAATGTTCCCAATAGTTGTAACCTTGATATTTTATTTAGGCGGATGCTACGCGGGCCGAAGATGATGAACTTTCGTCAGGCTTTTTCAACAACGTAACAGATGGTGCTTATGTGCGTCATTTGCATTTCCAATTGGTTGCTGTTCTAATTTCTTGATCTCAGCCCCACGGAACGTACGGTAAATATCGCCATCCCTCTGCCTGCCGTCTCGCACCCCCTTTGGGGGGTCCGAGAGCGCTCTTCGGTCGCATGCTGGCGCCCTTTCGCCGCTCTCACTCCAACACCAATAAGTCAACTGAACTCCACCAACGCCTGAGGCGGCCCATCTTTTCTCATGGTCCTCATATCGTCGAAGTTGCTGCAGTAAAGGACAGAGGAGTATGTCTTTCTCCAGTATATCGATTTCTGTCTCATAATTTCTGTGCAGGTTATATTTACTACTCCGCCGTCGCCAGAAAAAACACAGCAGCAAACCCAATCACACGCCCAGGGGTCATCCACGACCCAGCCTGCTCCAGGTGCTAATCCTACCACGCCACGCCAAGGATATGCACATTCACTACCCGTTCGATTGTTGGCTCATCTCGTGCTTTTTCTCTGCTGCGCATCTCAACACGCCAATGGAAATGCACAATCAACGCAGCAGCAGCAGCAAGGTCAATCACAGGGTCCGGCCCAGGCCGAGGTATCGTCATCTCAGAATCGGCCTCCTGCTGCTTCGACATCTACGATACCTCCTGCTCCTGCGACCAGTCCTACCACACCAAGTGCAGCAAGCGCGTAGCCTCGACTTCTTCCACTGCGAGCTCGCTTCGTGCTGTTTCTTTGTTTGGCATTCACATGCCGATGGTCATTAATACAGGCACACAACTATTTCACATTTCATTCCAGTTCTTATGTACTCATCATTTCGCAACTACGTATATCAATCTTTCCTCGTCATGAGACTCGTACAGTGTTACAGTGTATCGAACTTGACAATACCAACCGTTGCCAGAGAAACATTCCAAGATCGATCATGTCTCCTCTGTCTGGACGTTGACATACCCTAACCGATCTCGTTCTTGTTGTGCTATAGTAGACTCGTGACCAGCCCGACTCGAGTAGATGCTCGAGTGGCGTACTATATACATAGTAGGTGTTTGCAGCTACGTAGTCCATCCAACCACTTATTCAAGCGTGAGTGCCAAACCTCGGGTAGTCGGATCATCGGATGAACAAACTAACCGTATCAAGAAATGATTTGATAACTTGAACGTACGTGTTACGGACTCGAAAACATAGTACAAGCGTCTAGCAAAATAACAACAGTCTAACCGATTCGATACACAAATGAATACTGCCCAGCATTATACATCCTATCGTCTGTCTTCTAATTGTACACGGATTCTTCTCACCGCGACAAGGAGGAAATGTTGCTACATAGCCATTTGGGTGCACGTGACTAGGAGATGAATAAAAATTCATTCATTCATTCATTCACACGTGTTTACTTTGATTCCTACTTACTAGCTTGCATAGTTGCGGCTTTCATGTAGCCATCGAGGTCCTTAGCCAGTACCCTGAGCTTATGTGAGCGTAGATGGCCAAAGAAAAATCAATTCATTCATTTACACGCCCCCTGTCTCGTTTTCACCAGATGGAAAATACCAAGACCGTCGTAGAGTCATGGTGTCTCCGAGCTGATGATCTACTAGGCGAGGGAAGCTTCGTACGCCCATGCTGTCCTCTGTTATTCTATGCCTGACATTCTCTTAGGGACGGGTGTACAAGGCCACTCGATTAGTCACCGGTCAGATCATGGCTATCAAGAAATCCCGAGCATCTCTTGCACTCAAAACCACCATCTTGGATCATGAGCGACGGGTTCTGCAGCGTCTGCAGGGGCACCCTTCCATTCCAAAAGTCTTCGCCTATGGACGATTAGAGCATTTCGAGTATCTTGCTATGCAGCTCCTCGGGATGAACCTTGGTGAAGTGCGAGCACGCCGTCCTCTACAGGCAGTAAACACCTTAATGGTCGCTGATCAGATGGTATGTAGCACGAGTCATCTCTAGTCCATTAGTAGGCTCATACTGACCTTGCGCTAGATCTCGGCTCTCGAACACATACACAAGAACAAACTTGTCCACTGCGACATCAAACCCGGGAACATCATCCTCCACCCCACCGATCCCAAGTGCTTGTATCTGGTCGACTTTGGGCTCACCCGGGCTATTGCACATGAGGCCCAACCCAACCTCTCTACGGATGAACCCCTAACATCGCATGCCATTGGTACGCTGGAGTACGTCAGTTTGAACGTCCATCGTCACATTCGCAAGTTGGCCCGGTATTATATGCTTCCCTCTTACCTGACAGGACTGTAGGATCAGCTCCGCGTGACGATATAGAATCTCTTGGCTATACGCTCCTCAGTCTTGCTCGGGGAGACCTTCCGTGGACATACAACACTCGACATGGAACAAGCAAGAATCAGGAAGTTCAAGTCCGGATCAAAAAGCAGCAATTTAGCGGTGCTGACATGGCCCCCGATGGACTTCCTTGCATTGGTCAAATGGTTGACTACGCACGCAGCTTGAAGTTTGATCAACTACCAGACTACGAGCTGCTGCGCTTGCAAATACAAGAAACCCGTGCACTGGCTGGCTTGCTGGATCCTGCTACAATCAACTGGAATATTCCGGCTGAGGCTTCGTCAGGTCTGCTGATTTTCACTGAACATCTTTCTTTCGACTGAGCGCTCCTCATAGACTCTCCGTCGCTTCCCCGTATATGCGTGGACACCATTCCCCTCTGCCCTGGACAAATTGTATGCTGCCAAATCGATGTTCGCACAACTATTGAGGGCTACAGCGCTCGAGCGGGTGATCCATTGTTCTGGCGGGATCCCAGTCTCTCCCCTGAAAAATGGGACACAGCGGTCCGCCCTGCGGTTGTTCTCCGAGTTGGAATAGACGAACGAAGCAAGCTCCAGAGTATTGTAGTCGTCTGTATCGGACAAGGAGTCCTCTCTTCCACTGACATGAATGTTGTTCCCATCTCCTCCTCGCCTACTGAGGGCAGTTTGACGCCGAGTCCCGCTTGGCCGCTCTCTGACTCCTACTGCTACATATTTCCTCGGCTGATGCGATTTGTGTGCTACCCGGGCGAGGAACTTCATATTCCCTCTCGTACTTAAACCAGCCAAGCTGATTTGATCTATCTAGGTCCAACCTGTTCCTTCTCACTGGACGATCAGCAAAACCGACGTCGATCTCCTCCTCCAGAAGTTTGGTAATCACACCTTCGCACACACGTTACCGTACCTGGACCGATATATTGCTTACCAACATCCTTTTGTCAAGATCACTGCATTTGGCCCGGATTTTTCTCGTGGTAATGGGGAAGGCATGCCCATCGAATGGGGAGGACGCAGAGCATGGTACGACGAGTGGCAAACTGTCAAAAAGCGTCGCGAGGAACTTGACCTTGACCAGGGCTCGAGTGATTATAAACGCGCTCTGCCCGAAAGTTATTTCGCCTCGGACCTTTCGCAATGGGGGGGTTTACAGATGGAACTGAGCTCATCTGTGACGGCGGGTGTGGATGACAGTGACGCTGGGTTGCCTCTGCTGCCCCTGATCGTTGATGTCGAGATGTCTCGCGATGTGCGTTTCATGAGAGCTTTGTGATGCCATACTGTACAATGTGCATGCCAACCTGCAATTGATACTTTCAATTCCGAACTCCTTAGTTGGGTTTTGTCGGCAAGAAATCTGTCAAAGTTTACTGCCGAAAGGGTAGCTGGACTTAACGTGTAAATGACATTGTGATGAATGCGAACGCTACACAAAATTTAGTTGGTCTACTGGTAACAGTAATTCCGTATCTAATGTTTCTGATGCAATAGCGATAAGCTACTCGCTGTGCGGCACCTCAGGCTTGAGCAAGGACGATTAGATTGATCCATCAAAACCAAAGGCAAAAGATAACATAGGTAACACGAATCTAAGCCGGTGCTATATACACCACGACATATATAGGCATACTAGAAATGTTGTGGACGGACTGGAAAGGGAGAGGTAGGCTTGATGAACTCAGGCACTCGGGCCCGGGGTGAATGTAAGTAGGACAGACTGCCGCACGCGCATAACCGCTACACAAAAGGTAGAATGCTGAAGCTTAGCCAGCAACAGTACATGTACTGATTATGGGAACTCAGGTACTAAGCCGACGTGCTCACCGTGAACTTTAAAAGAACATGCTGTACGATGCACGGCGGCCATCATGAAGAAGAGTAAATATATGAGACGCGCCCATACCTGTGCCCTTCATCACTCTTCGTCCTTCCTAGCATCCTGGCAAGACCAAATCCCATGTAAGCATCACGCACGGAGAAACCGACTACTGATTTGAGCAGCAAAGTGCAACAGCTTTCGAGCGAATGAGAGTTTAAATTGACCCAACGACAAGCCTAGCCTTACAGAGCACAAGAAGAACTCACCGAACACATCCATTAACTGACATCTTCTGGCCAATGTAGCTGTGATGGCTTCCAGCTCGATGCAACCCGATACAACAGAAAACAAATCGATTCTGACGCCAGTCATAACCTTGGAGGGACATCAAGCATGGAAATATTCTTCTCGCGAGTACAAAGATATTTCGTGGATTTCCTAGTATTCTCCTGACGGCAAGCACTTAGCAAATGATCAGCGGAACGGGGGATAAGACGATTCAGCGATGGGACCTGCGGGAGGGTAAGGAGATTGAGGAGTCTCGGGAGGTTTGCAAGAATGGTGTCACGTGTATATGAATTGAGGGTATCAAGGGACATGGTCGATGGGTTGTGACTCCGAGTCATGCATAAGCACTTGAGTGCCAACTCTCTCGAACCTGATACACTGATGAACAGACTAACCATCAAGAAATGATTTGATAACTTGAACGTACATGTTACGGACTCAAACATAGTACAAGCGTCTAGCAAAATAACAACAGTCTAACCGATTCGATACACAAATGAATACTGCCCAGCATTATACATCCTATCGTCTGTCTTCTAATTGTACACGGATTCTTCTCACCGCGACAAGGAGGAAATGTATGCAACTTCGATGGGCGGCGTAACCTTAATATCTTTGTGGTCGTACTCATATGCGCCGTTTGTGTGGTTGGCTTGACTCTGTTTCTGCGCAACGAGCGCACAGAGGGCGGCTGGGACACATTCAGAATGGAGACCAAAGAGCTGAATTGGTTAGACCTACCACCTGCACCGCTCCCATCCTTGGCCATACCAATATCGACACGGCTTTCCACCTCGGGACCAACAAGCGCTCGTAACGACGCTCGCAGCTTGGTTTGGAAGTTAGGATAGAATTCGACCAAGCTTATCACTTCCTGGTTAGCAAAAACTGAATAGAAAAGGCACCACTCCTACCTTCCATCTACCCCGACACCGATCCTTTTGCCTTCGTCCTTCAGCCCGACAGAACTTTGCTCCCCGCGGTCCCACAAGCGTGCACGCCCAGTATGAACCAGTATAGCAGCTACAGCCGTTGCGCTCATGCGTGCAGCCCTCGATGCTATCAGATTGCACACTTGTCTGACGATGTCCGCATCCGCGAGGGAAATGTCAGGCGGGGACAACTCTAGTCGGTGCGCCAGTATTCCTTGTATCCGCCGTAACTTTTCCCCCTTTTGAGCTTCTGGGGAACCTTGTTCTGGTGGAGAGAACCGCCCAAGACCTTCCCATGCCTCTTCGATCTCGCTGAGAACTGCAGTGTCCAGTCCCCATTGCTTATTCAGTGGAACCGAGGATCGACCTCTGAAGAGGAGGGGTTGCGGAGCGGCATCAATCAAACTAAGAATCACGTTTCGGGTGATCTCCCCCAAATACATTCCCGAAATGAATTTCTCGAAGGCCTGGAAACGTGGGTTGATAGATTCGCGGTCCAGCTTATTGTCATATGGAGTCGTTGGCAAGGCACTTCGCTGCAGTTCGCCATCAGTAATCAAAGTGATGGGATAAAAGAAGTTAATTCACAGAGTTGTTGAAAGCGCCCCACTCGGTGTTCACGATCATTTCACCACCTGCGGCAACTGTAGGGTTCTGGCTTAATTTCGTAATCTTGGCAACATCCTCGACATAAGCCCCATTAGTTCCTGTTCCAAAAATAGCACCTAGAATGCATCCGCCAGACGTGTATGCCCGCGAAAGAAGAGCTCCAACGGTCTGTGATGGGAGGTCTCTCATCAGTACATACGGTCACGTGCAAAATTAAGATCTGCAGATGAAGGAATATTGACTGACGTCGTTGACGAGAGCTACACACTTGACATGAATGTGTTTCCGGTCAAACGCGTCTTGAAGAAGTTTTACGACGTCCTTTCCAATGGCATTTTTTGCAGAGAAACCTTTGGTCCAGGTGAGGAGAACACCTGAATCGAGGGCGGATTGTTCCACAGGGAATGAGAAGGTGAGGGCCAGGGGAACATATGAACTGTCCTCGTCAGCGTGAGATACGTGAGAGTCGTAGTCTTGGGAGGGGGTGTCCGTGAGGAAGGCATCCACGGAGTCGGCAAGGTAGTCTGGGAAAATATTAAACGACAATGGCGAGGGAAAGAACAAAGGTCGCACCGAAAAGAGTGGTCACCTCACCGGTCTTGAGGGCCTCAGAGACTTTGTATTTTTGCTGCCGGAGGGAGAAGGTCTTGTCTCCGAGCAGAGTGACCTCGCAAACGCGACTGACAATCCATAAGCAAATGAAAAGATGATAGAGTTTTGTACTCACAGGTTTGTCCCACCAAGATCGAGGGCAAGGAACGTTCTAGGATACTCAGTCAGGTGCAGCAATAGGTGGGGTAATCCACATACCCCGTTTCGGAGCCATCTGGGACACCATTCACGAAGGTCGGACTATCTGACAATTATATCAGGAACAAGACACAACTTGGAAGCAGGGAAACGTGCATCATCGCCATGGGACGACCATAACTGGATAAACCATCGGAAATTTCTGATAGAAATGTTTGAGTGATCTTGAAGAGACGCTGATCATCGATAGTGAATTGGTTGTAGAGCGACTCGAGGATATCCTCCTTTGCGCTGCCATGAAGCGCGGTGGTGTGTGACATGGCGGGACAGGAGAGAAACGGACTGGTTAGCGCGAGACAGTGTGAGTAGTCTAAGATAAGCTAATAAACCCCCTTTTAAGTAAGAATACGCTATTGGACACTGACTACTAACTCTCTTCCACCAATCCTCGCTCAAATATCAATCATATCCCTCAGTTTACTGTACAATCCGCGGTGATCTCGTTCCCCGAGAATCTCGGTTCCCCAAGTCTCACCGAGTCAAACACAGTCTGTAAGGCGTCTATTAGACCAGCTTTCGGAACTAGTTCGGTCGCGCGAGGTTGATATATCTACAGAGCGTTTATCGATGCGGCATATCATCGGCCCGTGTCCAACTTATCAGTCGCACATCACCGAGCAAGCATATCAAGCTCATCTGCCTCACTTTCTGAGAGGTTTCGACTGAAAAAGATTATCTCCATGTAATATTACCACCATTATGTAGTTAAAGTCTGGTCAGAGAACATAATAAATATACTGGTATCCTTTTCTGGATGAGTTCGCTTTGTTAGGCAAGACCATGTGCGTGTCGTGGTCAACATATCACGCCCATGGCTATCGACGGTTTGATTATCCTAGATCCAACGGGGTATGCTTCATCATCTCTGCTCATTGGTTACCATAATCACAAGATTTCGCATACAGACGTCCCATCATTCAATCCAGTTACACCACTTATCCCGCAGCGTACCCCTTACTGCACATCGAAGCGTTAAACAATGCGCTAGCAAAGGCTCCCCGCGAGGGTAGCGTAGACCCGGTTATCTACGTCGGAGAGCTATCGTGTTCCAGTGCATGCTGCCATGTCGAAGTTGGTGGGATGAGATTCCTTGCGACCATCAGTGGAGACGGTGAGTGGTCAGCGGTTCGGTCATGAACGGCGCGTTCGGGCTTGTCTCTAACAATACTCTATCAGTGGATCCCCTCATCGCATTCGCCTTTCTCGACGCCTTCATTGAAATACTCCAAGACTATTTTGGCGTAGTCAGTGTTGCAACTCTCAAGGATAACTTCGACATCGTATATCAGGTTCGTGGACGTGTTCTTACTCTTGATGCCCACTCATATCGAATATGTATGTGTCTACTCGCAGCTTCTCGAGGAAACGCTTGATTCGTCTGGCCACCCACTGACAACCTCACCGAACTTGTTGAGCGATATAGTACTCTCGCCTTCCTTAATCTCGAAGCTTCTTGCCTCGGTATCGCCAGCTACTCCAGGAGTTCCAAGCGTGAGACAAGGAGGTCAGTCACATATTTCATTTGCAGTTAAAACTGCGTTAACATCCTCTCGATAATACAGGTTCTTTCGGTTCAAATGGTGCCAGTGGAGCTTTTACATCGCCGATACCATGGCGCAAAGCTGGGGTTCGGCACAACCACAACGAGATCCTTTTTGATGTCGTTGAAGAAATGCGAGGCATCGTCGGCAAGTACGCTCGAGGTTTATATCAGCCTGTCTGTGCTGTTGAAATCGTTCAAATACAGGAATGGTACGACGTTAGTGAGCAACGTTTTCGGCAAAATTGAGAGCAACTCAAAACTTTCCGGGACACCCGACTTGACGTTGACATTCACGAATCCCAATGTGATGACGGACTGCGCATTTCATCCATGTGTGCGGTGAGTGGTCTTGCGAATCTATCATCCTCGCACTGAACAGTCATTCTTAACTCAACTTTAGGTTACAGAAATGGACCCGCGACAATGCCTTATCTTTTGTACCTCCTGAGGGGCGATTCATTCTCGCAGACTATCAGTATAGACCACCACAAAGCGCGCTTGTCAGCAATGTGCCTATACCACTGTCTCTCAAAGCGAATATGGACATGGGAGAGTTTGGCGGTAAAATTGATTACTGATGTTTCAAGTCATAACTGACACTGCGCAGGAACATTCGCACTCACCTTAACCTCGCGTTTGATTAAAGTAATGGAGAATCTAGAACTGAAATTCTATCTCGGAGAAGATGCGACCAGCGCGCAGTGTACACTGTCAAGTGCGGGTTCTAGCGTAGGATCTGTGGGAAGCGCAGATGGATCATGGTCATTTAATTCGAGAACAAAGGTATGCTTTGCCGGTGGTTCGTGCTGTCCAAAAAATCACTCCCTTTAGATGCTCCAATGGGAGATTCTCAATATGCGGTCTTCGGGGAGCTGGATTCTTCGAGGTTCATGGACTTCAAAGTAAGGAGCTTCGAAATAACTTTCACGAACGTGTGATGCTTATAGTTGCCCAGAATCAAGGCCCCGCGTCCAGCACACGCGTTCCAAATACATTTCGAGATACCCTCCTACAGCTTCTCTTCGCTTAAAGTCGATCAGTTACGGCTCTCAAGCGAGACGTACAAGATGTACAAGGGAGTGCGGATGCGCAGTAAAGGGTCGATCGAGTGGAGATGGTAGCCAGCTTAGGACCCTGGCTAATTTGTGTATTTCCAAGAGTTGCATCGTGCAGACTTAGACTGTACGAGTCCTCTGAGAGCTGGCACAGTTGCTTTTGTGACGAGTTGCTTTGTTCACAGCAGTAAGTTCTCGAATACTTACATATGAACATCTCCAGCATTCCAACGATAATATTGGGGCGGACACAGGCTCCGACACTTTCTCGGGAGTAATTATGCTCGGTAAGCCAATCTGCTTCCATTGTGAGAGCTGCCTCATCGTCACGGAACAGTGCCGGATCGTATTTGATTCGTCGATTGAAACAAGATGGTCAGCCTATAAGATGAGAAGCGATATACCAGCGACATATCCCCGAAATTGATTGCTGCCGGGTAAAAGAGTTCGGCGCGCAGCCGCATACCTCCTTCAAATCAGCCAAGTGATCATGCATGATGATAAGTCTCCCGTGTCGGACCTTGAAATAAGGGAAGGCAGTCATTCCTTCTTGTTCAGCATAACCCAAACTCTGACATTCTGTCATAAAGATCTGGTCGGCAGATGGGTCTATAGAAAGAACGGGCCTGGGACGATTTGGTGAATTTTGTGATTTCTTGTCCTGATACCCTCTAACTGGCCCCGGTTTGATTTTGATCTCAATGAGGAACATGTATTGACATGATGTAAAAGAGAACAGTGAGCAGAAAAAGCAGGCGAAGATGTTACTTGCTCAAGGACGTGCTGGCTAATTCAAATTAATCTTATCCCCACCAAACAACCAAGCAAGATTTTCACAAGCCGGCGTTCGGCGAGTCTCGAGCATACCTCGTTCTTGTCAACCACAAGGCGTCTGTGAGCATACTTTTGTTCTACCTTGATGTATTTGGTAACCATAAACCTTTGAGTGGCATTTATCTGTGTCACTATGCCTGCAGTTTCGAAGCTTGTGCCAGAGGAGACTGTATTCTTCCTCTGCGACGTGCAGACACGTTTCAGTACGCTTCATTCTGAATCTACTGCGAATCGCTGAAATCAACCGTCGTGCCATTCTCTCAGAAAATCTCATATTCGGTATCGATGAACTGGTGTTGACGATCAACAAGATGCTCAAGGTTGCTAAGGTATAATGTGCGTGTCAACTTTATCATGCCTTGACTCACATAAAATCATAAGGTGTTGAATATCCCTGTGGTTGTCACGGAACAGAACCCCAAAGGTGAGTCTATTCTCGTCCCTTGTCTTCAAACTCAAGTCACCGAAAAACAAAGGCCTCGGAAGCACCATCCCGGACATCGATTTACCTTACCTAGGGCCCCTCCTCGTTGCTACCATCGAGAAAGGGCTCTTCTCCATGATGACGCCGGAAGTAAAGACCATACTGCATGAACGCCCGCAGATAAGATCTATGGTGCTTTTTGGCATCGAGGTTGGTGTACTTTACAACGACTGGCTCATTAGTAACATCGCTCGATTCAGTCACAAGTTTGCGTATTACAATCTGCTCTAGATTTCATCGAGGCGGGATATAATGTCCACGTGATAGCAGATGGTGTGTCTAGCTCTAATAAAGAAGAGATTCCATTTGCCCTGGCACGGATTCGACAGAGTGGTGGATACATCACTACGAGCGAGAGTGCGGCTTTTCAATTGCAACGTGCGCTTTTCATTCTAGACTATGGGGTCCCAGGCCCACTCATTGGTTTTAGGGGATGCTGGTGTTCCCGGGTTCAAATCGTTCTCAAACGTTATGAAGGAAGAGAAGGATAACACGGAAAGAACGTTGCAGAAGCTGTTGCAACACCGCGCTGTCTTGTAGACTATGATTTCCCTGCAGTGATTTGCCATGATTGCGTATCATATTTTCCCACTCCAGAGAGGATCTGGAAGAGCTTTACACTCCGGCAGATCTTGAGGCACTCAAAAGTACGTGCATCAAGGGCTAATAAATATAAGAACTTACGCATGTAGTATCGAGTGATGAACGACACAGATCAACTACGTCAATGATAGTGTTAGTAGTGGTGAGTTCGAGAGACCATGTTGGATGTCCATTGAAAATGTCAATTGATGCGCACATTAGCAGCAATTAAAATTCCTGCCTCGACTGCTACAGCCGCTATGCACGTAATGCAGACTTCGGCAATATTAATCAATATCGATGATACTCGAGCGAATGACGAAGCACGAATCAGGGCTTGAAATCACTTCTTACGTCTCTTCAAGTTAGTCAATATCATGTATTCAAGTCACGAAATCAAAGGCGCTTCCATTGTATATGAAGCAGGGAAAATTGTTCAGACTCCAGGAACAACTACATTGACCAAGTCGGCAACGAACTATATATTGTGCCATCAGTACAGCACTAATGCGAAAGCAGAAATACGATTCACCGTCCAGATGTGCTCATAGACGGGTTTCCAGCCATCGGTAAGTAGTCTTAGTTGCAGACTGGTTGAGCGCCACGCTATTGACAGCAAGGGGTGGTGAGCAACGGGGTTGAATCCTGGATGCAAAACAAACAACTCATACTCACCGCCATCGGAGCACAGATACCACTGCAGCAATCAGTCCTCTTGGTGCAGAGCTTTAAAAAGGACTTGCAGTCGGTCTTTGCAGCGACAGACACACAAGCTGCTAAGGCAGTAACGACTACGAGGAACGAGAAATGCATGATTTATGCGAAGCGATACAAGCTTTGTAAAAGGGACTCTGAGCTACTGAGGCAGACGAAGCTTGCATTAATACACTGAAAATATTATTGTGGGAAGAACTTCCAAGAGGTTCTACTGCTTTGGGAGATTGGTTCAACGCGCCTGGATGGCGGGACTTCACAACGGATAGTTTAGGATGAATTTATTGGAATCCCGGAATCAGAACCGGCCTTGTATGCATATCTCTCCAGCTGATTCATCGTCGGCCACGTCATCTAAAAAGAATGAAAGCCCGAGTATCCAGTCTACATCGTTAATAATCTCGTTTAATAACATGAATAGTATGAACTAGACGAGAATGACTCACACAGTAGAGACCTCGCGAAGAAAACTACAAGACAGCGCGATCCAGCAAAACCTGCTCCAGCTGGTTGTCGTCGTTCGAAGTCCTCCCCTCCTGGCTGCGTTTCTCCATTGTCTTTCATCTCGAATGACGTTCGTGACAAGCTCCAAGTAATTCAGTGCAAGTGTCGACGGTCCCCGGAAAACCGCCACATTGACGAAGGCCAGAATCCACCTCTGCACAATGAGGCCCCGATTTGGTCCACTCACATCTTCACTGACACCGTGACCCGGAACGGTATACCAGATGAAATTGGACTGCGAGCTGAACATGAACGTCCACATCAGTACGGTGAGCGGGGACGGGTCGAGGTTGTAGAGTTTATTCAGATGTACATGACGAGCGCAGCCGATCCAGATATACTACGATGACCTCCGAAAGGGAACATATGACTTTCCGGATGCTAGGTGAGCACGCCATGCCGAGGGTTGTGTGTTGACGACAGCTACTGCAGAAACTCCATGAGTGACTACGTGACAGTGCCTGTAGTGATGCAGCGGCAGCGGATTATACCCATAGAGACTACTCCAGTAAGAGTATAACTGCGACTTGTCAGACTGTCACAATCGTAGAAAGCTGAATCAGTTCTAGCCTCAGCGGTGAACGTCCCATAAGAGTCAAAGCCATCCTGACGATTTGGGAGTGCACCGTACGCAGTAAGTCTGGAAGGACGCCAATGATCGTTGAATTGGAAGAAATTGCTATGAGAGAGAACGTAAAACCCGCTTGCTAGCCATTTGGGTGCACGTGACTAGGAGATGAATAAAAATTCATTCATTCATTCACACGTGTTTACTTTGATTCCTACTTACTAGCTTGCATAGTTGCGGCTTTCATGTAGCCATCGAGGCACTTAGCCAGTACCCTGAGCTTATGTGAGCGTAGATGGCCAAAGAAAAGTCAATTCATTCATTTACACGCCCCCTGTCTCGTTTTCACCAGATGGAAAATACCAAGACCGTCGTAGAGTCATGGTGTCTCCGAGCTGATGATCTACTAGGCGAGGGAAGCTTCGTACGCCCATGCTGTCCTCTGTTATTCTATGCCTGACATTCTCTTAGGGACGGGTGTACAAGGCCACTCGATTAGTCACCGGTCAGATCATGGCTATCAAGAAATCCCGAGCATCTCTTGCACTCAAAACCACCATCTTGGATCATGAGCGACGGGTTCTGCAGCGTCTGCAGGGGCACCCTTCCATTCCAAAAGTCTTCGCTTATGGACGATTGGAGCATTTCGAGTATCTTGCTATGCAGCTCCTCGGGATGAACCTTGGTGAAGTGCGAGCACGCCGTCCTCTACAGGCAGTAAAAACACCTTAATGGTCGCTGATCAGATGGTATGTAGCACGAGTCATCTCTAGTCCATTAGTAGGCTCATACTGACCTTGCGCTAGATCTCGGCTCTCGAACACATACACACGAACAAACTTGTTCACTGCGACATCAAACCTGGGAACATCATCCTCCACCCCACCGATCCTAAGCGTTTGTATCTGGTCGACTATGGGCTCACCCGGGCTATCGCACGTGAGGCCCAACCCAACATCTCTACGGATGAACCCCTGACATCGCATGCCATTGGTACGCTGGGGTACGTCAGCTTGAACATCCATCGTCACATTCGTAAGTTGGCCCAGTATTATATGCTTTCCTCTTACCTGACAGGAATGTAGGATCAGCTCCGCGTGACGATATAGAATCTCTTGGCTATACGCTCCTCAGTCTTGCTCGGGGAGACCTTCCATGGACGTACAACACTCGACATGGAACAAGCAAGAATCAGGAAGTCCAAGTTAGAATCAAAAAGCAGCAATTTAGCGGTGCTGACATGTCCCCAGATGGCTTACCTTGCATTGGTCAAATGATCGACTACGCACGCAGCTTGAAGTTTGATCAACTACCAGACTACGAGCTGCTGCGTTTTCAAATACAGGAAACTCGTGCACTAGCTGGCTTACCGGACCCTGCTACAATCAACTGGAATATTCCGGCTGAGGCTTCGTCAGGTCTGCTGATTTTTACTGAACGTATTTTTTTTCGACTGAGCGCTCCTCATAGACTCTCTGTCCCGTCCCCTTATATGCGTGGATACCATTCCGTTCTGCCCTGGACAGATTGTATGCTGCCAAATCGATGTTCGCACAACTATTGAGGAATACAGCGCTCGAGCGGGTGATCCATTGTTCTGGCGGGATCCCAGTCTCTCCCCTGAAAAATGGGACACAGCGGTCCGCCCTGCGGTTGTTCTCCGAGTTGGAATAGACGAACGAAGCAAGCTCCAGAGTATTGTAGTCGTCTGTATCGGACAAGGAGTCCTCTCTTCCACTGACATGAATGTTGTTCCCATCTCCTCCTCGCCTACTGAGGGCAGTTTGACGCCGAGTCCCGCTTGGCCGCTCTCTGACTCCTACTGCTACATATTTCCTCGGCTGATGCGATTTGTGTGCTACCCGGGCGAGAAACTTCATATTCCTTCTCGTATTTAAACCAGCCAAGCTGATTTTATTTATCTAGGTCCAACCTGTTCCTTCTCCCTGGACGATCAGCAAAACCGACGTCGATCTCCTCCTCCAGAAGTTTGGTAATCACACCTTCGCAGACACGTTACCGTTGCGGGACCGATTCATTACTTTCCAATATCCCTTTGTCAAGATCACTGCATTTGGCCTGGATTTTTCTCATGGTAATGGGGAAGGCATGCCCATCGAATGGGGAGGACGCAGAGCATGGCACGACGAGTGGGAAACTGTCAAGAAGCGTCGCGAGGAACTTGACCAGGCGAGCGATTATAAACGCGCTCTGCCCCAAAGTTATTTCGCCTCGGACTTTGAGCAATGGGGAGGTTATCAGATGGAACTGAGCTCATCTGTGACGGCAGGTGTGGATGACAACGGTGACACTGGGTTGCCTCTGCTGCCCCTGATCGCTGATGTCGAGATGTCTCGCGATGTGCGTTTTACTATGTAAAGCTTCGTGATGCCATACTGTACAATGTGCATGCCAACCTGTAGCTGATACTCTCAATTCCCAACTTTCTGGTTAGTCGACTTGGGGATGTCTTCAACTTATGTGATTACGTGATCCACACACGTGAAGTACTCCGAGGAGGTCGCGATGCCAAGCGAACACCGTACGTAAGTTCAATTATTGTGCAATATCTCTACCCCTGCATCAATTACCCACTTCCCAGCGCCGACTCCTGGCAATGGCAGACACAGGAAAAGTTCATCGCCGCAGATCAAACTTCATAATAGCTCATGACACAACAAGCTGTATCGTCGCGATGCGATAGGCATTACGCATCTGTCATTCCAATCCTGCCGCACACATTTGTATCGTCATGGTCCACTCGGAAGCCACCGAGTCCAGAGACTTTATCACTCATAAAGCACCCCGACGGCCCACTGTCAAACAACAGTGACCTTTCTAAAAACTATCTGGTGAGCGCCTTCATTCAAACATATAATGCTATTAATCTCGTCAAGAAAAATCCTACATTGGCAGTACATACCTTGCATAACTGAGCTGGATGCGCTTCAAGTTGCAGACAGGCACTCAAGCATGTAAGTGCAATGGGTGGATCATTGGTGGTCTGGTTTCTCATTCACCCCCTTGCTAGGTCTCCTACTAGTACTGATGCACGCTGTCCAAAGGGTAGCTGGACTCAACTTCACTCAATGTCTAATTGACATCGTGACGAATGCGAACGCTACACAAAATTTAGCTGGTTTACTCGATGGCAACGGAAATCCCATATCTAATGTGTCTGATGCGACAGCGATAAGCTACTCGCTGTGCACCTCAGTCTGTGGGACCGGACGGGAACCTTTTCAGTGGCCCGTATTTTCGCAAGATTTCAGCACATGGTTACTGCCAAACCTTGCACTGATCTCGCAGCTCCCCTTTGGGGCACAGTACAGGCTCGACAATCTCATGTCTGCTGTGTTAACTGTCGGGTCACCGGTACTCGCTGGTTACTCTTTATTCATCACCCTCCTCAATTCTCGCTGGATCACCCGCCGATTTAATCAATCGGTGGACTATCCCAATTCAGATTTCGCAGTCTCTATCTTGAGCAGCCTTCAGCAAGTTCCGCTAAGACTCCATCCCGGTCGTTTCCCCTCTCTTATCGTCCTGCCTGAAAATGGCTGCTGGTGGAAATGGTTCTCTGAATTTGTGGACTACACACACACATGGTCAATTGCGTCCGCGACGTCCGTCGCCTGGGTCGTTATCGCCTATATCATGAATGTAATCAACTCACCAGCGGACGTTTACACAAGTTCTCATTCCGACGGCGACGCCACTGGTTCACTGTGGCTGTGGTTGATCCCAATAGTCGTTGGATGGTTGCAACTCTCCCCCAAATGTGATTTTCGTCGCTTACAAGCGGCTTATAGCCATGCAGACCAGCATGCACACATAGGGCCAGCAGGTGCTTATATGGGAACGTCAAGTGCATCCGCCCGAAGAGCTTTAACAATAACTGCTCGGGAGAAGGATGTGATGTCTCCAGACGAGCTCCTTACCCCTCCAGTGTTTAATTACTCACGTTCGTTGCGATGGGCATCAACAGCTGACACTGTCTTCCTGATGTTCGAGATGGCATCAGAGAAGGCTCAAAACTGCATTCCCGTTACTTTGGGAAGTGATTGGGTCGAGTCCGACACCTCTGATACCATCCACCCCAGCAATCGACGTGGGTCACCCAGGAATATCGTCGCGTACTGCACCGAGCCCCACGGTGTACCTCGCAGCCATTGGGCACCCGGTGTGTTCACAAGAATGGCCATCGCTTCGTGTGCTTCGCTTGTATTACAGTGGGGAACAGTCGGGGCAGCGTTCATGATGGCATGGTTCACCCCTACTACAGTGCGTTTTTTCGACATACGTGATGTGTGGTCAAGTTGGCTAACTTCAGGCAGCGCATGGGGTGTCGATCTCTGAGTTACCTGCTGTTTGGAGTCACATCGACCTTAATTTGGATGATGCTCCTGATGTCTAGTATCCTCGCGCACTACTCCGCAGGTTATTCCCATCGAAGGGTACTGTCTGCACGCGTTGCTTTGGTGCTGTCGCACTGGCTGCGATGGGCGGGCAAAGCATTAGCAGTTGCAAACTCTATATGGCTGGTGTTGGCGTGCGCGTTCGTGTATTCCAGCTTCTACAATACATGCTTCTGCAATTCTAGCGTGGTCAGTAGGGGAGAGGCTGCATACAATGTGATCATTGAAACTGCAGCCCAAGCTGCACAGCTTAGGGTTGCCTGGATCGGCGGTCTTATCGTGGCATGTACCTCATCGTTATTCTTCCTTGGTCTCATGAACCTTTTATTGGATACAGTTCTGTCGTAGGAACATATCTTGGGCGCAGATTGTGTGCTTTATTTCTTATTTCTTGATTTGTTTAATGGGAGGGCTAGTTGAAGGGGTATCTTGTCCGACGTTGCATGCCATGATGGTGTGTGATGTTCGTACCGCACATGAACGTTAACTGTGTTGCATCATCCTCAGCTGTCTGAGCCACGGTACTAGCCCAGAAAATTCCTGGACATTCGTGGTGCCTGTCGTCATCATCATGGTTGTTAGCCCTGGTGTTATCATGATGCACAGCATAGTACTTGATTCCCGCTTGAGCAACCATCCTTCTATCAGATTGACCAGAGCCCGCTCGGTCGTACCTGGCTCAGAATGGGAGCCACTTGTGAATAACCGATCAAGCTTAAGGTCAAAAAACACACTGTCATTCCCTCACCCTTACAGGTTGACTAACGGCACGAGGCTCGTCGTCTGGCATCAGGAAACGTGTCTTATGCTTTAAAAGTCTACCTGATACGTACCATATGTCATTCTCAGGTCAATTGCCTGATGGTATAAAGTGACACCCATGAGAACGCGAGAACTCTCAAATCATGCTGATAGTATATTTCATACGGGACTACATCAGGACAACTTGGAAGTGCGCTAAGATGTATGACGAATCTGGCGAAGAAGGCTGTATACCATCGGAACGATCTCTGGCAGGTATTAATCATACAGGTCTAGCGAAGATCGTTGTCAGTATAATGGAGGTGTGATACCGAGCATTATCTTCATTTGCTACGTTCTTTGATGATCTTCACACCAGGTAATATGCATTTACAAAACATGGATGGCTTAACGACTTGTGGTTGAGTGTTGAGTATGGGTAGCGATGCCGAAGGTGTGGTATCGGCGTCCGTAGAAAGCCCTAGATGGGTAGGAGGTTCCGCATGGGTGGTAGAACACCGAACGATTGGGCCTGCGGGATTTTTTGGAAAAGAGAGAACCTCCAAACCACGACACTGCCTTGAGGCCGAACTTAACAACGCAGCCAATGTCGGTGGTTTTGGTTGTAACGAATTAAATGAATTAGTGGTGCTTGATTCCATCTGGCGTAACTTTGCCTTCATCGTAATCGTGTTGATATCGGTACTGACAATTCAAAGGTAAGTTGATAGGTACCCTTCTGAACATAAAACTCACCCTTTAGACCGAGTATGAATTCCACTTCTTCATCGTACTCACGATAGTCGGCCGCGCATCACCCTGCCCACCTGGTTCGAGCGGAGCTTGATAAGCAAAGTAACTGCCAGCTTTCGACCTCGCAATAGCTTTCCGTTGATGCTTTTCCAATACCGTCTAGGCATCCTGGTGCATGTCATCGGTCAGTGAAGCTGTCAATGACTGGAAAGAACAATATTAGAGTTTGGCCAAATTTTGGCAGTCTACTATGGTGACTTTCGTGAATCACACAAATGTCACAGATAGTCACGGACAGCACTTGCCGAATTTAACAATCCGTTCGGCAAGACCAACATTAAAAGTCACATATATATGATACTGAAATTTCTAGTATAAAGTCTCGAGTAGAGACGTATTCGCATCTCAGTTCTGATATAGAGACTGAGATATTCCATCTATCCGTTTTTGGTACGTTCCAGTCAAAACGTCGCCCCGCTCCTATCGATCACCACACAAAATTCCCTTCAAAAGCAAAGAAAGTGCCTCTCACGAGAGGGGTACCAGAGAACCAGCACCGGAACCAGCATAGATGCAGTCCAACTTCACATCCGGCAGTGGGTGATCGCTTGTCCCTTTTCAAAAGTGTCAATGCATCATCATCGTGAGTATACAAGTACCCTACCAGCATGACAGTACGGAATTCCATCCTCCTTGTGTCCCCACCACATCACAGGCGACCACTCGTCCACAAGGTCGGCGAGTGTCTGGAGGTGGCCGTATGCAGCTGGCTGGGGACCGGACGGTCGGCGTAGTGCGACGAAAGTGAAGAAACAGGCAAATATAAAGAGCGCAATGCATAAGTTCCAGATCTGCAAATATGTATGAGAATGTTGTAACGATTTTACATGGGCAGGGATTGCGTACTTGAGCAGTGTACATCGCTATCGGAATGAAGTCTAGGGTTTCGTTAGCGGCGGAGATATATATGCCGAATGAAAGCCCAAACATCCAGTCTGTGATCGTCGAGGATAGTGTTCAATGACACTGACAAAAAATACTAAGCGTGAATGACTCACGCAGGAAGGGCTTCGCGATGAAAAGTATGAGACAGATCGGATGATTAAAAATCGACTCCAGTGGGTTCATCGCCACTCTGAGTCCTTTGCTTCTGGTAGCGCATCTCCACTGTCTTTCATCTCGGATGACATTCGCGATGAGCTCCGAGCAATGTAGCCCAAGCGTCAACGGTCCCTGGAGAAATACAATGTTGATATAGAGCAGAATCCCCACCTCAAGATCGGAACCTGGCATCAAATACACGATGGCATTGGACCGCGCGCTCCGGAAGAACGACCACGTTTGTAGGGTCAGCGGATAGGTGCTAAATTCAAATAGAGAGCTGGTAGGGAAGCGGTCCCAGACATACATGACGAGTACGGCCCATCCAGCGCATGCTGCAACGATGACCCAAAGAGAAATGACAACTTTCCGGATGCTAGGGTGAGCATGCCATGCGGAGGGCTGTGTCTCTGGTGGTTTTGCCGGGCCTCCATACGTGTCTATGTCAGACACACGACGCATGCACCGGAAAGTATTGGGGGTCAATTGTGCGTGGTGGACTAGCGCGGCGGTCAAGTCGAATGGTGAAGAACTCCACGTCAAGGCTTTAACAGCCCGCATCCCTGACAATGCAATGATCACCTGGAGGAGGAGTGCGACACCCAAAATGAGGAGAGGTATCCCTGCGATGGCAATGCCCTCATCAACTGTTTGGAATGTCTCCCAGTTATTTTGGTCCAAACATACGACGACTGAGGCTGAGCTGTAGGATATAATGAGGAGGACAGCCGCGATGCCGTTAAACAGGGCGCCGTTGGGGTTATACCATCCACGAGCTGCGGTGAGAAGGCGCAGATTGGTGTTGAAACGAAGCCGAGACTCTGAGGCTAGCGCAGCGCGCAATGAGACACCATGTACGAAGCCTATGGACTCGGTACATAACATGACGATTAAGTCAAGTATCAGGGTCAATATCCCCTGCAATGCACCTTTATCAACATTGACCAGGTTGAACAGCCTGGTTACTCCTAGGATGCCGTGATTGGCGAAAGTGATGACACCTGCAATGATGAATAAGCAACTAAAGATAATTGAACATGCCACTCCGACAAGGGCATATCTGCGACTCGTCAGACCGTGGTAGTAGAAATCGGCTGTAGTATCAGCAGTGGACTTTGCATCAGATATTATCGAGTCAAAGCTCTGGTGACCCGAGAGTGTGTTAGATGTAAGAAGGCTGGAAGGATGCGAATTTTCTTCTGTCAGTTCGGAAGAATCTGCCATAATGATGGGAGGCAGAGACAGGGAGGCCAGCGCATTATAGACAGGCAAATTAAATATATCTCACTTACGACCATGATCTCTGGTGCAAGGTGACCTAGGGTGACTTCGAGCAGTTGTTGCAACGTCGATTTACATCACATTGCAATTAGTGATTAGCATCATGATCGGGCCTGGTTTGGCCTGAAAGCACTGCCCTGGACCTAGCTTTAAAGGAGCTCAGGCTTACCAGATTTCAAGCCTGGGCTGTGAGCCCAAGCCAGCCCAAAGCGGTGGCTTGAGCAAAACCAACTATAGCCTATATGAAAGACACCCAAAAGTTGTAGTACAATGTTTTTTATCGCACTGTAGTGTATTACTGAAAGTGCACATGTCAGGATGGCGATCATCGAGAGCTAGTCACGGTCAAGCCTACCTTCCTTGCAATGTACTGCACACATATCCTTCACTCTCACTCAACTCAATGACAGTTTATTTCGCCAGTCCATGTTTTTTTTTCAGCGCGCAGGACGAAACCTGCGATAAAATGTCAAGATGGATACCAGGACTGGCAGGCAGGTGAGCTTTGAAATTAAAAATGACAAATATTTTTACACCTGGCGGAGTCGAAAACTGGGGCGTCCGCCGCGTCAGGTCGTATCGCAGCGGCAAAGCCCGTCACCTCCAAAGTGCAGGAACTGCAGTTGTCCTCACCATGGAGATAGATTGCAAGGACCCGGCCCTATACCATAGCAGCGCTCAATTTGTATATTTTTGTAATGCTATTGTCCATAGGGCTGGACATACTTATCAGCTCAGCTTCATTCCTCGGTCAGACGACATGTGCACTCATTTGTACAGTCCCTGTCACACGGTCGCATCATGTCACTGAGGGTCGAGCGATCCATCCGATGAATCGGTCGACCTTCCGAGTCAACGACATGAAGTAATGAGGATTGTCAACTCATACAAAGATAGCTTCGATATGTTTGAGTACTTTTGATACCGAGCCGACGGCCGGGTGGAAACGCGAATGTTCAGTAGTTCCACACCGTGACAAAATTACCAATACTATGACCTTGGCTGGCAATCTGCTGGCATTGTAGATATCCACATCTGTTTGAAGGCATAACCACGCACTGGCAAGAATTTCAAAGAACAATATTCAGCACATAAAAGCCAGCCGTCTTCCTACTCTCTCCCTGAGAATTATTTGATACCAGTCACACGAATCACAAACCATTAATGCGTTTCTCCTCTGCAATTGTCCTCGCCGTCGTTACTGCAGTAGCATCATCAATCTCTGCCATGCCCGCTGACGCGGCTGGCGCCAATGATTGTCCCAGGTTTTGCTTTTTTGACTCACAATGCGCTGACTGCCCTCTTGGACTTTGTGTGATTAACAGTAGTTTTCCTGGACTTGATAACATAATTCACCCGTATGGCAGACCTATTTTTTTTGCCTAGTGAGTCGTGCCTCTGGGCACATTGATGCAGTATGGCCGTCGGCACTGACTCAAACGCGCGAGTTATTAGTGATCTGCAAAGTTGATCAACGCGCATCAGGAAGACATCAGTCCACTTACAGCTCTTTGCAATGAAGACATTAAGTTATGATGCTGCCGGATATCTAAGTTGCAGGTGAATCTCACAAGCGTGTCATAATGTCGGACAGTAGACAGGTGCATAGTACATGGAGTAATAGCTCGAGACAGTTTTCCTTGCACAAGTTACCGTTGATCCGACCTTTTTTCTGATACAGAACTAGATACTATTTAGTAGGCTCCTTCACCCGTGCAAATGATACCTCACCTGAAACTTGGTTTCTGCAACTTGTTCGTCGTAATCCACGTACTTACTTGATATGAAACTTGAAGCTTGAAGCTTGAGAGTTCATCACCTCTAAGTATTAGGCGCCAAGCTCTTACATGGCTGTTGAACGATCTTGACTGACTCCGAGTCGGACTTGGATCTTAGTACTATCAGCTAGCCTCCGTGGGAATCTGTACTTAAGCTTCACTCAGTGATAAGTCCGCCCTGTCCCCGACTCCAGAAGTTATCCTCAGCGACAGTCTGCTTTGCTGTATTCGTAAACCTACAACCTGCAAAGATGTTTGGGTGGCTGTTTCACCTCGGCTTAGATGCATTCATTATCAGTGCATTCCTCGCTGGCATAAGACGCTCAACAGGCCTTACGTACGTCTACCACGCTGCTGGTCATGATGCTGACCCTCATTCCACTACAGACCTGCATTGTCTCAAGTTCCAAACAAGGACATTCGCCGTGAGTCCAAACTCCATGACCTGAATTGAGAACACTTGTTCACGCGTTGTTCTCGACTAGAACTGTTGCGGTCGTATCTCGAAGTCGGTCTGTAAACTGTCCCACCCTATCAACTATTTCATTTGCTCATGTGTTTTAGGTGAATACGTATTCGACTTTGCAGTCGTTGTATTCGGAGTACGTGCTGGACATTCTATCATCATATCTCACACTGCACGTCACTGACAACCACGTATAACAGCGCTCCAGTTCTTTCGAGAGGAGGCATTGAGTTTCCCAATTCCCATTTGTGTTCCTCCTGCCAATTCGTGATAACGGACCGCACTCACTGTTTGCAATATTTTATTCCGATGACACATAATTTGCTTACAGCCTTAAGCTTAATGAGCAGGTTGCAGTAGAATTGTGTGCTTGCGCGACCAGTTCCACTTAATATTATACACGTTCATCCGAGGAAGTTAAATACGAAGAAGTGCAGCACAATGGAGCCAAGGGCAAAGTCTGCAAATGCCCTATGCCGAGAATGAGGATCTATGACAGACATAAGAAAGGATACGCATACCTTTCAGGCGAGACTTCCTTGAATTCAGATCTGTTTTCGGGGTTGACTTGTGCGCGGAGGGATGCGGTCAGAACGAACTGGCCTACTGAGCTTGCAAACCTGTAAAGGCACTCAATACATGCCTGACATGCTAACCAGTAAACTCACCCGGCAAGGAATGCATTGAAAGGAAAGTTCGTGACAAGTACGCAATACACGAACTGCAGCACTCCGCTAAGCACAGTGAACGCCAAGAAAGCGTCAATGAACTTGAGGCGGTCGGGGGTCTGATCAAGGTATGATTTCCACAACGTTGAAACTGCCACATAGGTTTCTGACGACGCAGTTGAGGGTTTTGAGGATGACTTTGGGCCAGCCATGTTGAACGAGTGACGGCTAACAAACTGCTTTACTTGAAAGTGACGACGACGTGGAGGAAACAGTCTCGTCCAAACAAAGAAGGCCGGCAACTTGAAAAGACCCCGACCCGCCCGTCACGTTCAAAAAATAAGTCTTTCACTAACTTGCACGTCTCGTCCAAGGCCGAACTACCTTCTACTTAATTTGTAGTCGCCATTCTTTGTCATGAGCAGTGCTGGTCTGTGTCGAGCGTCGTCTTCTCTTACCGGTGCATTGTCTGCATGGAAGAGCACGAAATGTCCAAGGCAATTTTGGGGTGCACGGAGACACCTACACTCTCGGATAGAACTCGACTACAAGGTCGATGAGGGCCTTGCAAACTTTATGTCGCCAAGGACGCTTAAAATGGTTTCTGAGGAGTATCAGCAAGGTTTGCTAGACCGGTTGAACGAGATGTTTCCTGGTAAGTGTGGTTTTGTGAGCAATTTGCTTATAACTTACGCATGTACAGATGCTGCTGACCAGCGAAAGAGCGTCACACAACTCGTGATCGACACTGCTAGCTCTGGAAAAGATGCCCTTGGCTTCTCCTATGCAAGTCACGCCCTCAACAATTCGTTCTTTCTCAACTGCCTTGTGTGTCCAACTCCCCCATCTAGCTATTTCACCATACTAATTTACTTGACAGCGACCTCCAAAAAAAGATGAAAACTACGAAGATAAGATTCACAATCTTCTCATAGCCCCATCCATCCGCACCCAATTCGGTAGCTTGCCGCATTTCATCAACAACTTTTCTTCCGCCGCCAGAGGAATGTCGGGGTCGGGATACATCTGGCTTATCACGGACGCTGTAGGCAACCTTGCCATTCAGCCCACCTTCGCTGCCGGCACGCTTCTTGTTCGCTCGCGTGCGTGCACGGAAAACCCTGCGGGTCGTCATGAGGTGCTTCACGAGGGCAGGTTCCGCGACGGCCCACAGCCAACGCACTTGAACACGGGGCTAGGCAGCACACCGACATCACCCACGTCAGGCATGTCTCAGGGCCCTGGGCCACTGCACCCTTCTGCCCCCGTACGAACACTGCACTCATCACCGCGTAGTCACCTAGATGGCGCGCGTTCTTTCTACGATGATGAGCGCGCAGATCGGGGGATTGATTCCTCCGCGAGGAGCCTACGTAATTTGGGCGAAAAGATCTACCCTCTATTCTGTGTCAGCATTCACGAGCATTGCTGGCTTCTCGATCATGGAGTGTGGGGCAAGGAGAAATATATGAAGGAGTTCTGGAGCGTGCTGAATTGGGAAACGGTTAACGAACGGTACCTGTCATTCACCAGTGCGAAAGTTGGCGCTCAGCCATTCCGAAAGTAGATGGATGGAGCTGCAGAAATTTACGGTGTTTTGGCATAATTCACTGCTCAGTCTACTTAGATATATAACATCCATACTTATACCGTTCGTTTTAAACTTTTCCGCATAGCGGAATGCTATTGATCTGATCATAAACTCAAGTTGGCAGGTCGTCGCATCTTGGAGAAGCCTTGAATGGACTATCTTGGGGTGGGGTATCCAAATTCATGCACCAATACGATATACTTTGAATATTCTACCAGTACGTGCCCACATCAATCTGGTGTGACTCGTCATTCAAGCAAGGCGTATGCGCGACTCTCCTGAGATGCAATTTCTAATGTGAAATGTTTGGGAGTACATACAACTTCAAAATTTCAACTAATATACTTTATAGATGCCTGAATCTACTTCTCTCTCGGGATGGAAAATCGAGTGGTTCGGACAAGATAATAGTACATGAGGTGCAGCAAAGTGTTTGACGCGTATTTCAGAGTAGCCTTGAGTTTGAACACTCCGGGTTCACCTGAGAAACTTTCTGACCTTCCGCTCAATCTTCTTCATATTAGTAAGTGTTACTGTCTTCCTCGATCTCCTTAATGCGGTTGTACCCATATTCTGCTACACACGCGCAGCCTGAGAGTAGGACGCGCACAGAGCATCATCAACGTCAGGGAAGCAACAGATAAGACGAGAACACGCACTCGCTGAGAGCGGGACATCGCCAGAGCACCGTCAGCGTCGGGTAAGTGATGCATAACACGAGAGGATGCACCAACTGAAAACGGAATGCGACCAGAGCACCATCAGCGTCGGGCAAGTGACCCAAAAGACGATGACACGCACATTCTGAGAGGGGAATGCGGCCAGAGCACCTCTAGTGTTCGGGTTATGAAGTGTGACAGCTGCAGTCAACTTCATCGCAGTGGGTCCCATGGGATCCTGCAGTTTCCGCAGAATTGACAACACTTCATGGATATGGATATTGTGTTGACTTTGCATTTGAGATGACTTCTAATAAAGCAGAACCGTAAGTGCATGTAAACGGTGTTGAGAGAGTAGAACAAAACCGAATAATTCACCAGATAATGGTCGATTTTCAATGAAGCATCCGGCGCTAGCTTGTGTGACGGATGCATATTCGAGACGATGTTTTTGCGACCTTGTCAGCTGGGCAGAGGTCTCTTGCAGAATCCTGAGTACACTCAATACAGGGTGACTTCAATAACACATCAAGAAGGCACATACCTAATTATTGAATCCCTCTGGCATTGTTCAAAGCGATACTGGGCGGTCGGGACGTTGCACAGATGTGAGCTTAGTTGATAAAGTCGTGTCCTCAGGCGATCTAGGTCCGCCTTATTCTGACTACGTCTCTGTGACAGCCTTTGAGTCAAGATACATCCTGGGAATAAAATAAGCTCTCACATGTATGGCTTGAAGGATTGACAATAGTCCACCAATAGCAGCTTGCATCGGAGGACCGGCAGCTGGAATTGCACCTGTAATGCCCTGGACGAAAGGTAAAAATGTCTGAGCCATACCAGAAGCTGTGCGGGCAAAGGAATCCCGACGGGAGGATCTGGTAGAGGAAATATTGATGGAGACTTCGAGACCTGGATCCCCCGTCACAGAACCAGGGTGCACTGGTGATGAATTCGAATGGGGAGGGGGTGAAGGAACGAGACACTCGTTAAGGATGTCTGTAGCGATAGAGTAATCGCCATCGTGATAGTGGGTGGTTGTTGAGGTGCGTTGTGTACGTCTGTTCTTTGCGAGGTACCTCGACCGAACCGCGAATCCTTTGGGCAGGTCCAAATCTTTGAAAAAAATCTGGATCAAAGCCTTGACCGCAAAAGAGGGCATTTTGATCAGACTCGGATGCATCAGAAGGACTATAAAGCGAAGAGATAATCGAGACAAGTACTTAAGGTAGCTGTGTACGCCACGGCCCGCGCGATCCTCGACGGAAGCCGTGTTAACTCCAGAGGTAGTAACAGCAACGGCGGATTATAAGTCACGCATCTGATCAGGTAAATTGAAATAGATTGTAAATACGCAGCACAACATGCTATGCGTGCTGGTGCATTACCGACACCTGCAGGCTGCAGCTGAGCATTATGCCAGTGCATCGTGGGAATCCATTTTGCTTAACTTAAGCGGAGTACTAACCCATCATGCATGCATCAAGGACTCTGAGAGACCACCATACATAACTACACAATTTCTTCCCAGACGGACGCACTCAGGTAGTATATCCCGTGGCGATTTGACCCCATTTCTACATGACTTTCCTCTGTGACCACTTGGGTATCGTGTTTACTACCAGAACACCTCCGTGGGCTCTTAATCCCATTGTGATGATGGCACGCCTCGCACGAATAACCCAGTGGCCTGTCGGGACGCTAGACGACTGTACTCGCTGGCACTGCTGCCCGTGCCTCTCCGGTGCCCCTTCACGATAATGTGTCCTATGGATCGGGCCTACCCAAGTTCCACCTCTTCTGTGACATATCCTCTATCACCAAGAACTTTCGCCTGCCTCCTTTGCTGTGCTCCACTCATTTGCCTTGTGGGCAGCTACAGACTCAGCACCTGATGACCCCATACCTGGGCCACGTTACAGCCCTTTGAGCCTGTCTCAGTCTCCGTTGTCAGGAAATACCTGGCCGCTGTCTGAGCTTGGCACAGAGCTGGCCCTTGCCATTGTCCCATGGATGACCACGAACGCATCATGTAGAACGTACACACCACCCGTTGCAAGTCCATCCAATCACCCTCATCATGCTCACTCTCCTGAAAAGCACTTTCTGCCTCAATGAACCCTTCGACACTTGTGTCCAGGAAATGGCCTGCTGCACCTTTAGCATGATGCATTTTTGTGAAGTCTCAGTCAACTCCCTCTCCGGCCCCACTCCTACCCGTCACCTCACCCACCCTTCGGGACTGATTTACTTGGTCAAGCCTATGCACGCCTAGACCTGCATACAGCATGAGCTGGTGATACAGTTTGTATCCCTAACAGTACAAGGTATTATCTGCCCACTCAGCGCATTGCACAACCTTGTTCGAGCTATCCTTGCACTAGCATCTGACCCTTTATTCTTCTGGCGAGATTCTCGCGCGCAGATATGATCAATGGTGCTTGCCGCACACTCGCACGGATCAATGGCATTCTGGTCACTCATGGTTGGGGTACTACCTTCGGACATTCCTTCAGCATTGGTGACGCTTCTTTCGACCTGGCCCAGAAAGTAGACTCTGAGATCGTTCGCATGGCTGGGCGTTGGCGCTCTCTGGCTTACGAAGCATACAACCGGACATTTGGATAAGTGGCGTTTGGCCATCTCGCGGCCTTTGCCCGCCATGTTGTTTGAGCTGCAGCACTTAGGTTAGGCTTGTTGCCGGTCAATTCGCTAACCGCGGAAATTTTTGCATTTTGCATGTGGATAAGCGGCTTCCACACTTGTCACTTGTGTCCCTCCTAGAGTTGACGCTTCAGGCATAGCCCAACCCACCTAGTCGCACCGCATGAGACCCCGAGCATCAGACGAAGCTGGACAGATATGCTCTTGTTGGCGTGGTGTCTACGGGTATGATCAGCTGCTGTTGCATCACTGCAAGTACCGTCACGTAGCCACTCACGGAGTCTGTAGTAGCCGTCATCAATATACAGCCCTCAGCATGGTGTGCTCACCCTAGCATCCGGAAAGTTGTATTTTGTATTTTGTGGTCATCGTGGTATACGCTGGATCGACCGCGCTCGCGATGTACATCTGAGACAAGAACAGTAAATTCTACAACCTCGACCCGTCCCCGCTCACCGTACTGGTGTGGACGTTCATGTCCAGCTTGCAGTCCAATTTCATATGGTATACCGTTCCGGGTGTCAGTGAAGATGTGAGTGGACCAAATCGGGGCCTCAATGTGCAGAGGAGGATTCTGGCCTTTGTCAATGTGGCGGTTGTCCGGGGACCGTCGACACTTGCACTGCATTACTTAGAGCTTGGCGCGAATGTCGTTCGAGATAAAAGACAGTGGAGAAACACAGTCAAGAGGGGAGGACTTCGAACGACGACAACCAGCTGGAGCAGGTTTTGCCGGAACTATTCATGTTATCAAACGATATTATTAACAATCTAGACTGGGGCTTTCATTCTTTTGAGATAACGTGGCCGACGATGAATCAACTGGAGATATATGCATACAAGGCAGGTTCTGATTCTGGGATTCCAATAAATTCATCCTAAACGCCGTATCCGTTGTGAAGTTCTGCCATCCAGGCGCAACCAATCTTCCAAAGCGAACCTTCAAGTTTTCCCCACAATCATATTTTCAGTGTATTAAAGCAAGCTTCGTCTGCCTCAGTAGCTCAGAGTCCCAGAGTCCCTTTTACAAAACTTGTATCACTTCGCATAAATCATGCATTTCTCCTTCCTCGTAGTCGTTACTGCCTTAGCAGCATGTATGTCTGTCGCTGCACAGACCGACTCCGGCGGCTGCAAGCCCTCTTTAAAGAGCTGCAAAAAGAGTACTGAATGCTGCAGTCATAACTGTGCTCCAGTGGTGGTGAGTACGAGTAGTTTGTTTTGCATCCAGGATTCAACTCCGTTGCTCACCACCCCTTGCTGTCAACAGCGTGGTGGTCAACCAATCTGCAACTAAGACTGCTTACCGATGGCTGGCAACCTGTATATGAGCATATCTGAACGGTGAATCGGATTTCTGCTTTCACATTAGCGCTGTACTTATCATGAATATTCATTAATATTGCCGAAGTCTGCATTACGTGGATAGCGGCTGTAGCGCAAGAACCGCGTGTGCCTCGAGTGGATAGTGAATATTAACGCACGAATTGAGCAGGTCATGGACAGTACAGTTGATGCTCGACCAGATGCAATTTTAGAAAACAGGATGTATATCGTCAAATACTCGGATGCATGTATTACTGTAATGGTCTATTCTTGTCCTGCTCGCCTTTGAGTTCTAGGTTGTTCGAGAATGCGTCAACAATGCTCGAGTGGAGTGCACCAAAGTGGAGCATCAGAGGGGCTCGATTGAGCGCGTACATGGGCATGGTGTGCACGCAAACTGCTTGCGCAGGATCAAGCGCTCCATCCTTGCAATATGTAGATGAGTCCGAGCGAGTCAAAAACATTTTGTTACCGAAGAAGTCTGGCGTGCGCATCGCCGGCGTCAATGAGCTAAAAGGAATCGGAAAGTAAATATGTGCAAGCGCTTATATGACCATCACGAATGGATGCCTTGATGGTCTTGATGCAGTCGGTGCGGTTCCCACTCTTGCCTTGGTCGTCGATTGGAAAAAGTTCTCCTCTCTCGAGTGGGGAAATTTGATACACAATCATGGCAAACAACTGCAGGGAAATTATAGCCTACAATACAGCACGGTATTGTAACAGCTTCTGCAACGTTCTTACCGTGTTATCCTTCTCTTCCTTGATGACGTTTGAGAACGATTTGAACCCGGGAGCACCAGCATCTCCTGGAATAAATGAGTAGGCCTCCCCGTAATCTAAAATGAAAAGCGCACGTTGCAGTTGAAAGGCTGCACTCTCGCTTGTAGTGATGTATCCACCACTCTGTCGAATCCGCGCCAGGGCAAAGGGGATCTCTTCTTTATTACAGCTAGAGACACCATCTGCTATCACGTGGACATTATATCCTGCCTCGATAAAATCCAGAGCAGATTGCAACACGCAGACATGTGACTGGATGGACCGATTTGACTAATGAACCAATTGTCGTAGAGTAAACTAACCTCGATGCCAAAAAGCACCACAGATTTTATCTGTGGGCGTTCATGGAGTAGGGCCTTCACTTCCGGCGTCGCCATGGAAAAGAGCCCTTTCTCGATGGTAGCAAGGAGAAGGGGCCCCAGGGAAGGTAAATCGATATCGGGGATGGTATTCCCAAGGGCTTTCCTCTTGGATGGTTTCATTTCGAAGAGGAAGGACGAGGATGGGCCCACCTTTGGGGTTCTGTTCCGTGACGACCACGGGGATATCCAACACCTTGTATATATCTATGTACTAGCAGTAAAGGCGTGATAGGAAGTTGATCTTACCTTTGCTATCTTGAGCATCTTACTGATTGCCAATACAAGCTCGTCAAAGCCGAAGATGGCATTCTCTGATTCAGAATGACACGGCGACAGTCAATTTATGCTGTTCACAGTGGATCCAGAAGCAAGCGTACTGAACCGTGTTTGCACGTCGCAGAGGAAGAATACAGTCTCCTCTGATACAAGCTTTGTAACCGTGGGCATAGTGATACAAGATAGGTGAAGGCTATGCGTTAGTCAACAAATCGATACTTTATCGCTACATATAAACTTCGAAGCTCATGTGAGCGGGATTTGCCGAACCCGGTCCTCTTCATCAATTTGCTTTGGTGTCCCTCTTCATAAAAATGTTTGCTCGTCAGTTGTCGTACTCTAGGCAACGTCTTTCTCGTCCTGCTCGTCTTTATTCAACTCCCACAAAGACAGCAAATGCGCCTGCCACCGCATTCGCCCAAGTCCCTCTCCCCCATCCAGATTATACTTCCCTGTTGGCTCAGAAGGAAGTACCAGCAAACCACCTTGTAGCTATGAACGGCTTTCTGAAGCGCAGAACCCCGTACACAATCCTGCCAACCCCCCTTCCAGATGACCGTGCTTCAGCTTTGAACAGCTTCTACTTCACTGATTCTCCAACTCAGGACCAGCTCGCTGTCATGGATGCATGTTTGCATAACCTGTATGACGTTCCCCGTGCAAAGCAGATCTTCGAGCAGCTTAGAACCACCAAGTCCCACGAACCCTTGCTCGAGTCTCGCATATACAATTCTTTCTTGGAGGCCTATATCCACATGGCATTTGTCAAGGAGCCCGAAGATAGAACTTTGTGGGTCGAGGATGCGTGTCACCTTTACGACCTCATGGAAAAGGGTACAGATAGAGTCCACCCGACCGCGTCTACATATGCTATAATGTTGTTAGCATGGAGACGGTACGCTTCATTAGTCTCCTTACCTTATTACTCTAACCACTTTTTTCTAGATTTAATCCCGAATCTGACACGCCCGTCCACCTCTCCGACCTGCCTAACCCAACAACCCTCCTTAGCAACCTCATAGAGCGAGACATTTCACCTACTGCTGTCGTCGCCGATCGCGTTTTGGCATCGTCAGAAGAAGCCTCAGAGATCATAAAACTCCTCTCTAAATCTGCAGTAGATCTCAATCATCCTCGTATATTGGCTGAACTTGGTCAGGCAGAATTCCTTGGGAGTCATGTCCCAGACCCATTGGAGGGCGTCCCGGAGGTCAAGCCTGTCCTACGACTCGCTGTGCGTATTGCGTGCTTTCGTTTTCATCTCGCTCACATCTCCTTAGACACCCTCCGAAGAAACCTTGGATGAAAACGGGAATGTAATACCTGCGCAGTCTGAGGAAGAAGTTCCCTTCAACCTCGATAACCTCCGCAAACACTTGGCTCAGGTTACTCTTGCACGACGCGTCCTCCCAGAAGACCTCGCTTCCCGACAGAAACTGCTAGAAGAATCAGTTTACGACGTTGCAGTAGAGCGCCTCCGTCACGAAGCCAAACTTTTTGACGAGCTAGGTTTAGGCAACCGCGAACTTCATCATGCAGATTTACAAAAGTGGATGTGGGACTGGCATCAAAAGCTCAAAACGCGTCTCGAGGCAGAAATAAAAGAGATCATCGTTGCGGAGGCAAAAATATGTAAGCATATACGCGCTTGTCAGACATTTGCATTAACCGCGAGCTAGCTACAAGCAATCAAGTTCAACGAATGGGCCCCTTCCTCTCCCTCGTTAAGCCCGAGAAACTTTCCCTTATCACTATCCTTGAGATCATGCGCCTCCAAGGCAGCGGCGGCGTCTCAGATGGAATGAAAACTGCCCGGGCGCTCCTCACCGTCGGGCGCGCTGTCGAGAATGAGTACAAAGCTGAGATGTGCAAGCGCAACCATATCGCCATCCCTTCCCATGCACGCCCAGGCGAGTTCACTGGTTATTTCACGGGTCTCGGGTACAAGGACTTGCATGCGCGCCGGATGACGGCTGCAAAGTACATGGAGGACAGCGAGGAGTGGACATCAGAGTGGACGCAGGTACTTAGGGTGCGCGTTGGGAGTATCCTCGTAGATTGTCTGATGGATTCCGCGACGATCGAGCGGACTGCTGTTGATAAGCGCACCAACGAGGAGATGTAAGTTTGCTTGTCTCTTGTATGTTGCATCAGTTGAAAACTATCCGCAGTAAAGAGAATCAACCAGCGTTCTACCATGCGTATGAATATGTGCGCGGGCAGAAACTCGGTGTCATTCGGTTAAACCCTGTGGTTTCGGAACGCATCGCAAAAGACGGCTTGCGCGAAACGCTTCACCCGCGTCATCTGCCCATGCTCGTCAAGCCCAAGCCTTGGCTCAACCATGACCGGGGTGGATATCTCTACAATCGATGTGAGTATACCCGCCAGCCTTTATCAACGGCTCGCTAACATTGTTAATTCACCAGCTGCCGCTATGCGTTTCAAAGACTGCCAAGAACAGCAAACCTACCTGGAGCATGCAACCTCACTCGGTAATGTGGAGCTCGTGTACGCAGGACTCGACGTTCTCGGTAGCACGCCTTGGAAGATCAACCGGAACATTTTCGACATCGTACTCAAAGTCTGGAATTCTGGTGAACGGCTGTGCAAGATCCCCCCAGCAGCATACGACCAGCCAGAGCCAGAAAAGCCCCTGAACATGAATACGGATATCAAAGCCAAGAGCGTGTACGGGGCGCGTCTCAAGGCGTTCATGCAGGACAAAGCGAACAATCATTCTGACCGGTGTAGCGTTAACTATAAGATCGAGATTGCACGCGCTGTAAGCTTTCGTCCTATTCTTTCGCGCTAGCAATCTGATAAAATAAAAGTTTCTGGGTGATACGATGTACCTTCCTCACAACCTCGATTTCCGGGGACGCGCGTACCCTATTCCTCCACATTTCAACCACATTGGTGATGACCTCAGTCGTGGGCTGCTTATGTTCGGTGAAGCACAGCCCCTCGGCGAACAAGGCTTGCGGTGGCTTAAAATTCACCTTGCAAACTTGTATGGGTTCGACAAGGGGAACTTTGACGAGCGCGTCAAGTTCGTGATGGATCATCTTGAGGATGTGTATGATAGCGCTGAAAAGCCTCTCGACGTGCGTCTCCACCTTTTTATCATGGTGCCTTGGTGCTGATGCGCCGAACAGGGTAACAGGTGGTGGGCGAAAGCTGATGATCCATGGCAATGTCTTGCAACATGCATGGAACTGCACGCGGCGCTCGAATCAGGCGATCCACACGCATACATGTCGTCCCTCCCGGTGCATCAGGACGGGACGTGCAACGGGCTACAGCACTACGCCGCTCTTGGTGGTGATGTTAAAGGTGCTGCGCAAGTTAATCTGAGCGTGACCGACCGACCGTCAGACGTGTACACGTACGTTGCAAACATGGTGGAGAAGGTGCTCGAGGAAGATTTGAAAAATGGCGATAAGTATGCAGCTATGCTTTCTGGTCGGGTTTCGAGAAAAGTGGTCAAGCAAACTGTGAGTGATTGTTTGGTTGGTCAATTTGGGAGTTATGAACTGATGTGGGGGAAAAGGTGATGACTACTGTGTATGGGGTGACTTATATCGGCGCTCGCGAGCAGATTGAGAAGCAGCTTAAGGATAGGAAGGATATTCCAGAGGAAGAGTGTTGGGGTGCTAGTGCTTACCTCGCCAAGAGGGTGTGTATTCTCTCCCATTCGACAGCCCTAGACTCACTTGTCTATTCAAAGGTGCTTGTTTGCATCGGTGATCTGTTCTCAGGAGCTAAAGCCATTCAAACTTGGCTGAACCTCTGCGCCCGTCTGATCTCCAAGTCTATCCCAGCCGAGCGCGTCCCAGACGCATTGCAAGCTCCCAAAGGACGCAAGAAGAACGGTTCTTCGCTCCCCAAGAACCGTATCAGGAAAGAACAGATGTCGTCTGTCGTGTGGACGACGCCCCTCGGCCTGCCCATCATACAGCCCTACCGTAAGACGAAGCGCAAGCAGGTCATGACGTCCATTCAAAGCGTGTTCATCTCTGACCCTAATGCACCTGCTGAAGTGAACGCTGTCAAGCAGGCGTCTGCATTCCCGCCCAACTTCATTCATAGTCTCGATGCTACTCATATGATGTTGACCGCTCTTGAGTGTCGCGTAGGTTCCGTTGGCTTTGGACTTTTTTATGATTGATGAGCGTGTTTATAGACCCAGGGCCTAACGTTTGCGTCTGTGCATGATTCCTATTGGACGCATGCTAGCAGCATCGACAAGATGTCTGAAATCATCCGAGACACGTTCATTGCGCTGCATTCTTCTGATGTGCTTGAGAAATTGGCCACAGAGTTCCGGACTCGATATGCATCCCACAAGATTCCCCTGACATCGCTTCGCAGCGGGAAGCTCTTGAAGAACCTCCAAGCTGCAGGCGTGCGCATTGTGGCTTCGTCTGAACAGGCAAATGCGCTCCGTCTAGGCGGGTTTGACAACATCATGGATGTTTCAGACGAAGAAGCCGGATCCATCGCCCAGATTTCAAAGAAAACGGAGACTGAGGCTCCGAAGCCTACGCAGACGGAGACTCCAAAGCCCAAAACAGGAAAACGCGGCCGACCCATGAAAAACGTGATCATGATCGAATGCGCCCAAAATGATGTGTCGACAGTTATGGACCACGAGGAAGGTGATGATGACTGTGCGGGCGAGGACGATGTTGATTCGATTCTGGTGGATAAATTCGTTGATTTGAGCGCTATACTTCCGCCTTTGCCGAAGAAAGGTGACTTCGATGTCGAGACGATCAAGCAGTCGCAATACTTTTTCTCGTAAGTCTGTGCGTCCCTGGATACATTTAGCTGTTCTTGTTTTCAGTCCTGCATCTTTCATCACGCCGCAATACGTACACCTCGCATTTGCATATCTATCACATTTATTTTATATGTCACATAGACTTACTTAGTAGAATACTTAATAGAGATTATTCACCTCTCATGATGCAGACATGCGCTCACTCAAATTAATTTCGAAATATGCATTCTACTTAATATTTGTGCTGTGCGTATCGTATCTGCATCAAGGTAACCATCTGCTTGCAGGTAGACATGCAAGAACAAAAGACCGCAGTTGTGTGGTTCGGTGACTTCGGTTCCAGTAGGAAATTAATGAAGCGCGCATTAGGGGCGCGTGTTGGTTTCCGCATTTGGAAAGACACTTTGCAGCTTTGCATGTTGCTAGCTGCGATGGGGACCAGGACAATTAACATTGATGGCTAGCTCATGGTTGCTCAACGCGCATGGCCCCATACGGCGATCTAGAGGATATACAGGGTCGTTCCACGAGCACATTTAATTCACAGGTATTGCAGGGTGGCGAAGCGGAGTTTGAAACGCGAACATACTTGGGTGGTGGAAATTGGTTCAAGTTCGGGTTTGCTGCTCGCCATCATCAACAACCTCGACGCTTGCCATTCCGACGTCTTAAGCGTACGGCTCCTTACCTTCTTTTAAACCACACAGTCTCTTCAAGTTACACTCCTTCCGACGTTATTATGGACCAAACTTTCGACGTTTCTGACAAACTTCAAGAATCCAGTATGGCAGCCAAACAGAGGGTTAGTAGGCTTCTGGTCGCTTTGGCTTATGCTCATATTTGCGTCCAGTTTGAATCGTTCAAGATGGGTGGTGGCGCTCCAGCCAATAGTTTAAACAATTACATTCCAAAGCATTCACATGGACGATCTCGCTCTCGCAACAGTTCAATTTCTTCTCTTGCAACATTATCTATTTCTGCTTCTGCACCTTCATTCCCCTCTCCAGTTGAATTTTCTTTCAATAATGCACCTTCCAACGCACTTCCTCCAAAGCGCCCAAATTCCCATCACAGGCGTCGTTCTTCTGTATCAACTCGCCGCGAGTCGGCAGAGCTTATGGGCGTGTCCCTTCCTGACCTTCCAGCAGCTAATTCAGATGATAACGTAAATCTTGGCGACAGGGATTCTATTCGTCGCAGGGCACTCTGGGCTCTTGAGGGAAAGCCTGACCTTGCTTTCTCCAAGGTCGAAATTCCTGATATCACGTCACCCAATTTGTCAAAGTCTTTTGACTTCCGTGAGTTTTACCTCGTTTGATCCCCACAGTCTATATTTACAATGGCATGTAGCAACCAAGCCGTCTTTCCCTCCTGGTACTGGTATCAGTGGGCATGGTATTAGTAGCCTCATGAACAAGCGCGATTCATTCGGCAAACTGTTCACTTCTACTTCTAACTCCAAAGATCAGCTTCAGACACTAGTTGAGGAAGAAGAAGAAGAGGAGGAAGAGGAAGAGGAATCCCAAGAAGAACGTCCCGCTCAAGTTGCCGAGGTTGTCGTGGAATCTACGGAAGCTCCCGCTGTCCCACTTGTTACTCCAGCCTCTATAGTGACAAAATCTGTTTCACGTCACCGTCCTGCCAGCCTTAATCTCAGGCCCCTCTCTCTCGTTTCTGGAAATGCTGTCAGTTGCACACCCGGAAATCTACCCACGCCCACTCTTACGCCGCATCATCCGCCCAATGGTCTGAGATCCCTCGCCTTGACATCCGGCTCTGACACCTCGTTCACGAACGCCAAACTCACGAAAGGAAGCACGGATTGCCACTCCACCACTGTCACGCCATCTTCTTCCGGTTCCTTCAGTCTCGCTTCACATCGTTCTTTTTCATCCGAAAGCTCTGATATCAGCAGGAAACGCAGCAGCATTTCATACAAACGCTCCGTCACTTCCATTCCTCGTGACATGGGTGTTTTGCCCACACCTGGTTCGACTCCTACCGACCGCCGGTTTTCAGAGTTAAACGATGTCGAATTCGTCGCAGAACAGTCCCTTGCCACAGCCGAGCAACATTTTTTATTTAGATCGCACAATGTGCTCCTGGCTCGCATAATGGATCTTGAGCGCACGCTACGTTCGCGATCAATGTCCCGATCGCGTCCTCTTTCCATGGCTTCAGAGGCTTCGGCAGCATCATCCGAGCCAAGCGACGAGATGCTGCAGCTTATTTCAGATCTTAAGGCTGAGCGTGACGAGCTGAAGAGAGACGTAGACGGATGGCGCATGCGCGTAGCTGATGCAGATAAACAAGCCGGCGTCCTGGCAAGGCGAGTTGAGGCTGAGAGAAGAGAAGCCTGGGTGGCTCGCTCGCGGCTTGGTCTACTGGAAGTCGAGAAGCGTAGCCTGGACAAGGCCCTCGGTAATTTGAATGCCGAACTCCAGCAATCAATAAGCCAGAGCGAGCAGTTTAAGAAGGAATGTGATGGTATGAGGGAGGAACTGGACAGGTTGCGTGCTCGTCTCCGAGATGCTGACAATGCAGTAAATGAAGTCATCCGCCTTCGCGCCGCACTCGAACAAGAGAGGACCAGGCGCGCCGAGCTAGAGAAAGTTCTCGACGACGCCGGATTGCTCAATACTCCCACCGTTCCACTTTTTGTTGGTGGACAGGAAGAAAGTTCGGTACCTAGTCGGTCTTATGACATCCGTCCTCGTGGACTTGGTTTCCAGTCCATCGACTCTGACGGTTCTTCGACCGATGTCGAGTCTGTCGACCACAGCTTCACCAAGGCTGAATTGACCCTCGATGCTGTCACAGAGGAAGATGAGGATGAGTACCAGGACAGCTGCGACTTTTCTGACGAGGAGGATGAGTTGGCCGGTTACGAAGATGCAGAAGACTCTGACATCAGTTTCCAGAGTCCAGATGGCTCATCCATCGGCTCCGCGGACGAACTCGACCTCATGCCAGTCTCAGTCCTGAACGAGGCTACAAACCGACTCAACTCATTGTCCAAACCAGCTCCGTCGAGATCTTTGCATTCTCGACACAATTCACTATCTAAGACGTGGACATTCCCCAGGGGCCAGCCTCTCACAGTCAAGCGCGATGTTGATGAGGTTGACCGATTCTTTGGATGCCTCGATGACGTTGAAAACTCCCCTCCATTTGGTTCTGAGGAGATGGGCAAAGCGACGTTCACGTCGACATTCGGTCTTTCCTACGATGATGACGATGAGCTGCCACCTTTTGTCATCCCTTCAGACGTTGGCACTGTTGTCGATTCGACGTCGAGGAGTCTTGATATTGTGCTGGAGGAAGACGAAGGCGATGAAGGCGACGCTGATGACGAGAATGATGGCGAACTCCATGGCGAGGAAGTTGAGGGCGGGATCCGTTTCACATTCAACCCTCCGCCAACTGTCTGCGGCCCTCCTCCTGTCATCTGCATCACACCTCCAACTGATTCTGAGTCGTTATCTGCTGCGAGAAACCCTGTCCTTATCTATGAGCCTTTTGATGATGAGGAAGATGATACTTCTCCCTTCACTTTCCCCCAGCGCAGGGTACAGGAGCCGATCACTCCACCGTCCTTTTCACCACCGACTTCGGAGAGCAGCAGCCGTCCATCAAGCCGGACAAGTAGCTCTCCATCGTCAATTCCTCGTGCAACTTCACTGCGCTCATTCATGCCACTCACACCGCCCTCTTCAGCTACACCGCCCAGAAGCGCGAGTGATCGTTTTAATGCACAGGTAGATTGTCCGACGGCATCATTTGTTACCCCTCCGTCACGGCGCGGCGGGACCATCCCATCCTTCATTCCTCAACCAGTCTCGCCATCGCCATCGAAGATTTTCAGCCCTTCAAAATCCCGCGTTCCTGTTCCGCTGATGCGTTATAAGGGTGATACAAATGGTTCGGCATTTACGCCTCACCTCAGATCATCCATGAGTGGGTTCTAACTTTTTCTCTTTGGTTTTCACAGTCAACGGTGCAACTCTCAGATACGACACCTCTGAGAAGATAACAGAAGCGAAATCAGATTCCTCCGACACTTGTGAATACCTTGATCAACACGCCTCGACTTCATCTTTATCGTCAATTATGCCTTCACCGCTTGCGGCACGATTTTCATTCCAGACATTGTCAAATTTTATTCCCCTCTCGTGGACGCCGGGTGCGGCTGCGATTACGTCGCGCACTGTACCTGGGACCTCAGTTGGCTCCACTGATGATGTTGCAGAGGCAGCATCATCATTTCCTAGTGCCTGTCCTGGTGTACGACGCTCGATTGAAAGGAGATTTGTTTCTAGGGATCAGCAGTTAGAGAAGCTGAGGAATCGACTGGGCAATAACCATATTAACGGCATAGGACGCTGTCTTGCGGTCGCTCCTTGCGGTGCTGGCAAGGGTGCCAATATTTTCTTGTGAACAACCCTGCTAGTATGTTGCCCGATATATGCTTGTCCTAGCCCATGCCTTTTTCTTTTCTATGTCCCCCCTACCCCTACACCTCCGATTGACGTGTCACATACTCTCATCCCCCTCATTTTTCTTTGTCGTGTTATGACTGCCTGGAGGGGCAGGTCATGTTATCCTGTGCCAATATTGTTGTCTTTGTATTATATTATTACGTACCTTCTAAGAACATCTGAGGACTGTCCTCATTCATGCTCATATTTTTTATGCATTTCTTGGGTCTCATTGAGCGATCGAACAATTGTGAGACTGAGTTACAGCTGAAATTTAAAGTCGGTAGGTCCCGGCTGGTAGGCGTGGGAAGAACAATTCGGTCAATCCAGAAACCAGCTTGAAGCCTCAGCAACTTCAACGTTAACCACCATGGTCGCACCCCGGGGAGCACGCACTTTCATGCGCAATTGGTTTGCCATCGAGGTACATTTCCCATAGTTTGTGCTTGAGTGAGCTGACCGGATTACTGTGCTCAGGCAATTCCTATGTGAGCTCGTATCTCCGCGTTGCTAAAGTTGAGTTTTATTGACGACCGAACAGCTACGCCGTTATTGGTTTGGCCGTCGGTGGTGCAGGCTGGTATTTAACCCGCCTCGCTCGTGGTCCTACGGGTACATCATACTTTCTTTCCGGCTTTATTCGTATCTGCTAACGAACGAGTGAACAGTCGTTTGGACGAAGAGTAACCCAACTCCCTGGAACGACGTCAAACAAGATGAAAACACCAAAATTTTGGATGTCAACTCGAGGTTTGCAAAGAGGTGTGTCGTATGCGTCATGCGTGGGCTGGGCTAACCCATTGGTACTGCTAGCTGGTCGAGGGAAAAACTATAACTTTAGCTCACGCTGGAGGAGTGCTATACCTTTCTTTCGGTCGTGCTCGTTGTCATATTACAGTTTCAATTATATTCCTGGATATGTTTTCCTCTATTCATGACAGTTTCATGTGACCATGTCATATACTTCGGGCCGGATAGTTATAGCTGCTTTTAGTTTTTGGTCTTGAGACCGGATAGTGTTAAAAGACCACGTTGAACGAATTGCGATTATCCCACTGACGACCTGCACTAATCTATCAAGTGGTATGGTGGTCCACTTCGACGATCCTGATCCTCTTTATCCTCTTCCTCCTCTTAATGAGATACCGGACGATGATGCTGACAAGCCAAATGACACGTACAAGCTGGTAACTCACATGCTCGACATTACGGCCCTGTGCTGACTCTCGATTATCAGACTGCGACGTCGAATGGCTTCCCTGCGGTCATCTTTGGTACTGCTACGTTTTCCCGCATCTATAACGAAGCCGATCATATCTCCGGAGTAACACCATTACGGGCTGCCAGACTGGCTCTACGGTAGGTGGCTTGCTAGACGGCATGGCATATATTTCTGAGAAGCCGACAGCTATGGTATGAATGTATTCGATACTGCGCCATTTTATGGGGATGCCGAGATCATTCTCGGGAACGCTCTTCGTGCTTTGGGGCGTGAATTCCCTCGTGATTCGTATACGTTGGTACGTGTCCTCATGCAATGGTAGAAAGAGGGTTAACAGCAATGCATGTAGGTCACCAAAGTCGGCCGCTATCCTACCGAATTCGATTATACCCCTGAAGCTATCGAAAGCAGCATCGCGCGCAGTCTTCGGCGCTTGCATACCAACTACTTTGACATCGTATACTTGCATGACGTCGAATTCATTGCGGACGAAAAACTCGCGAGAAGAGGAGGAAACCATGTTGCTGCTCTGGGAGAAGAGAGGGAACAATATGGCTTGAATGAAAGTCAGGAGGGCGAGGCTTATACGGAAAAGGATCATAAAGTTTTGTCCGCTGTGAAGAAGCTTTTTGAGTTGCGAGATGAAAAAGGTGTTATTAAGCGAGTCGGGATCAGCGGTGAGTACAACTTTAGATGTGGATCAATTTCCGGATACTAACAAGCACGTGTCAGGCTTCCCACTTCCGACCCTCCTGCGCATCGCAATTCTCATCCAGAAGCGCCTCGGGAAGCCGGTGGACCTCGTGATGTCCTACTGCCACCTCACCCTGCAGAATAGCACGCTCGAGCAATTCAAATCTGCATTCGGGGCACGCGCAGGAGTGAAGCAAGTTATCGCCGCCTCGCCGATAGCCATGGCTCTCTTGCGACCTTCGCGTTCTCTGGACTGGCACCCGGCGCCACTCGAGATTAGAGAGGCTGCGCAGAGGGCCGCGCAGCTCAGTCAGGAGTGGGATGCGTCTGAGACTGGTCTTCCTGACTTGGCGCTGCAGTACACGTTTGCGCGGGCGAGGGAGATCGGGGTGCCCGTTGCGGTAGGGCTTAGCACGCTTGAGGAGGTCCATGCGAGTGTAAAGGCTTGGCATGAAGTGGATGCTGAGGGGTTGACGACGAAGGAAGAGTGGGTTGCTCGTGTTAAGACCGTGCAGGACCTGTTCAGGGATGTGCAAATGCTGGACTACTCTTGGGCGACACCTTAATTTAAGTTGGCGAAGGCGAGTATCATGTACAATTAAGTTTGCGAGGACAGTAGTTGATAAAGCAAATGTCATTTGAACTGATACAAACAAAACAACTACAGTTACTGGTGTGATTCAAACATGACCGCGCAAATCACCGTGTCTTGATAATTCCTGCGTTGATGAGTTTCATAATCTTCTGGCGTACGACAGGGTTTTTCATGTGATCTTGTAATGCGCCAGGGTTACCTTGCGCTTGCTGCAGAATTTGCTGCATCACGGGGTCACCCATGATTTGCTGCAGAAGAATTTTCGGTTAACACCACGACGATAAAGCAAGTTCGGATAATACTCACAGCAACTTCGGGGTCCTTCATGGCTCGCTCGAGGGTCTGTTCCTCCGTCTCGTCGGCACGCTGAGTAAACAATGCTTGCTGGATCTTGTTCTCCTGAGTTTGAATCTCTTGCGCGTGTGCATTGGCGGTGTCGGCTGATGAAGCGGCTTGTAAAGCTTCAAGAGCCTTACTATAATCACGCATCGTTTGCAGGATCGTGGCTTTCCGGATGTATGCCTTGACTAAAGCAACGTTCAAAGATGGCCTACGGACAATTGGACGCAATCAGAACTCACCGAACGTGGGATCGACCTCGATTGCTTTGTCGGCATCCTTCAGCGCTTCGGCCAGTGCCATGAGTTTCATGTACGCTGCTGCCCTGTTGTTGTATCCTCTTGCATCGGAGGGATCACGCTTGATACTCTCTTCGTACAATTTCACGGCCTTTGCGAAGTCACCGCCCTTGAATGCAGCATTACCTTCCTCACGCGCGGTAGCAGACTTAGCGGGGTCGATGTATGCCTGCCGCTCGGCCTCAACAATGGCTTTCTCGGTGGCTTGAAGCTTCGCGAGGATGGTAGCGTCACGGTGTTCAGAGAGTGACTTTTGGAAGTACTTCTTCGCGGACACTATGTCGTTCTTTGCAGTGTACGCAGTCCCGATACGGCCAAAAATTTTGGCAATAATCTTGTAGTCTGCACGGAGCTGTGTCTTGCATCAGAAGATGTCTGGTGCATAAAAGAGAACAACTCACTCCTCGGCCTTCCTCAACAGCCAACTCGCACGTTGTGATACATTGATCGTACTCTTTCGCCTCGAGATATGCAGCACCGAGATTGCCGAGGAACGTGATGTCCTTTGGCCACAGATCCCAGGCCTTCTTGAAGTATTCTGCAGCTTCAGAAAAGCGTTGCGCCTTGTAGTGCTCTGTGCCCTGAGCCTTTGCGGCGAGTGCGTCTGCCTTGGCTTTGGCCTCCTCAGCGTCTTCATCTGTCATTTCAACATCTTCGGGCTCGTAATCTGGTGCTGCTGGTGCTGGTGCGCGCGCTGGTGTTGGTGCTGGCGCTGGTGGAGTCCTCGATGTGGATGCAGATGGGGTCCGAGGTGTTCGAGCCTTTGGGGGAGGCCCGTACTTGAAATTGGGTGGGAGCCCGTCAAATTCATCGTCGCGCGAGAAACCTTGCATATCGATGCCCATGGCGACACCAAGAACGTCGATCATGCGGGAATCTGACTGGAGAGCTCTATAGGGAATGGTTGAGTACTGTCAAGGGACAGTGATTTTTGACTCAAACGTACGAATCAGCGAGTGCGGGGTTTTGTTGGAAGAGTTTGAGCTGTGGAGGTTGTTGTTTAGTTACATTGAGCGGGATGTTAGGGGATGATCTACCTTTTGCACGAACGCTGGGTCAGCCATATGTTTTTGTGTTCGGGGATTAGTTGCCAGCTTGCCAATGAGGCTTGGGTCTGAAAAGTATTTTCCGAGGCCTAAAGACTCAGTTACATCCCTACCTGGATTCAGTAGCGCGGAGTCAGTGACTGTTCTCATCTGGGTGGGCGAGGGTAGCCTACCCTTTGCGTCTTTCACCTCTTGTAAACCCTTGCGTAAGGCAGGACTGTCCTCCAACTTAAGACCAGCTTCATATACCGCAACAGCCTCATCATATCGTCTTGCACCGTGTAATGCAGCCCCTTTTCTCGCGTAGCCTTTGGACCACGACTGATTGAGCTTGACACACTTAATCGCCGCATAAGTATCAGCATGCCAGACCCGAATCTGATAGTGCACACCTGTTCTGCGTCCTCTAGCGCTCCATCCCACTGCCTCTTGCCAGCTTTCGCAGCACTCCGATTTGAAAAGAGGACATGGTTCGAAGGGTCGATGGCGATTGCAGCTGTGAATAGCTCGATCGCTTTGTCGTAGTCCTTGGCAGAAAAGGCCTTGTTGCCCTGGTCTTTCAGCGCATTCACCTGTAAAGTGTGTCTTTGCATCAGATTATCCGGTTAGGCAATGAACTGGATGGTATGTTATACGCACATCTGACATGCTCGTTGAAATTGAGGGTGTTTGTGGTAAAGATGGATCCTTTCAGACTTTGTACTAGTCTTTCACCTTGATAATATTACTCCCCCTCTGAGTCCTGGTACTTTTATATGTACGATCCCTATTCTAGACCACAATTGAGGAACTTTCTAGAATTTTCGAGGAATAACAGTCCAAGATTGGTCACCCAAAAACGTTATCTTAATCTTATCAATTTAGTAATCAACTGTGTGTCTACGAGGACTACTGCTACTACGACCTCCAACCGTACACTAGAACGAGCACTCTGGGATTTGTAACAGGGCTTGATATAAACTTGAGATCAGGCTGCAGTTGCTGCACCATCAACTCCCTATTGGCTCACCTCCAACATTCAGCGTTCACAATATTTCGCTTCATTACGCTTGCAGACACAAGGGGCGGGGGCGGGGAAAGAGATTGGAACAATAATACAACTTCAATTAACGCTTCTTTACTGCGCAGCCGACTTCTGCAGCAAGACAAGTTCACCCTTAAGCCTTTTCAGTTCCGTTACCGCAGCATCTACAACATCCTTTGGCTCCTTATTCTCCTTCAGCCCACGAACAACTTGTCCATGCTCCAAAATTTTTGCTTCCAAAGCAATAACTTCAGGCGATTTCGGCCCACTGACCACCACACCATTCGGCGCAGCGTTAACAGCGCCCGCTTTCTTTGCTTTGCGTTTGGACGTAGGTGCCTCCTCCTCCTTCTTAGCCGACTCGTCGCCGCCAAAGCGCACCTTCCACACCTGTTCCATTTTCTCGTCGATGTTCTTGAACAGGTGATCAGGCTGGCCGATCTGGTGGCCCGCAAGGATATCCGTGGAGAGCACCTCAGGAACTACACGCGCAGGCGCGTTCAGCTGCAGCAGGAGCGCATCCGAAGTGGCGGGCATGAAAGGATAAATGAGGGCTGAAAGAACGTAAATAAGGTTGACGGCGCGCGACACGACTTGTGCGCATCGCTGTGGGTTCTCTGTCATTAAGGTCTTGTTCAGGCCCGAGGCTTGCAGGTAACCATTACCCCGACTTGAGATGAGCATGACAGTTTGAAGACCGAGTCGTATTTTTACGCTCTCCATCGCATCAATATAATCTTTGAGTAACGTGTTGACATCGGTGATAAACTCAGCATCGAGGGGGTCATTGGGGGACAATGGGCCGGGAGCATCGCCACTTTCTGGAAGGACGCTGTCGTATTGGGCGGAGAGGAACTTGAGGGCACGATTGACGAAGTTGCCAAAGCTGTCAAACGAGTAATCAGTGTCAGTTCAGCAAGTTCATTTTGACGATTACTTTTTGAGAAGAATATTATTGTTGGCGGCAATCTATGAAAAACCAGAGGGTCAAGAAGGAGTTAGTGATAGGACGCAGACCAACTTACACAATCCGCCCACGAGAACATGGCATCAGCGGTTTCCGGACGAGTGGAGAGCAGATAGTACCGCCATACGGAAGCGGGAATTCCGGTTTCCCTAGCAGCAGGCCCAAACACACCACGATTTTTGCTCTTGGAGAACTTTCCACCCTCATAATTAAGGTATTCTGTATGCCAACTGGTCAGAAAAGAGACTCAGTCTAAAATTTGATGCTCACCGGTAGTTGAGAGATGGTGTAGTGTCGTCCAATTGCTGCCATCCGCGAGCAACATGGCGGGGAAGTATATAGTGTGGAAATAAACATTATCTTTGCCCATGAATTGGTACAGTCGAACATTATCCGGGTTGAGCCACCATTGTTTCCATTCTGGGGTATATTCTCCGGTGATACTGACGTAGCCAATGACTGCGTCGAACTACAGGGAAAGTGTTATGACACAGTGTAGCACAAAAGTATTGTCAACTAACCCAAACATCTGTCGTCGCCCATCAATATACCGGAGAGATTTAGGGGAACTAGCCACTCACACAACACTTTTCCACCCATCTCCTTGTCATCTTCTCGACCAAGAGGTGGAATAGGAACGCCCCAGGCAAGATCTCGCGTCACCGGAGTAGGTTTAAGTCCGCTTTTCATGCGCGCATCTACGATCTCGCCATCGGCATTGATTGTGGCATTGGGTGACCATTTCCCTTTCTTCCATGACTTCTTGATCCAGTCTTCTAACGCTGGTTGAGCAGCATCTAGTTTGAAATACATATGTGAAGATGAATGTGCAACGACATTGTGAGTTTTATCAATCAAGCATCGAGGCTCGATTAGGTCGATAGCATCTAGCGTGCGACTGCATCCATCACATTGATCGCCACGAGCATCCTGAGACAGATAGTGAGAATATGCAGTATTATTAGCTGTTTGACGTACGATAAAGTTGCAATGAGGACAGATACCCTCTACGTAGCGATCAGCCAAAAACCTGAGGCGAATGTTGGAACTGTTTTATTGACTTTTAGCAACACTCACTTTTTGCAGCCTTCACAATACGTTTGATCTTTGATCTGCCTTTCTAGATATCCGTGTTGGCCGAGATTGAGGTAAATTGATTGACATATCCTGCGTTTCGGTGTTAATGAGTGGTAACGGAATTGTATTTTTGCACTGACTCGGTATGTTTGGCGGTTGACGTGCGCCCAAAGAGATCGAAACTAAGGGAGTTCAGTATAGAAAATTTGTGCTTTGTGATGGATACGCACCCGATATCAAACCACTCATACGTCTCTTTATGTAAGGCGTGGTACTTATCACACAACTCTCTGGGAGTTATACCCTCCTTAAGAGCCGCAGTCTCTGTGGCAGTTCCGTACTCATCAGTTCCACAAATATAGAGAGTACGTCGATTCCGTGTCCCTGTAAAAAGTGTTGAGAGGATATAGGATTCTGCGAGACTATCACTGACGGTTGTATCTATCAAGCGAGGATGTTCTGAGTGCGTATCACAAGACACCAGTAAGTGACTCACCGGCTGAAGACGTCTGCGCTCAGGGTGCTTCCTATAATATTTCCTAATGATGATTATCGTCGTCAGATTTATGATATGATAGTACGTCGGACAACGCACCAAGATGAGGTACATTATTGCAGTAAGGCAAAGCGGACGTGATAAGGATGTTTGTTTCCCCATCCTTTGGTAGTCTGCGCCAATGACAATATAGATGATAGATTGGAAGCTATGATCTGATAAACTTACACGGCGCCCTGCCCAGGATCAGGAATAGATCGTAGGACATCGTCCGTCACTCTGATTTTCTGAGTCATGACTCCGAGTCGTTCTGGTGTGTGTCAAAGCAAGGTGAGTTTCGGAAATCGCTTAGATCTTGGACCCATTATAATACCGAGTGTAGGACCCCGGACTTCCCTCGAACCGGCGTCAAATGCTGCCTCCATTGACTCGAGTCATCTCTTTTCACTTGGCATACTATGGATGTTTGGTTACACTTCAACTTGCCGCGAAGCCACACGGGTTCACCGACTGACTCATCGATAGCTGGTAGATGATCATCTTAATGAGCACTCTGGTGCTTCTCTCCATTTCAATTCAGCACCTACAATTTCTTCCTTTCCAACTTGAAGCGCTGCAGCGAAGTCATTGTCTATTAATACTGTGTTAATTGTAACTCCGTGTCGGTGCGACTGGGAGGTAGAATTGATCGCCAAATGCAGGGAGATAAATGTCGTGTAGCTGTTGTGTCATACGCTATAGGAACCCTTGCTTCGTGTTCGTTCGCTGTTATGTCTCGCCACGAATCCGATCTTGTTCTGCACCACAGTACAGCTTTCACGACAAACCAAATCACCTCGATTTCAGGACGCAAACAATGGTAACCATCGATGCCACGAACCTCAGGGAAAGAATTGGGCGCTTTCGAATTCTGATCATAGGGAGAGCAAACGCGGGCAAAACGACCATTCTTCAGAAGGTCTACAACACCACGGATGAACCAGAAATTCATGATACTAAAGGAAAGAAGGTGCAGATGATGATCTATGCCATGCGTGTGTCTATAGCTGATCAATTTTAGATAGATCGATGTTGCCGCCGTGAAATCCTCGATCAAGGTGTGTACACCATTTGCCCTGGGGCATACATGCGCTGACAGACGCTCAGCATGGAAATCACAAATGAGATGGTGTTCATGAGCAATCCTGATTTCGTTTTTCACGACCCGTGCAATTTCGAAGCGGACTCTGAAACGAATTCGAGAGGATGCAGAAATTTGTCTCAGGACGCGCACACGCGACGAAATTGGAGGAGCGAATTCATGCTATCTGGCAAGTAACTCCCTTCTGACGTTCCGCGCTTCTTGATTGCCGTCAAGTATTGTCTTCCGATAGACAACCCGAGTCGAACATTCCGGTGAGCTTGCAACTTCATTACCACTTGCCGTGCTGGACTAAATGAACAATCTTAAGTTCTCGTGGTTGTGGTGTTCACCAACTTCGAAGCTTGGCGTCCAGTTGCACATGGAGAAATCAAGAAGCAACTGAAAGGGTATCGGGAGAAGAACGCTCGAAGAGGATTGTCCAGCACTTCGAAGAACAATTCGCGAACACAGCTGTCTTGAATGAGTTGTGCGAGCCCGAAACCCGTTCCAGTCCTAAGTCCCACGTACACTTGGAGAATCTTAATCAGTGGTCAGGTTGACTTGTCCCACGTCGAAGTTATTGGTAACTGAATACAAACTGCGACACTCTACTGGAACGCATCACTCTCGGACTGGACAACGAAGAATTGCAGTTGTGCTTGATGTCGACACAACAATCAAACCTGGAGCTTTGTATCAAATGTGCCCTTGTGTGAGTCGCAGATTTGCAAGTCACATATTTTTGTTTCAACATCGTCTAGAACACTCATTAATCGGCAATTCAAACCAAGCGATTGTGAGAACTATCAGTATGTCATTGTTGAGTGGTTTCCATATATCAAAGTAAGATGAAGATTGATTCAATCTTACGATGCCCTGGTAATGGTGCTCACGGATGGTGGATATTGAAGCGCTAAAACCGTAGACATTCTGATATGTTTTACTTGATTGTAGTCGTTCACTGATAACAGCCGGTAAGATTGTGGTTTACGAAGTTCGAACAGCATGGACAACGCTGATGCCGCCTTGTTTGTAGGTGCCTTGATAGGTTTTAGTCCTCGACCTATGCTCATGATCCCCATACCTCGCTGCTGCGGCAGATGTCAAATCGTCATCGCTCATATAACATAGTTCGTTCTGGTGGTTAATTATTCACAACTGTCACATCAACCAAATAGAATGTGCCAGTGTGTCTGTTATCAATCAAATTTGCCACCTGATGATTCTGACATTTCTTTCCTGCAGAAGGCAAGTACTTGACTCTGTGGAGTTGATACTGACACCCGCACTTTCAACCTGTGGCTAGACCGAAATCCATCGAAGTAGCGTTTTCCGCATCCTTCAGCCTTTGGCTGGTTGGTTTTCCCTCGCATTGATTCTCAGCACTGTAAGAGTGTACAACAGGCTGCGAAGGGACCAATGTTCACTTCTGCTGCGAACAGAATCATTCATATTGGTTAGCGTTTCACTGCATGACCAGTTGTAGTCTTAATGACTACTATTGTTGTCCTCGGCGAGTAACCTGCCTTTCTCCTGAACAAGTCGAAGCACTTGGAGCACCTCGAGCCCGCTGTGGACTACTACCCTACCTGAAATCTTCGACAGCTGTCGCAGTGGAGAAAGGAGCAAAAGAGATTTCTTCTCGAGGCCACGACGGAGAGGAACTGAGAAAGAAGATTCTTCAGCTCATCCTTGAAAATCGCTTGTGTACGTTCCTCGCCTCATTGTAAACCTGGAGGTCGAAGTTTATTAACAGCCTGTACCAAAGGACTCGACAGAAAAGAAGTAAATGATCAACGAACCAAGTTTCCGATACATTTTCCCATGCTATGCGCTCGTGTTATGTACGACATCTAACACGTCAGTTTCAACTCCTGAGCGGTGCAGACTGATGTTTCCTTGTTTCCAATGCTCTTCCCCATGCTATGTACTATACGTGGTACCCCAGCTTCAACTGCTGAGTGCTGCAGACTGTATCGGGTTTCAACACCCGTTTTTCGGGTCTCATCATATCGCGCTCTGTTTTGTGCTGTGTAGATTTAGGCTTGCACTCGTCAAATGATCGCTGTTCATTCTTATTTTCCATCGTGAGAATTAGAGGACTGGCTCGGTATTCTTCAATGCTGAAGTGGACAGGCATGGCAACATTGTCGATGATCGTCGAGACAGCATGCAGCCTGGGTGAGTAAGCCATGCATATGAAAGTCTGGGAGACCGTGGTAGATTTATAACAGATAAACCATGCAGAAAGCAATCACAGCATTGTATCATTGTCTCGTTGTTGAACATAACTTTATTGTCTTGACAGAGGGGAAGCGATCGGACACAAAACCAAGATGACAGGAAATGATGCGGATGTATCAAGTCATCGACACCAACGTGGAGCGTATGTATGCCGTGGACATGACAAGGCAGCGCCTGAATAAGTTGAAGTCGGATGGGAAGAGTAGGCAATAGAGGCTAGATATGAGCAATCGCGAAGATGAGAAGCATTTTCATAACAAGTGACGCATCATATGCATCAAGTGCACTACGTCTGCTCTGCTCGGTTCCTTTCGAGTCCATTCTTCCGTACGGCGAGGGTGTTCCACATCTTTGTTTGCGACCGCAACAAGACGTGTTTAGGTGTGGGCCATTGGGTCAGGACAGATAGCGAATCGCGATGTCGCCGAAAATCATGAGGATGAATTTTCTGTATGTTGACAGGCATGGTAGGTGTCTCAGCGCTTGAGATTGTGTGTCCGCTTTCAGTATGTGGATTCATAGCACCCGGTGGGGTAAAAACAGGTACTGGCGCAGTCACTGGAATCTGGATTTACATCACCTTGCTTGCAAGGTCATATGCCATCTGACAAAATCTGACGGACTAACTGCCAATAATAAACAATAATAAATATCAATAAACGTCTGTATGTCATGACATTCAGTTCAATTCTGCCCTGGATAAATTAAGATCACTTAGTGGCTACCGTGCAAGATTCGACGAACACCCATTTGCCGATCATATCAGCAGCGAACTCGAAGGCAGCGCAATCTTACGATGCGCATTTATCGTCGTGTTTCGCAATTCGAAAACGCGCTAATCAGCCCACTGTCAATGAAATCGTCTCCGCCGTTGGCCTTGCAAGCAGCTGCAATATTATAATAGGTGTACGAAATTCGATCGGACGTTGAAAATGGTGCCAGCATCGCTGTACTGCCAGACAAATCCGAGACAAGGCAGGCAAGCAAGGTGACCAAGGTCAGATTCGGCAGCGCCGAACCCTAGTACTAGCCCAATCAACACGGTGCCAATATTTGCGAGAACGGTGACAGCTAGGCACTACTAGTGCCACGACTTGCTGGATCCGTTAAAGCATGTCTACATACTTACCAAGGGATTGACAACGACATGATCATGTACATCGACCGAATTGAGTCGGCTAACACATGCCCCCAGAGTTCCAGAGTCTGTGACAGACTTGTAATCACCGCTGAGCGCTGAGCGCGGACGCGGACGCTGGCAGTTTCCGACTCCGCCAGGTCTGCCATTCTTAATTTCAACACTCACTTATGTCAAGACCTGTCCCACTGGCAGCTGCTATCCTGCTATCCATCTTGACAGGTTCCGTCCTGCGCGCTGAAAAAAAGACTGGCGAAATAAACTGTCGTTGAGTTGGGCGAGTTAAGGACATGTGTGCATTGCGAGGGACGGTAGGCTTGACTTGCTCTCAATGATCACCGTCCTGACATGTGCACTTCCAGTATTGCTGCACGTAGTGCGATAAAACCTTATACTACAACTTTTGGTGTCTCTGATATAGCTGGTTTTGTTCAAGCCACCGCTTTGGGCTAGCCTGGGCTCACGGACTATGCTTGGAATCTGGTAAGCCTAAGCTCCTTTAAAGCTAGGTCCAGGAAAGAGCTTTCAGGCACAGGCCCGACCATGATGCTGAACACTAATAGCAATCTGATGTAAATTAATGTTGCAACAACTGCTCGGAGTCACACTGCACCATAGGCTATGGTCATAAGCGAAACATATTTAATCTGCTTGTCTATCATACGCTGGCCTTCCTGTCTCTGCCTCCCATCATGATGGAGGCTTCTTCCGAACTGGTAGAAGAAAATTCGCATCCTTCTAGCCTTCTTGCATATAACGCATTCCCGGGTCACCAGGACTTTGACTCGACAATATCTGATGAGAAGCCCACTGCTGTTACTAGAACCGGTTTCTACGACCGCAATCTGACGAGTCGCAGATATGCCCTTATCGGAATAGCATGTTCAAGTATCTTCAGCTGCTTATGCATCATTACAGGTATTGTCACTGTAGCCAATCACGGAATTGTGGGAGTAACCCCACTCGGGCTCAGCATAGTCAATCTTAACTACCCTCTTCAATTGTCGCTGCAGTTGGAAATATCGACCCTGATGCTTGTCTCAACCGTCACGTTATGTGCCGAGGCTATAGGCTTCGTACACGGCATCTCATTGCGCTCCGCGCTAGCCTCAGAGTCTCGGCTTCATTTCAACACCAATGTGCGCCTTCTGACCGCAGCTCGTGGATGGCATAACCCCAATGGCACCCTGCTTAACGTTATCTCGGTTGTCCTCCTCACTATATCCTACAGCTTGCCCTCACTCATCGTATGTGTGGACCAGCGAGTCCCACACAGCTTGGATGGATCCATCATACAAGAGAGCGCGAGCGTCGCCATCGCCGGGTTACCTCTTCTCATTTTAGGCGTCGCACTCCTCCTCCAGGTGACGATCGCATTATCAGCGATGCGGGCGGTCAAAATTTTGACATGGAGCTCCTCACCTTTCGACTTGGCCGCCGCACTCGTCCACCACACACAATTGACCCCTATTAATTTCCGGTGCATGCGTCGTGTGTCTGACCTAGACACGTATGAAGGACCAGCGAAGCCACCAGAGACACAGCCCTCTGCTTGGCATGCTCACCCTAGCATCCGGAAAGTTGTCATTTTCCTTTGGGTTATCGTTACAGCATGCGCTGGATGGGCCGCACTCGTCATGTATATCACGGACCGCTTTTTTTCCAGTGGCAATGCCCTGACCCTAAAAACGTGGTCGTTCTTCCGAAATTCTGAGGGAAATGACATCATGTATGATCTACTGAGTGGCAGTCCTGAGGGGTGGATTCTGCTCTTTGTCAACGTTGCGGTTGTCCAGGGACTGTTGACGCTTGGACTGCATTGCTCGGAGCTCATCGTGAATGTCATTCGAGACGAAAGACAGTGGAGATGGGCTACCAGAAGGCAAGGACTTAGAATGGCGACGAACCCGCTGGTGTCGATCCTTAATCAACCGAACTGTCTCATACTTTTCATCGCGAAACCTTTTCTGCGTGAGTCATTCACGCCTAGTATTTTTTATCAGTTTTATTGAACACTATCCTTGACGATCACAGACTGGATGTTTGGGCTTTCATTCGACATAGGCAAATACGCCATTAACGACAACCTAAGCGGTTTTTTGATATTTATGTACACTGCCCAGGTTTGTACTTACTGTATGTAAAATTGTTACAACATGCTCACACATTCTTTCAGATCTGGAACTTATGCATCGCGCTCTTTATATTTGCCTGTGTCTTTACTTTCGTCGCACTACGCCGACCGTCCGGTCCCCAGCCAGCTGCATACGGCCACCTCCAGACGCTCGTCGACCTTGTGGACGAGTGGTCGCCTGTGATGTGGTGGGGACACAAGGCGGATGGAATTCCGTACTGTCATGCTGGTAGGTACTTGCATACTCATGATGATGCTGCATTGACACTTTTGAAAGGGACAAGCGATCACCCACTGCCGGATGTGAAGATGTACTGCGTTTATGCTGGTTCTGGTGTTGGGTCACTGGTACCTCTCTCGTGAGGGGTACCTTGCTTTCAAAAGGAATTTCTTGTAGTGATATGATAGGAGCGGGAGGGACGTGTTAACTGGAACGGGCTTGGAATGTGGAAACGGTCAATTTCAGTATCATATGTATGTGAGAGGTGCAATATCACACTGTCGGCCGACGTCGACTCGTCGTGGGTTGCGCTCGTCTAAATAGATACCCATAGCTACTCCTCTCGATCTTCAGACACTCGGTTTTCAACATTTCTTGTTTTCCATGTTTAGATACGTCAGTCTGATGCATTCACTAAACCAGCCTATGCCGTTGAACGAGACAATATGCTGTGTTGGGTATGAAATTGTTCCGGCACCATAAGCTGGGATAAAATATTTCATAGGTGGTCAAGCTAGGTGGAGGTTTGAAACCTGCCGACAACAATACCGCAACAGATCCTCGAATCAATTTCGTCTCCCTGCAGAACACTCAGCAGGCATTTCCCTACATGATACTGCTAGTTGGTACATGTACACGCTCCTGAACAATCGAATTCATGCTGGCTTCCGATGCGTCGGAGTCCACCACTGTGTCACGAGTTTGGCGTGATATTCTCGAACGCTAAAAATGAGGCTTGTGAACCTGGAGGTTAAAGTTTATTAACAGCCTGTACCAAAGGACTCGACAGAAAAGAAGTAAATGATACTCGAGCCAAGTTTCCGATGCGTTTTCCGATGCTATGCGCTTGTGTTATGTACGGCATCTAGCCCCCAGTTTCAACTCCTGGGCGGTGCAGACTGATGTTTCCTTGTTTCCAATGCTCTTCTCCATGCCATGTACTATACGTGGCACCCCAGCTTCAATTGCTGGGCGCTGCAGACTGTATCGGGTTTCAACACCCGTTTTTCGGGTCTCATCATATCGCGCTCTGTTTTGTGCTGTGTAGATTTAGGCTTGCACTCGTCAAATGATCGCTGTTCATTCTTATTTTCCATCATGAGAACTCGAGGACTGGCTCGGTATCCTTCAATGCTGAAGCGGACAGGCATGGCAGCATTGTCGATGATCGTCGAGACAGCATGCAGCCTGGGGGAGTAAGTCATGCATATGAAAGTCTGGGAGACCGTGGTTGATTTATAACAGACAAACCATGCAGGAGGCAATCACAGCATTGCATCATTGTCTCGTGGTTGAACATAACTTTATTGTCTTGACGAAGGGGAAGATATCGGACAGAAAACCAAGATGACAGGAAATGATACGGATGTATCAAGTAATTGACAGCAACGTGGAGCGTATGTATGTTGTGGACATGACAAGGCAGCACCTGAATAAGTTGAAGTCGGATGGGAAGAGTAGGCAATAGAGGCTAGATATGAGCAATCGCGAAGATGAGAAGCATTTTCATAACAAGGGACGCATCATATGCATCAAGTGCATTACGTCTGCTCTGCTCGGTTCCTTTCGAGTCCATTCTTCCGTACGGCGAGGGTGTTCCACATCTTTGTTTGCGACCGCAACAAGACGTGTTTAGGTGTGGGCCATTGGGTCAGGACAGATAGCGATGTCGCTGAAAACTACTACACGGATGAATTTTCTGTACGTTGACAGGCGTGGTAGGTGTCTCAGCGCTTGAGGCTGTGTGGTCACTGGTTCCGCTTTCAGTATGTGGATTCATAGCAACACCCGGTAGGGTAAAAACAGGTACTGGTGCAGTCAGTCACTGCTTGTAGGTGACCAAAGACCAGATGACCATGACTTCGTGAGCATGTCACTGGATTTATTACCTAGCCCAATCAGCACGGCGCCAATGCGAGAACGGGGATAGCCAGCCACTAGTGGACTTACTGGATCCGCTAAAGCATGTCTACATACTTGCCAAGGGATTGAGAACGACATGGATGATCGTGTACACCGACCGTCCGAATTGAGCCTAAGGACTCGAACACAGACAATATTATGTAAGTAGTAATACCGTACTAGACTCGTGACCAGTCGTGATAGACTTGTGATCGCCGCTGAGCGCTGAAGCTGAAGCGCTGACACCCCAGTTTCCGACTCCGCCAGGTCTGTCATTCTTAATTTCAACACTTATGTCAAGACCTGTCCCGGAGCTGCTATCCTGGTATCCATCTTGACAGTTTAAGTTTATCGCGGGTTTCGTCTCGCGCGCTGAAAAAAAGACTGGCGAAATTGAGTCGGGTGAGAGTTAAGGATATGTATGCAGTACATTGCAAGAGACGGTAGGCTTGACTCTCTGAGATCTCAATGATCACCATCCTGACATGTGCACTTTCAGTATTGCTGCACTGCAGTGCGATAAAAAACATTATACTACGGCCCCAACTTTGGATGTCTTTGATATAGCTGGTTGTGCTCAAGCCACCGCTTTGGGCTGGCTTGGGCTCACAGCCTATGCTTGGAATCCGGTAAGCCTGAGCTCCTTTAAAGTTAGGTCCAGGGAAGAGCTTTCAGGCCAAGCCAGGCCCGACCATGATGCTGATCACTAATTGTAATGTGATGTAAATTAACGTTGCAACAACTGCTCGGAGTCACACTGCACCAGAGGCTATGGTCGTAAGTGAAATATATTTAATTTGCGTGTTTATAATACGCTGGCCTTCCTGTCTCTGCCTCCCATCATGATGGCAGCTTCTTACGAACTGATAGAAGAAAATTGACATCCTTCCAGCCTTCTTGCATCTAACGCACTTTCGGGTCATCAGGAATTTGACCGGATGATATCTGATGCAGAGTCCACTGTTAATACTACCGCCGATTTCTACTACCACGGTCTGACGAATCGCAGATATGCCCTTGTTGGAGTGGCATGTTCAAGTATTCTTAGCTGTTTATTCATCATTGCAGGTATTATCACTTTCGCCAATCACAGTTTCCTAGGAGTAACCAAGCTGTTGAACCTGGTCGATGTTGATGAGGCTGCTCAAGTTCAGGGGGTATTGATCCTGATACTTGACTCAATCGTCATGTTATGTACCGAGTCCATAGGCTTCGTACACAGCGTCTCATTGCGCTCTGCGCTAGCCTCAGAGTCTCGGCTTCGTTTCAACACCAACCTGCGCCTTCTCACCGCAGCTCGTGGATGGTATAACCCCAACGGCGCGCTGCTTAACGGCATCTCGGCTGCCCTCCTCATTATATCCTACAGTTCGGCCTCAGTCGTCGTATGTCTGGACCAAAATAACTCGGAGACATCCCGAGCAGTTGGTGTTGCCATCGCAGGGATACCTCTCCTCATTTTGGGTGTCGCACTCCTCCTCCAAGTGATGATCGCATTGTCAGGGATGCGGGCTCTCAAAATCTTGACGTGGAGCTCCTCACCTTTCGACTTGACCGCTGCACTAGTCCACCACGCACAATTGACCCCCACTCCGTTCCGGTGCATGCGTCGTGTGTCTGACCTAGACACGTGTGGAGGTCCAACGAAGCCACAAGAGACACAGCCCTCTGCGTGGCATGCTTACCCTAGCATACGGAAAGTTATCATTTTTCTTTGGGTCATCGTTGCAGCATGCGCTGGATGGGCCGTACTCGTCATGTATGTCTGGGACCGCTTCCCTACCAGCTCTCTATTTGAATTTAGCACCTATCCGCTGACCCTACAAACGTGGTCGTTCTTCCGGAGCGCGCGGCCCAATGCCATCGTGTATTGGATGCCAGGTTCCGATCTTGAGGTGGGGATTCTGCTCTATCTCAACGTCATATTTCTCCAGGGACCGTTGACGCTTGGGCTACATTGCTCGGAGCTCATCGCGAATGTCATCCGAGATGAAAGACAGTGGAGATATGCTACCAGAAGGAAAGGACTTAGAGTGGCGACAAACCCGCTGGTGTCGATTCTTAATCATCCGATCTGTCTCATACTTTTCATCGCGAAGCCTTTTCTGCGTGAGTCATTCACGCCTAGTATTTTTTTGTCAGTGTTATTAAACACTATCCTTGACGATCACAGACTGGATGTTTGGGCTTTCATTCAGCGTATATGTGAACGCCTTTAACGGAACCCTATACGATATTCCGATAGCCATGTTCACTGCCCAGGTTCGCCCTTACTGCCCATGTAAAATTGTTACAACATTCTCACATATATTTGCAGATCTGGAACTTATGCATTGCGCTCTTTATATTTGCCTGTTTCTTTACTTTCGTCGCACTACGCCGACCGTCCGGTCCCCAGCCAGCTGCATACGGCCACCTCCAGACGCTCGCCGACCTTGTGGACGAGTGGTCGCCTGTGATATGGTGGGGACACAAGGCGAATGGAATTCCGTACTGTCATGCTGGTAGGTACTTGCATACTCATGATGATGCTGCATTGACACTTTTGAAAAGGGACAAGCGATCACCCACTGCCGGATGTGAAGATGGACTGCGTCTATGCTAGTCCCGGTGTTGGGTCACTGATACCCCTCTCGTGAGAGGTACTTTCTTTGCTTTCAAAAGTAATTTCTTGCAGTGATCGATAGGGGCAGGAGGGACGTTTTGACTGGAACGAACTTGGAATGTGGAAACGGTCAATTTCAGTATCATATGTATGTGAGAGGTGCAATATCACACTGTCGGCCGACGTCGACTCGTCGTGGGTTGCGCTCGTCTAAATAGATACCCATAGCTACTCCTCTCGATCTTCAGACGACTCGGTTTTCAACATTTCTTGTTTTCGATGTTTAAACGGAGAGATATGTCAGTCCGATGCATTCACACAACCAGCCATGCCGTTGAACGAGACAATACGCTGTGTTGGATATGAAGTATGAAACTGTTCCGGCACCATAAGATATTTCATAGGTGTTCAAGCTAGGTGGGGGTTCGAAACCTGCCAACCAAAACACCACAGCAGATCCTCGACCAAATTTCTCCTCCCTGCAGAACACTCGGCAAGCATTTTCCTACATGATACTGCTAGTTGGTACATCTACACGCTCCTGAAAGACAATCGAATTCATGCTGGCTTCTGCGTCGGAGTCCACCACGAGTTTGGCGTGATATTCTCGAACGCTAAGAATGAGGCGTGGTCCCAGCACAAACATCTGCACACCCGCTAAATTTTGAAAAGCATCAGATATTATCCAAGCTCCCGTATAAGTTGAATTCTGCAGAAGTAATGAACGGTGATTACAAGCAGATGTCAGTGACAGGTCAGCGCACCTCAAGCTGTGGAGAGAGAAGCGCAAGCTGGAAGCAAGAGACACCAACAAAGCTAGCGTGTGGGGAACTTGAACAGAAGAAGATAAGGACATTCAGATTACAAGCTCACCTGACAAAATAAAGCACGTGAGATTTCATCAGCACTCCGAAACAGTCCCCAATGGTTGGTCCTGTAAATGGGCCGAGTCGTCGCAGGCTATGGAAGTGTTCCACCTAGTAATCCAGACTGAAAGACACAGTACGAGCACTTCCAAAACAGTGTAGAGCATCCAAAACATCGAAAATAGAATCTGGGCTCCCCTTCATATTGATAACCACACATATACGTGCCAGAGAGTATCAACTCCTCTGGTGTTCGTCTAATGAGCTATGTTCTTCAGGTTGACTAGTAGCAAAGCTTACCTGATACAGTATCCTTGAGAATTGTTCCCATGATTACTACGCAGGCGATGTTGATAGCCAAGAAGATAAGAACAAGGAAGACGAGCATGATTATAGATCCCTGATACATGGCATACAATCGAGCAATCATGATGATTTGCATCATGTTTCAGTCGAGTCAATATCACTGAGGTATTGCAGCTGGGCAACTCGCCACCCAGCATGGCAGTTACGACCACATTTGTCCCATTAGTTGCGTAGTTCAAAATATTGCCTGAAACACCCAATTAGTGATCACCCTCAGCGTACTAGGATCAAACACTTCGACTCACACCTATTGAGTCATTATGTTAAGCCAAGTTCAATGGTCAGAATATCACTCACTCCTATAAATGAGTATATTCATTGAATGGAAATGAGATGGTTACAGGATACTCACTGCATCTGTCATCGATGCAGATGTCAAACTCCCTGTGCACCGCCAGTCAGAAGAATCAAACAGAGCACATATGATGCATACGCAGAGAAACAGCACTAATTGTCAGATCGATGGGCTGTTAGCACAATGCCAGTTTGTTGGCCTTGACACATACGAAAAATGTCATTCCAATATAGCGTATCTAGAACATTTGGAACCCTGCACAAATCCTAATCACGCCATAGTATGGGGTACGAAAAAACAGGTACAGCACAGTCATGAGAGACCGGCGTCGCCTCTGCCCAGATTCATTGTGTTCTCCTGTTTTTGGTCTGATATGGGACTCTGCCACTCGCCCAGATCAGTTCAATCTATGATACCATTCTTGGTAAGTTGGCTGCTCTGGAAATAGTACCGACCTACCTCTTGTTCAAGTGTTAGTACTGGAATATTATGAGAATGTCAGCGGTTTTCGAGTACTGTCCTGCTCACCCCAATCAGACCACGATGCCTCCCCGGCAACTGCAAAACTGCAAGTCAATGTTAGATCGACACATCACCAACAGATGAACGAACGGCTCCAATAGCTGTAAGAAAGATTATAATTGATTACCGGCCACCAACTTGCTGGTATCATTTGAGGCCAGGGTCATATTCGAGGGATGGACAGATGTGAGTAAGCGGGGGATGTTGAGGGTCATAACGATCTAGTTTTCGGGCTATACATACTGTCGTTCAGCGTATTGTATCGGCACAGTGATGTTGATGAACATTGCCTGCCTTCGAGTCACAGTCAAGGCCAGGAAATCCCAGATAAAATTGGTAATCAAAACACATATTTTTAGCCTTGGATATTTTTATCGCACACATTGAATATTGAATATTGAATGCCAGCTACAGTCTACACATCATTAATCAAAACACCGGCAGCTAGACAATTGGGACCTGCTACACATGTACAGTTTTGCTCGTTGCAAGCGGAAGTTTGAATGAGTAATACTCTCGCCTTGTCCGACGGTCACTACCCTTCTTTTCCCATAACGAGTGTCCAGCTAGCCCTCTCCCATCAACTGAGGCCATTCTCAAACATTCACCATACGCGGCTCATGCTCTGCAAGGTAATTGCACTCCCCTTGTCCTGTTTTGAGGAAATACTGAGACCACCGTGGAATCTTGGTGTCTCCGAGCTGATCATCTGCTGAGCGATGGAAGCTTTGTACACCCATGATGCTGTCCTCTGTTATTCTATGCCTGACATTTTCTCATTGCTACAGGTCAGATCATGGCCGTCAAGAAGTCCCGGGTATCTCTTCCACTCAAATCTACCCTCTTGAATCATGAGCGACGGGTCCTGCAGTGGCACCCTTCCACCCCAAAAGTTTTGCCTATGGACTATTAGAGCATTCCGAGTATCTTGCTATGCAGCTTCTCGGGATGAACGTTGATGAAGTGCGGGCACACAGTCCTCTACCGGCAGTAGTAAGCACCTTGGTGGTCGCTGATCAGATGGTATGTGGCATAGCAATCTCTGGTCCATTAGCAGACTCATGGTGACCTGCGCCAGATCTTAGCTCTCGAACACATACAAAAGAACAAACTTGTCCACTGCGACCTGAAAACTGGGAACATCTTCATCCACCCCACCGATTCCAGGCGTTTGTACCTGGTCCAGTATGGGCTCGCTCGGGATATTGCACATGAGGCCTAACCCTGCCTCTTGTACCCCTGATATTGCATGGTATCGGTACACTGAAGTACGTCAGCCTGAATATGCACTATGGTATTCGTAAGTTGATCCAGTATTATAGCTTCCCTCTTACCTGGCAGGATTGTAGGATTAGCTCCCTCCGCGTGACGATATATAATCTCTTGGCTATACGCTCCTCAGTCTTGCTGTGGGAGACCTTCCATGGACATACAACACTCGACATGGAACAAGCAAGAATCAGGAAGTTCAGGTTTGGATCAAAAGCAGCAACATAGCGGCGCTGACGTGGCCCCCAATGGACTACATTGCTCTGGTCAATTGATTGACTATGCACGCAGCTTGAAGTTTGGCCAACTGCCAGACTTATCAGCTGCTGCATTTGCAAACACAAAAAACTCGTGCACCAGCTGGCTTATCGGACCCTGCCACAATCGAGTGGAATACTCCAGCTGAGGCTTTTCAGGTCTGCTGATTTTCACGGGACATATTTTTTTGACTGAGCGCTCCTCTATAGACTCTCCGTCGCGTCCCCTTATATGCGCAGATACCATTCCCCTCTGCCCTGGACAGATTGTATGCTGCCAAATTGATATTCGCACAACGCTTGAGGGCTACAGCGCTCGAGTGGGTGATCCATTGTTCTGGCGGGATCCCGGTCTCTCCCCTGAAAAATGGAATACAGCGGCTGTTCTCTGGGTTGGAATAGACAACCAAAGCGAGCTCCAGAGTATTGTAGTCATCTGTATCGGACAGGGAGTCTCTCTTCCACTGGCATGAATGTTGTTCCCGTCTCCTCGTTTACTGAGGGCAGTTTGACACCGAGTCCTGCTTGACTCGTACTGCCACATATTATTTCGGCTGATGCAATTTGTGTGCTACCCGGGTGAAGAACTTCATATTCCTTCTCGTACTTAAATCAGAAGAGCTAATTTGATCTATCTAGGTCCACCCTGTTCCTTCTCCCTGATCGATCAGAAAAACCGACATCGATCTCCTACAGAAGTTTGATGATAACACCTTTACAAATACGTTATTGTATTTGGACCGGTCAGGTGCTTACGAACATCCCTTTGTCAAGATCTACTACGATTGGGATTGGGCCGGATTGTTATCATGGTAATGGGGAAGGACGCGGAGCATGGTACGACGAGAGGCAAACTGCCAGGAAGCGTCGCGAGGAACTTGACCAGGGCTCAAGCGGCTAAAACGCGTTCTGCCCGATAGTTATTTCGACTCGGACTTTGAATGATGGGGGGACTATCAGGCGGAACTGAGCTCATCTTTGACGGCAGGTGTAGATTTTTTTTGGATCCTTGGTTAATGTCCGTTGGGGTCGAGCCCCACGATGGACATTACCTACTTGTATGTACTTGTATCGTATATCGTTCGTCTGTAAATGTATGTATCAGTTTCGAACAATGGATCCGGCGTAAACGGGAACGTCAAAGCAGCGTATTACGTTGTGCGAAGGCAGGGCAGACTAACATAAAGGTGGACGGTCTCCTCGTGTGCGTTACATTCTCGCATTTGGCTGATCAATGGGATATCTGATATGCGATGTAGGTGTTTGTTGAGCGCGATGTGACAGGCACTGACGGTCGCCTCTGCTGCCTTTGATTAATGATCATATCGAGATGTCTCGCGATGTGGGATGTAGGGCTTCGTGATGTCTAGTACGGTACTGTACGGCGACGTCCGTAGCAGAGCCTGTGCATATTGAGCCATCTGCAGTGCAGGGGTCTGCTAATAATACACATCGCTTGTCAAAAAAAAAAAGAATACATAGAATGGTCTGAACTCTCCTTTTCGAATTCACAGCAAGACTTCCTTAGCCGCTCTGTGGCGTCTTCGAGACTAGCATGGGTAAGGCTGGCTATGCATCAAGGGTGCATACGGCCAGCTGCACGCCGTCCAAAGAGATGTTTGTGAACAAATCTAAAATCTAAGAAAGGACTTAGTACAAGGGCTAGAATCTGAGGAAGATAATGAGGGCAACGGACAATAAACGAAGAACAGGAAAAAAAATGAAGATAGGCCTGGACATTAGGTTCCGATAGTACTGCCATTGAATACCTTCCTCGTCGCGTTAGCGTAGGACCCGCGATTTTCTCTTGCTAGTATACACAAGTTGGTGCTACCTACCATTTTGGTCTCACAGCTCCAAGATTCAGATGCCTTTAGCCCTCCCCTTCGAATTTCGGAACTCAAATAAAATGAAGTCTTCTCGAAACCCGTGCGTCCTCCGGCACGATAAGACAATTACTACATATCTGACTATCCTCATCTCGGATACCTTTAGACTTGCACCTTCTTGAAAAGAACGGAACGTGATGGTCAGATCTGAGGAAACTAACGTATGAGGCTGCACATATGCGTTGTGACGAGATCTCGAATTACAAATTTCCGTTCATGATGGCCAGAAACTTGGTGCCGTTGAAATTGAACATGCATATGTATAATGTATTTCCCCTGCAGTAACCTGTTGGGAGGTCGCAGTGCGCAGTTAATCGAGTAGGCTGAGCCCTTGTCAAAAGTCCGTTTTCTCTCAAATTCATGCTGGAGCTGTAGAACATATGCAAGAAATCCAACCGTCCTCTCGGAGACTTTCAATTCATGGATACAGCGGATGCGCGCATATAATACACAAAAACGCAATACACAGAAAAAACGCAATAAGTATATAAGTAGGAAGAACCAAAAAGACTAGGTAACTAGGTAAGTATGTCGTACGTACATCTGGCGGAAGGATCGGACACGTGTACAAGGGTCGTCGTACTGTGGGTAAAGAGGTGGGTAACGGGTTTGCGTCGGGGAGGGGGGTGCGTTGGGACGGAATGGGGGGGTCATCGTTCGATGGAGTTAGCTGGGGGTCAAGCTAAGCTTCAAGCTTCAAGCCCCGCAGGACTGAACTGGAGGGTGGGTGGTGTGTGGGGAATAGTGGCTTGGTGTGGGGAATGGGAATTGTTGCTTGGTGTCGGTGTGTGTGTGGGGAATGCAATGCAATATCGCTAGAATATAAAAAGTACACGGTGAAATTTCAATCATGCATTCGCCATTTGATGACACAACAACCAAACAAAAAAAGAAAGGAAACTACGCGTATGCGATGGATATGAACATGGCACGGGATAGTGCACGAGAGAAACGTATATGGAGCATGGGAGATAATTAAGAATGCAGCGTCGGGTAGCTAGAAAGTGCGATGCAAAAATGCCAGATAGGTAAAGGTTTGGTATAGGTATCTAGATCCAAAATGAAAATGAAAACGTACATATGTCGTCGCAGTGGGTTGCGGCGTGGTGGTCGTGTCTAGTGTTGTGACTGTATGCAGCGGGCAGCGGGCGGGTTGATTACATATGGCACGTCTCGCTACCAATGCCCATGTTCAAGTCTCATCCCCTCTCCCCTGTAGGTCGCTGCATCACATCTAGAAACCGCGCCCATTCTGCCTGGCTTAACGACGCTCCCCACATCGAATCTTCCTCCACTGGCGTCGGGTATGTATAGGGGTATGACGAACTGCTCCCCCCTTGCACAGGATAGGGCCGTGTGTCGGGGTAAGGTGCTTGAACATGTTTCCCATCAGATGGAGGCGGATACGATCGTACAGAATCAGAATATGGTAGTGTCTGCGATGGCGCAGGTGGCGGTGGTGCAGGGTACGGATTCCCTGACCCTGACGCCGACCCTGACCCTGACCCTGACGCAGATGGTGGATATGGATTCCGTGCGGGTGCAGGAGCCGGCGGATCCGGATACGTATTTGTCGAAGGCGTAGTACCAGAAGCAGGCACCGTCCTCGAAGCCCCATCCACATACCTCGCACCCTCATACGACCCCCTCACATCACTGTACCCCCTGTTCTCAGGGTACGGATAAGGCGGAGACGTATTAGGCGGCACGTATCGCGGTTGAGCTGTATGTGTGTGAGGCGGGTAATCCACGCTATTCCTCCTCACGCTTGAGTTCGGGCTTCCGCCAAAAACCGCTGCGCCATTATTAGGACTCCCAGCTGCGTACCCACCTGCTGGACTGCCTAAGTAACCGCTTGGACTGCCACCTGAGTAGTTGGGGGGGCTATCGGCTGCCCCGCTCCGTGATGAACGCGATTGGTCGTGATAGGGGAATGCGAGAGTTTTGACGAGCCCGAGAACACGTCCTTTGACGGTTTCGCGTTCGCTTACTTCCATGTCTGCGAATCCGACTTCGTAGAGGGGTTGGAGGGCGCCTAGGATATCGAGTGCGCGGTCTGCGACTGCTTGTCCGCGGCTTAGTTCGAGAGTGCCGAGTGCTTTCTTGATGTTTGCACGGAAGAGACCTGCGCCTGGTTGGTTGGGATTTGAGATGAGTTGGAAGGAGAAGAACATGGCGGCGCTGAATACGTGGAAGGGTCCCCAGGACATGTGGCCTGGTACTGCTAGGCTGGCATTTGCGAGAAAGTCTGGACGGGCGTGATCGACGAGGGTGATGAGTTTGTCGGCGCTGCCTACTGCTATGTCGAGGCTGTTTGCTTGACGTTCGGATTTGGCGGCATCTTTTGGGTCTTTATCGGATTTTTCGTGCTTGTCTTTGTCGTTGGAGGAAAGGAAGGGTGATGCGGAAGCGTATGGTCTGTGGAGTGTAAAGCGGATGTGGTAGTAGCTTGTTCGGATGATGACGCTTTGTACGCCTAGTCTTCTCGTGACGATGTCTGGGCTTGCGAGGGCGCGCGCGATTCTGAACTCGTCCAGATCGAGCTCCTGGGGTAAGTTGTCCATCCAGTTGGCGAGTGCCTTGTCGTGTGCCATGATCGTGTCGTATGACACGGAGCGAAGCGAGACGGCGGTGTCCATGATGTCGCCTAAGACGTAGGCGAGGCGAAAGAGTGCAAGATTTGGAGCGTAGAGTTGGCGTGGTTGTGGAGGGTTTGTGGGAGTGATGGGGGAAGCGGAGGGAAGTTGGGTGTCAAAGTGATGGGAAGCTACGGCAAGAGGACGACCAAACATGAAGGCTTGCCATCTGGGAAGAATTAGGCGTGTACGTAAGAGAAACGAAGGAACGGACCGTTCGAGTAATATGATATGCCACCATGCCCAACGTTTTCTCTCTGCAAGTTCCTTGTTCATTCTCCACCTAGATGGATCGCGGTGTAGACCCATTGCTAGGCCTATGCTGACTAATTCGGCACGAATTGCCCAAATTTCCTCACTATCTGTCTTGCTGAGGTTTAGATAGTGAGAACGGATGAGGAGACATTCGACGAGTTCGAGGGTGTAGGTTCTGGACTCTGCACGATGTCGATCGAGTGCTGTGCGCATGACATCGTAGAAGCGTTTTCCGAGTTCTTCATGGTTATCTGCGAGATGTGCGATGAGTGGGTCGCGGTGAGGCAAGTAATGAACGGCGATAGCCATGATCATGCAGACAGTCGCGAGGACGACTCTATCTGGAGATGAGCCGCTCTTGAAGCGAGACCACGCGGTTGTGAATGCGGGTTGGTTTACGTGACGGTAAATCCAATTGCAGTATTCAAAGTAGTAGATGATGAGTGCGTCAATTGTTTCGAGTGCTGGGAGGACCTCTAGGAGGTCTCTGTCGTATTCATGAGTGGAAGCTGCGATTTCATCTGTGACGAGGCCTTCTATGGAGGGGTGTCTGTCCATTGGGTCGCCTGAAGCGCGTGATTCGTTCTGGATTGTGTGAGGAAGATAAATGGATGAGAAGAAGAGAACTGACCATTGTGAGGTGGGTAACGACAGAAGTAGTGCCAGCGTAGAAACCGCCGTGTCCCTGGGAGCCGATCATGCCGGGAGGATTATCACGATCAACGGAGTCAGAGTCTTGAGGCTCTTTCTTGAGTGGACTTGGAGGACCTGAAGGTGGAGGGTCGAGTGGACGTTTGAATGGGAGATTTCGGTGGTTTGCAATGATAAAAGTTTCGAGTAGTGAGACGCTGTGTTTTAGACGAGTTATTTCTTGCATTGGATCCACTCTAGAAGCATTTCTGGTTATGCATGAAGACATGAGACTTGTTTGAATGGGAAAGGGCATACTGGTCATCTGAACGTAGGTTTAAGTCTGATTCATGACCACGAGCATCCTGGTAGCATAATGCGATAGTTCCTTGGTGGTATTCAGTGTTTTTTTTTGAAAAAAGAAAAAGGATTGTACTGACCTCTGAGAACACAACTCGAACATGGTCGGTTTCTGTTGCCGTCAGTAGTGGTTAGTATTGAAGTTAGTGTAGTTTACTGACCTATCACACTTTAGTTTTGAGTTTCTACAAGGTTCGCAGTTGATAGCTTTTCTTGCTCTCTTTGTTGGTGGTCTTTGATCATGTTCGCTAGGAGGAGGACTTGTTCTTGACCTAACGTTTGTTGATCTTGGTTGAGTCTTTGAGCGAGGTTCAACGTCTGCCATTGACGCTTGAGGGAGGAATTGAAATCTGAGTTGAACCGTTTTCACTCGGGTTTTACGCTCATGTGCAATCTAACCCTAATCCGCCCCCACATGCGAGGCACTCTACTGCCATAACTGATGATACTTCCTAATTTAGTATCTCTTTCACTCGATTAGGATTCAATCTTACTAAATTAAACACTCCGCCGGGCCCCTTTCAAGACAGGTATTTGCTTCCGCCGTCAATTTCCAATTTGGTTCCGACTAGTACGCTCTGATCCACACACTTCTAAATTAGGTAATATAATATGCCATCTAAAAAACGCGGCCTTTGTGCATTGTTTGACCCTGATACTCGACCCCCCTTCATACTATCTCCGCCGTATAGATCCCATCAACGCCGTCTCCCCTTAACCCCCCTCCACGGTATTACGTATCCTTAACGGGGCAATAAAATCCTTTCCCCACATGTTCGCTCCAGTCTCGTGACTAGCTATCAGATCATCCTTCCTCTTCACTCTCAATCAATACAAGTTCCTATCTTGCTCTGCACACCCTCTTCACTCACAACGGGGCAATCAATACAATTTCTTATCCTCCCTGCCGCCGGGAGAACAGTCCTGAACCTCTTCATGCACTTTGGGATCTGTGTTGATATGAGTTATCCCTAGCAGATTTCTCGGTGAATGTGAATCTGGGGTGACTCGTTTTGACTTTGATTTTAGATCTGAGACGCTAGTCCATGTAAATCCTGCTTCTGGCGCGACGCTGGATCTACAGCTTTTCAACGATGCGTCACTACCATTTGCGCTCTATTATGTCGTGGTACAATGTGCATGACAGGATCTGCATCAATCGTCAATCCACTTGAAATTTCATCGTGCGGCGTCAGGATGGTGGATCTATGGGGTTTCTTCACGATCTGCACTCTTGCAATGTGCACCCACTGACAGGACCTCCATACGTTGCGGTGGAATACACATGTGCAGAACAAGATCTACACCAGCAACGCCCGTCATTAATCAAGTTGAAATGCCATCATGCAGCTTCAGTTTTCTTCATGTTGTACACGTGTTCAAAGTTAACCTTGAACTGTTGGGATATCTGGATATTTTAGTTCCAGATTCCTCTCGTGCTCCACCACCGCCCTTGCTGTGCGCACTCTGCTACGGCCCCGCGGCTTCAATTCGCAAGTGGTGTTTTCTCCATCTTCCATTCGGCTGCATGTTCCGATACCCATTTGTTGCAGATCGAGCATGGCTCGACGCTATGCAATGCATATGCGCACGTCGTCTGCAGAACGAGTTGCGAGGTACATACATGTCAAATTCGATCACGGTCTCTCATTTATTTCCCTGCTGGCTTCCGTAGCATGCATTTCCTCTACAGGGTCGTGTGTTTACATCAGGATTCCAAGTCCCTCTGTGGCGGCATCCCATCCGCCCATCAAAGCTACCACGCACACAACCCTAAAAAGGTTTCTCTACCTATATACGCCAAGAGAACCGGATGCACTTCACCATTCACATTTCGCATCCGTCAGGCCGTTCATTCGATTGCCGGCCTGCTCCGTCATTTGTGACCGTATACTGGCATGCCGCCGGTATTGCAAAAAAAACTCTTATCTTCGCTTGTGCTTCTATCAACGTGTCATTGGTTATTGTCGTTCTGCTTCTTGATCAAGGCTGTTACGCTTCTTGCTTTCTGTTTTTGTTACCCGCCATAGGTTCTAGAAAGTGGTGCGCTTGTTGTTCTTGTTCTGCGGCTACAATACCACGACATATCGCTATTGGGTCTTGGTGCAGACTCTTCGCGTTCGTGCCGCGTTGGATTCCATGAAATGGCGTTCTCGTCGTCTTGTTCTTATGCTGCGCTCACGGTCACGTCCTGTGCGATATGATTGCTATTGGACCCCGGCGCTGACTCTTCGCGTTTGTATTTATGTCGCTTGGGTGATGACAACGGGACTCCGCCGACTTTTGCTTTCTGACTTCCCCTAATAGCTATCTTGACGCCGACGCGTTTGATATCTGCGATAAGTACCGCAATCAGTGAAATGTGGAGCTTGTGCCTCTGGGAACAGAACTGAAACGCCACCACCCACACAAGAAAGGTCTTATTCGCTTTATAAGCGCCCATTTACTAACTTTGTCCACAGTGTATCTGCACTCATATTCCACCACTGGCAACTTGGACCCTCTTGGACTTCCACCATCTAAACGAACCAGGATCAAACTTGACTTCAACTCATCTACCCGTGTGATCAATGAGGCAAATGGAGATCGTGGAGCCACTGATAGTCGAAGGTTCAACGTTCAGCTATTTGTCATGGCTGTACTAGTATTAATCCTGTGATGTCAATTTGCAGGTATGATCAGTACTTCTTCTTCGGACGCTATACTACTCACATACATGGACCGGTGTATCCCGGAACCCGAACGTGGAACAGACTGATCGAGGCTAGGCCTGGATAGATTATGGATACTTAGTGGCGCCGGGCTGTACTCGGTCCCGATTTCTGGTCGCTGACACATACTCAATGGGGGTCCTCAATGGTGCGATGCACGCACGCCTGCATGCATGCATGCTGGGAGTCTATCATTACCCACCCGAGGGGGAAAGATGGCATGTGGGTTGGATTGGATATACACTCACTCACATCTCTTCTATTTCTCTCGGTGGGGTGTCTACCATGGAAGCTTCTAATGGACGTTAGACGACTCGGATACTGATAGTCGCACCTCGATCATTGTGCGATACACGCATCACGCACGCTGCCAACAGTCTACGCAGTCCAGGGTGGGCAAGATGTGTGACAGCTCTCTCACCCCCTCATGAAACCGGGTGTCTACTGTGGGAGTTTTCTGAATCTGAGAAAGGTTAATCGGATTTTCCCCCTTTAGGTGATTGCAGAGTCTGGAGGTGATAAGGATGCTGGGCGGTAGTCACCATGCTGGTGCGGTTTTCTGTCGTGCGTGTTTGTAATGAACTCATGTGAGCTACCAGGTGTTGGATGACCTGTGTCAGATGACATGCGGCACCCCGAGTCATCCAAATTAGAGAGATGAAAACTCAGCTTCTGTTCCAACTTAGCCCGCTGGTGGCGTGGGACGTAAGCCTAGTCTCTTCAATCCAACGATCGATACTTGGTCCACAGTTGATCGTGTTGACGTCTGTCTTTTCTGAGATTGACTGTGGTCAGGTTCTATGGTTGTATTTTAATTTTGTCAGATTATTTACTTCAGGTTTGTGGCGCATACTGCGAGTTATGCACACAAATTGTGGAGATGAAGACATAGCTTTTGTTGCAGCACGGCGACTTACAAGACATGGGTCGTAATGGAACAGAGGCTATGTTTATACAATGCAGCCATCGATGCTCGATCTATGTTTAGGATGGACTCAACGGTTGATGTTGGCCATGTTGGCGTCTGTCCGTCCGTCCGTTTAGGGATTCAGGTAAGGTTTAACGGGATTTTCCTCGGGCGTCATTGTACAGTGATGAACTTTTCTGATTTTAGAGATTTGTTGTTAAACGCTAAAGCTTAAGCGCTTAAGACTGAGTCTGACCAGGCTCTTATCGCATTGGACAAACATAGTAACTACGCAGGAGGGGAGAATGTGTGTAGGTCTTCACAATTTATTCCTAACCAAAGTTGAGGATGGACTCGACAGTTGATTATGTTGATGTCTGCCCGTTTATCAGACTGCCACAAGGCTGGTAAGCATTGAGTCGTGCTTGAGCGTCCTGATGAGACGCCGTGCGAGTCCGACGATACTGAAATTCAAATTCCAGATCTAAAGGACGGGAACCATGTCGATTTCCACCTCATGTCGACTCCACCTTTCATTCATCGATCGTCATACACCAGTATAATAAATCTTCAATGTACGACCGAGCCAGTTCGATGGCCCGTCATTTTGCTCAATCGAGACTCGGGTGCAGAGGGCGGTGAATTCCCATCTCCTCGGGTTTTCCTTCCGAATCAGGTAGTGGAGCAAGGGAGATGCTCCTAACCTTCGCAGCCCTAGTCCCAAATTCGCCGTTTCTTAATACTGCGGGACATCAAGTGAGTTTTGCGCAAGTTTCTTATGTGCCATGTATGATCATATATCCCACGCTAAGGAAGACATTTGCGGTATATCATCATCCTGACACACAAAGTTGGGTGGATATCTGAAGCGTGCATGCGCACGGAGCAAGGGTTCAAGTGATTTGATCTTTCTTCTATTAGTCTGTCTAAGGCAGACTAGCTTTGATAGGTAGATGAAATGCATCATATGTATAAACTAGGTAGCTACCCCAGCTAGTAGATGCCGCAGCAAAGCTAGCTTAACATCCGACCAGTAGGCTGCGTAGCTGTTCCCGCAGTCAGCGGTTTTCGCAACTTCGTAGCAAATGTCTATGCATGAACCATGGGCGATAGCTGGCTTCACCCCAGTAGCAACAGCAAGGATGGCGAGGTAAGCGAGCTGGATTTTCATGGTATCTAGTGTATGCGTCATTGTCAGTGATGACTATTAGTGCTGGCAAACCACCCACCCTCGAATTTTGGGTGGGATCTACGCAAAGGTGCTAATAATGGCACGTAGAAGAGCTAAATGTGAGATGAACACAATGTTCAAGTCGCTCAAGTCTGATCACGTACTGTAAACGAGGCGATTTCGTTTGGGGATCTGAGACTTATCACGTTTGTCAATTTATATGCCACTAGAAGTCCTCAGTACTTTGAGTTGTTGCTAGGTTTTGCGGTCACCATCCGACGGCCACGGCGATGACCGGAAGAACCTGGGCTACAATATGTAGTCCCGACACGTCCTTGCCGCTGGTTCCAACATCAACAGCGGCGCAGAAACGGCAAACTTTGATATATAGCATGCTATGCAAGTGGCAACGCACGAGCCATTCAGCCGGCAGCGTGCGAGCTTCGAAATCAAAACCAAAGGCGGCCAAGGAGGTTGGGACAGTAATTAGTAGTGGGAAGGACACGGGCTCGAAGCAGAGTACTTGAGGAAGGAAGCACCAGGGCACTCAATACTCAACACTCAGGGGTCCAGCATAGAGCTACAAGATTGCGCATTAGGTCCGGGCCTGATCATATATCCATTAACCTGTGACCGTGTCTCAGTAATACTTGGGCAAGGGACACTCACATTTCAATGAATCGCTAGACGGACTTATATAAACACCGGCGGTATGACGGCAAACCGAACCGTTACAGGGTAGAAAGAGCGGTATTGCAGAAAGTATCTGCTGCACTGGTCATTAGAAGGTGGGACGGCAACTGAATCTGAGTTGCATGACAGAAAGAGGATCATCATCTTAGTATTGTCGAGCAAAATTTCCCCGCCCCGAATTACGGCACGACGGCGCAAACGAGTGTGGAAATGAAAATACGGATTCTAAGGGTAGGGTAATATTGCTGAGATTAGGTGTGCAGAGCCAATAGAGTCGGTACACGGTTTGTGAGGGTCAGATCCAGTGTGAGTACTTGAGTGCGGGTTAACTGCTTAGGAAAACGGCGATCGAGCCGCAGTGACAACGATAACTATGATGCAACCGTGCTGCCTCAAGATCTTAGAGCACTCCAACGACGACGTAGTTCCGACACTTTAAAACTGCGGTCATAGAAATCAGCTTCAAACTTTCTGACAGCGGCGATTTGGTCACAAACCAAAACGCATGACGGTTAAGCAGAGTCCTGTCCTGTCCGCCGGATTGGCTCGGGTTCGCGGCAAATTTCAAGGCAAGTCCTAAAACCTATCTTGAATAGTCGAGGGTGTCGGAAGGTCCTATCGTAAGCACCTTACTAAGATGACATTACTCGTCGATGAGCCCTGTGGTAACATACTTGGCTGAGAAATGAGTATCAAGACAATTAATAGAACTCACAAAGATAAGATTATTGGCACAAGCATTGAGTGCCTTCGGAGGTGTGAAAAAGAGTATGCGCCATTGAAAACTTTCGTTTGTAATCACTGCGGGCAAGAGGTGTGCAAAACTAGAATATAGCACATACACCCGGAGAAACCTCAGAGGCGTCCCCCCCCTCCTGTCACAGCGTGACGGTCACTGTAATTATACCATATTTGGAAGCTTAGTCACACAATCTCAATGCAAACCAAGTCCCAGTACTGATACAAGGGAGGGGCAAACGAGCGCAAGCAAGCTACATATACATGAACGTGCAGTTCGGAAAACACGTAGAAAGCATGAGTGATCTGAACGTGAGATATGCAACGAGGAATAGTGAAGTGTGAAGCAAAATATCAAGTGACTGCTGAAAAACTGACTTGAAGTCTGCTAGAAGCTGCATGAGCTTTCTTTGAGGGGCGAGAAGTACCGATCTGTGTTCCAGAACACTTGAGTTTGCGAGAGCCTGACACAATTGGATTATTCTCTTTGTCGTGTGTGGTCACCATGGCTGGAGGAGGCAACACTTGGAAACGCTCCCGTGGAATACCTGCAGCCTTCTGTTCTAGTTCTTCGAGTTTCATTGTCAACCATACACCCTCCGGCAAAGCAGCGCCAATCTCTCTATGCCCAGGAACCGCATACCCCTCGTGTTCGGTCAGGATATGCTCCACCATGTTGTAACACCAGACACCTTCGACGTAACCCTCGTGTGCTCTTCGCTTGGACTTTCCAAGCTCAGGAACAAGCGCAGGGTGGCAGAGGTCACATTTGACGGGCACATTGCGGGACAGTGTGTTCGCCAAGCCTGTGTCTGCAAAGCCGTATCTAAATGTGTGCTTGTACGCGCACTTTGTCTCCCAATTAAGAGGACCGCTGGCCATAACTTTGACCTTGAGAGCACACTCGGGTCGACCTGATCAGCCACAAAACCCACATGGAAGAATGGTACCAACCTGTTGTAGTCTGTCGTTAGAATATAGTGTATCAGATTAATAAAATGCGCTTACCGAGTCTTTCATGTTGGGTTCGGGTATGTGATACAACACTCGCAAAATATGAAGGCCCATATGAGGCCGCATGCCGGATACTTTGGCTTCGCATAACAGGCAAGTCGTGACGCGTTCTCCTCTGGATGTAGCGAGTTGGGTGCTTGCTTCAACGGAGACAACAGCTAATGTACCTAGGAGAAAATTAGCAAACACAAACAACGAGACAAAACTAGCTGAGACATACCATCAGCGAATTGATATGGGAACACCTTGGGATCTGATGGGATGACAACTGCAATAGAATTGAGTGATACATCCATATCGGTGGCCTTGACCCAAAGGAGATTGCATGCTGCTTGAAGAGTGTCTTGCGCAATCTGCCAAGTGCTCTGGCCACCATTGACTTGAGAGAAGTCGTCCGTATTGATGTCGTCTCATAAGCGGATGAAAGTGGGAGTAGGGTTGATTGGTTCTACAAGTGAACCAGGGACAGTGATGATAATGACATGCTCTGTCGCAGACATTGTACCTTGAATCACTGAGCGAGAAGTTACGTATCCTCTGTTCCACAGAAACAAAATTGCGGTTTCAGGCGAGGCTTGAGTAGGGATGATGGTGAGGAGTTGGCCAGTAATTTTGATGGTGGTTCGTAATGCTTTCATGATGGTGACATTTATTGATGGGCGGGACACATTGTTCACACTTAAGGTTGTCGAGCGAAGTGCACCGATAGAAAGAGAACGACCACTACGGAGAAGCGTTAGGAATATATCCCCAACCAGAAACAAGTTCTGGTTGGTAATCCTCCCAGCCGACATGTCAATTCTCTTGTGAACTTTCATGTAGCCCGATCAGACACGTTCGAGGCGATTGAGGGACTTGGACACGAAATCTTTGTTTATTACGAGGCAGCACACTGTCTGTTTATGAATCCAGCGACCCTTGAAGAGCAGATAATCATCAGGTCTTATTCCAGGGCCTTCTGGCAATGCAGGGGCTGACGGATCTTGGACAACATGTGAACGAGTAGCTGCTGAGGGAGAGTCGATAGATGACTCGTCGACGAGTTGCTCCTCGAATGTAAGCATCAATTCATTGTCTTCATTTGCTTCCATCTCTCCAGACGCTGGAAGATTGTAAGCGTCTCCATCCAATGACATCTCCAGATGCTGTAAGGATGGCAAAAGGGTGGGAGTAGGATGAGGAGGGATAGGAACTCGACTAGTGTCTTCGAGGTTGTCATCTGTGTTGATACCGAGATACTTGTTCTCTCCAAATGGATGGAGCATGTCAATTTCACCGGAATTGAAAAGATCTGTGAATGAATAATGAATGGGATCGAGCTGTGACTTGGAAAGGATGGCAAGGGCAGATTCATGGCCCAAACACCATGAAAATGGGAGATCGCAGTGACCTGCAGTGATATCACCCTTCCATAGTCCACGGTTGATATGATCTACCCCCTCCTGTTGTGTAAGCTTGAGGCGGCGGTGCCCAGGATCAAGCTCTGGGCGTCGCTTGAACACAGAGTCGATATCCTTTGCTGCACCAATCCGATCTAGAGCTTGAGCATATGAGAATGCTGAATTATGACCGCCGATCATATGTGTGCGACTGAACAAGAGCTCAAGTGGGTCGTCGCCGAGAAAGAAAGGTGCGTGCGGATCCAGACATTGTTGCTTTGCCAGACAGAAGAAAGCATTCTTAACAGTCGTTTGGATGTCATAATATAGTTGATACGACATAAAAGAGCATCGATGGGCATGGAAAAATGTGAATGCAAGGTGAGAGTAGCAGCTGAGGGACTTCATCTGATCGGACAGGGACATAGTGACATCAATGAAAGGCAAAAGGATTGATTCAATTAGTGCACTGAGGAGGGCAATGGAATTCAGATCCGCGTGAGTGTCGATGTCAGTAGAAAATGAATCATTGATGGTGTGCTGCTGGTGCTTGCAGAACTCGATAATAGCTTGCATTAGCTCCATGGCACGAGGGACATCTTGAGGGACGTCTGGGTATAAGAGCTTTACAACAGCCTCTTCATCATAGGCCGGCAACCACACAAGGTAACACAGCAAGACCATCGAGTTGATGACTCGTCCATTATTGAGGACAATCCCGGCTGGAGATCGTATGAGTGTGCAAATACCTGCATGAAATTTCAGACATGAGGCTCGTTGTGAAAAAAAAGACTTACATTTGAAGATGTGCTTAAAGTCAAAATCAAGTGTCACTTCCCCTTCACCAGTGAACAGATTCAGCCCTGTGAGGTTGATGAGAGAACCATATAAGGGTGAGTCTTCAGAGAGAGGAGCCTTGAGAAAGAGTCTGTGCCCTGCAGCGCGGTGTGTCACATCCCCATCAGTAGCAAATGACCAAATTGGTCCGACGCTCACAGCTGCACCTGATGTACTCCAGCACTGAATCATATGAGCAAGGATCTTTTCCATGTCGGTAGCGTCCTCTGTTTTGCAGGTGGGGGCAGCTAAAAGAGGATATATGTTGCGACGTAGTTGTTCTAGACGGGTGCGCTGACTGATGCCAAGTCTTGTCTTCCAGCGGCTCAAAGTGTCTGCGACTCTTGATCGGTGAGCGCGCTCTTCAATGAGACGAAGGTTGTAGTCAGTGAGATTGTCAACATTTCCCATACAAAGTTGCGTTTCCATGTGTCGCAACACTCCATCAATCTCAAGAAGAGATTTCTCAAGGGAGAGAATTTTTGAGATTTCCTCATCATTATTTGTCTTCGATCTTCCTGTCGAGTTCATGTGCATGAATATTGTAATTGTACATCACGAACGGTAGCACTTACGAGGCAGGGGTTTCATCTGATATTCAACTTGCGATTTCCATTCCTGGCGTACACAGATCTCATCGACTGAAAGCTCACGTAGAGCCTGCGTTGCAGTACTCTTCTTCTTGATGCAGTTATTCCACCTCCGGATCAACCAGTTGCCATATAAACTAAGGTTCTTCTCATTGAGGTGCCGGACTTGAGTGTTGAGGACAAAAAGTCGCTGATGAAACTGAAAAAGCGGTCAGTAAGTAGCAAACATGTAAATTATAGTCAGAGATGAATGAATAATACGACCATGGCAAGTATGGTCATAAGCGGCTATAGCTCGTATGCAATCATTCTTGAAACAGAGACACTCACCCCAGAAACGCGTAGCGGAGCAATAAGATGTTTCAGGGCACTCCATAAACACTCGCAACCTTCTCCATCCGAAAGGCCAAAGCCTTCACATTTGCGAGGATGGTATATAATTTGACATGCCCATTGGTGGCCGTAGGCGTGAAAGACTGATATCGCGAAAGTTATACGGCAAAGAACCGCATCATTGAGGAGTCGGTACTTGAGACAACTTCAATGAAGCTGACAGCCAATGTCATACAACAGGCCAACAGTCATATCGGTAGGGAGATTATCGAAAAGTTTCTTGATGAGGGCGAGAGCATAGTGTTGCTTTTCTCCCACCGACATCATGTTGGCGAGCCATAATACACGATCGTGCCAACATAACATGGCCATCACACCTGTATCTGCAAAAAATTGGGTACTAGCCTTTTCACGTTTCTCATCAGCGGCAAGAAAAGAATCACCACAGCCATCTAGCACAGAGGTCGGGACTCGCATGCCATCCTCGTAGTCATCCCCCTCCTCTTCTGTGGCTGCAGGTCACTTTCTCTTGCGACCCCGATCAAGGGGTCTGTCGCAACAACTCTGCACATGAACCTCCATCGATGTCACCTCATCGTCCGAAAGGAAAACCGATCTGACTGGGTTTGGGGGATCTGGCCCTCCACCGTGTTGGTCCGATGAACATTTTTGAGTGAAGCATGCGTCAATACAAGTATGGACGTCAGGTCTATCATATACTTTAGAATTGTTTTAGTTGCTAATATTGAAACAACTTACTTGAGATTAAGAGTTCTACTTTTTCGCCAATCATCCAAGCCAAAACAAATCGGACAACGAGACCTTAGATAGTCACTTGGACATGTTAGTCCCTCAGTTGACGGCGGTGGAAGTGGGCGATGAGTTCCAATGACATTGGACAGGTGATCATCAGCACTCATGAAGAGTACAGAGTACCAATGATAGGTGTTACCAAACCGACGACGAAGATTATCCTATAAAAATATTGATACTTCAAAACTCAGTATAGGTGCTTGACTCACCTTGGTGGTAAGGTGATACCCGCGGCCAGCCAGAAAGACTTCGAGTGTTTCGCACCAAGCAGTTGTGTTGGGAGTGATATGTACGAACAAAGTTTTGACAAGTTCCAGCAACTGAAGGTCAACAGCGAGGGAAGGAGCGATGGGAGCGCAGGCAAAGTAACTGCGAGACAGGAGCTGAAGGGGAGCAGGTGCGCAAGTGCAGCACTCAATTCGTAATATCTCGATATCTACGATATTATCAGACAACCAATAACTCAGGTAATAAGAGAGACATACGATTGAAGAGTATGCAAGTGATACTGAGAACCCTCCGTCGACAAGACGATTTGCACTGAAAGGTAGCAACTTCATCTGGCTGCAGTTCAATTCGATCGCGAAGAGAAGTCGATTTGTGCAAGTATGTAAGGTATGGAGCGATCAAGGAAGGAATGACTTTGTTTGTCCAGCGTCGCCACTGATTCATCTTCTTTTGGCGGCCCTTCGAGGGGGAAGGTAGGATTGAATCACCATTGGAGATGTAGTGTAGTGAGCTGTAGAAAGACAAGTGTTCTTCACGCTCTAAAGTATTCCCAGTGGATGGACTATTATGCTGGTTAGCAGTATCGGCATCGCGCAAAGGCTGTTGCTGTTGTGACCTTCCTGGATTATTGAGTGATTGTTGGGTGAGCCGTCTTCTTCCGGGAAGTACGAGTAGTGGGGGGGCTATAGGAAGATGAAACTTGCTGCTTTGCTGCAATCGCCGCCTCCTCTTCACCATTGAAGAAGTGATGAGTTCGTGCTGCGTATTGTGAGAGGGTGGAGTGGACGGCCCAGCGATAGGGTTGGATGAGACCATAACGAGATATTGAAAGCCAAGCATGAAGCCCACGTTAAGGTTGGTGTCAACACGAAGGCAAGCACGAAGCCCGCACTAAGGTCAGTGTCAACACGAAGTCAACTAGGAGATAGTCGAAGGCAAGCACGAAGCCCGCACTAAGGTCAACGTCGACACAAAGTCAACTACTAGGAGGGACTCGAAGTCCCAAACTTGCGTCGAATACACAGACGAAAAAGTGGTCGAATACGTCGATCAACCTTTGGAGCAAATGTGAAGGAAGGAACTCTACCTGTTTGTGTACACTCTGCTCTGTGAAACTGAAATATTAGCGGTGTGCGGAAAATAAACGTTGATATCTAAGATAACCTGTTTGACCATGACAACATCCCATATGATTGCAACAGCAATGGGCAACACAAGGTGGTATACAAATTATTGACTATTGGGGGTATATGTGAATTAAATTCGTAAGATGACAATGATTGCGATGGGAAAAGAGCACACAGCATCTAGATCTAGGCGACAGAATACAGTAAGTGAGGAACGACAGGTGGACGGCCAGTATTGTCGAAATAAGACTGAACATAAAAGAGACAACATTCCTTCATCCCCTTCCATATGTTGTGCTCACGTCCGGTAGCATCAAAAGGTTGTTTAAGGGACTTGGGAAAGTGCTCCCACGCTGACAACACCTTGCGGAAACTTTCGAAATATGGTAAAGCGGCATTGAAAGATGGCGCATTGAGTCCGTCGTTCTCTTGAGGTAAGTCCCTGTTCCAAACTTTCAATGACTTCGACGGGAAGATGCTACGAAGAAGCTCCATCCTTTCCTTCCTCGCCTCCTTGTCCTTACGTGCATCGCGCCCAAGATGCTCATCCAGGTCTAGAAGTTCATATCAAAAACTTTGCTCACAGATTTCATATACGATTTGGTGTGCGAGATCTGCGGGGGGATTGTCGAGCGTGAAAATGGCTATATCCTTTCCATGCCAGTGAACATTTGTGGGTCCTGCCCACAAGGCCCGCTGAAGGTACAACAATTCAGAGAGTGAGTCTGAACAATGTTGGGTCTTGCAGAACCTAGCTGCTATTCGACCCTAAAGGGTTTCTGGACCAGGCTCAAGGCTCAGAGGAGAGGAAATATCATGAAAACTTGCTGAGTACTCTGACTCCTACTGGTAACTGGTGAAAAGATAACTTCCTTATGTAAGCTACAAAAGTGCCAACATAAGGTAAGGTAAAAACAGTCTCTACAAGCCCAGCCAGAAATGAATCCCTACACCGCAGTATTGGAACTTCCTTTTGGAAAAGTAAAGCAGTCGCTGCTTTCGACTTGCTGGTCTTGCCTGACGTCCGCATGTTCAAAGGTTCCTGAGCGTGCTGAGATATCAAGAAATCGCGCCAGTTTCTGGGCGCGAGGAAGAGGTCGAGGCCTTTCATCATAGACACGTTCTATCCAGGTAGGGCGGCATGCCAGCCAGTTGGCAAGGTCCTTCACCAAGGATTGTGGGGAAAGAACATTAATGAATAAACCTGGATCAGGAAGCGAGTACCCATCATCCATTTTGTCTCTGGGATGCTTGATGCGGAGGATATCTTTGTTTGCTTCCTCCAACGCTGAAGGTGAGGAATCTTGACTGTGGGTGAAAACACTAAAGGTAAGGGGGCTCTACAGCAAGACCTGGATACGAGAATACAACTCGACCCAAAGGACAGCTACTGAGAGAAGTTCCTCGCGAATAAGGTGGAGGGAAACTCTGTCAACTAGACGGGCGCTGGTAGGCGCGAGAAGGTAACGCGCGTGAAGCGCGCGTGAGCGATGCGAGGGCGCGCGAGATGCGAGAGGCGCGCGCGTATGCGGGAGCGCACTTATGAGTGATAAGGGATATGGTTTCAAGTATAATAGAGGCGCGAGAGTATACTGTGATAAATGGGGGGAAAAGTAGTCACCGAAGTAAAAGAACTTCCCTCTATTTAAGAAGGGAGATAGCGCTATGCGGCGCTTCCGAGCGCGGTACCGAACCGAGTAACCATATCAACTCTAAATATAATCTAAAGTCTAAGATAGACTTTCTGTATGTAAGCGCGGGGATCGGACCGAGTGCACATCAATTCAATGAAAGAGATAAGAATAACGCACCAGCAAATCAGTGAGGACATAGGACAGACAGACAGATGGGTAGGCGCGAGAAGACCTAAGGGGAGGCGCACGGACGCGCGCTTCCGTGCGCGAGTGCGTATGAGGCGCGCGAACGAGGCGCAAACGTATGGCGCGCGCGCGGGAGCGCGTATGACTGATCCTTCGGATAAGAGCTGGAATATGTAAGGAATATGTGGTTCGTGGGGCCATATGGCCGGCATTGAGAGGCGCGAATCTCTACAACACTATCTTGAAGAAAGAGTTCATTGGCGGCATATAGGGGTGATCTATATCAGACCACTTGTCACGGCCAGATACAGCTTTATTCTGACACGGAGCGGTTGCATTGTCTGAGGAATTAATTAGTCACAACAACCATGAAAGAAGAATGCTGAACTTACACGGTGCAAGCTTGGCACTCATTTTGGCCTTCCCTTTGTCTACACGCGCCCTTCCTACCAATGACTCCTTAGTTACCATCTGTTCCACTTGGGGTTTTGGAACCGGCAGCTTCTCAAAGTTGGAATACGGCTGACGAGTGGCCTCATGATGCCGGTGATTATTGGGACCTCTGGTGATGATGTCGAATGGTTGGGCAAAGAGTTTGACGGGATCATGATACATGCCGATGACGAGGTCATCGGGTGGTGTGAACGAAACAACTTTGACGATGTTCATGTTGGCATTGACAAGTTCAGCATCACGGATAAGCCAGACAGGAACTCCAGCAGTGTGCACCTTTGTGGCGATAGCGACATCATCAGTGAAACAACCCATCCATTTGGGGTCAACCTTGTGCGTAGTGTCGACGAATCGCATGCGAGGCTCGATAATTTCGTAATAGTCTAGAACCGCCCAGATATCGAGAAACCAGCGCTGATATTCAGCAATGATTATGATGATGTCGCACCAGGCCATGGCTTGCTGGAAGCGCTCATAGACAGCGTGCATTGCATGCGCCCACCCAACTACATGATCCTCCTTGTGGGACCTTGCAACCTTGTAATTGCTAACCCACATATTGGCCTTCTCGTACAAGCGCTTGAGATGGCCGACAATGTCGGTCTTGAGTTGACCAAAAAGATTGCCGGGAGAAATGGGCATGAAGTCACTTGCAAAAGTTGGTCTGAACCATGCGTACATCATGCTTGAGTCGTCCGCATAGGCTTCCTGGCGTGGGATTGCAAAACTTCGAGCGTATAAGTCGTCATACATCTGCGGCCACTGGAAGGGATCCAGGGCCCAATATCTACCATCTGTGTGCGCTTGAATGATGTCGGATTCGTTGTCGAAGGGTTGAGGAATGAATTTCATGTTAGGAGTTGTGATTACTCAGTGGTCATATGTAGCCACACAGAAAGCATCAGTGGCAGTCAGGTAACCTGTATATCGTCAATCAAGAGTAGTAGAGGTACGAAGATGCCAAAACGTATGGTCACCATCGCGCATGAATGGCTTGAAGACAGGAATCGACATGATTGTAGCTCCAGGAACCGTGATATTGAGAACAGGGAAAGATACAGCGACTCGCAGTCACTGAGGAAGGAAATTTAAATGAAACAGCGACTCGAAGTCACTGCCGATTTAAATGCTACCATGAAGGCAGATAGTGAGAGAGTCTTGAAAGATTGGAGAGAAATCTGATGAAGGCATGGTGTCAGTGATGATGGCATGAATCAATGTAGTGAAGAAACTTACTGTAAAGGGCGACAGGAGTCTTGAGCGAGTCTGGTTAAAGACCTAATGTCAGTCATAATAGTGTGACCAAATATAATGAATGTACTTACCTGTGAAGGTCTACAGCAGTCTAAGACCCACGAAGGCAGATAGTAAGAGTCTTGAAAGATTGGAGAGATCTGATGAGGGCGTGATGTCAGTAATGATAGCATAAATCAATGTAGTAAAGAAACTTACTGTAGAGCGCGACAGGAGTCTTGAACAATTCTAGTTAAAGACCCAATGTCAGTTGTGATAGTGTGACAAAATATAAAGAATGTACTTACCTATGAAGATCTACAGCAGTATTGAGCAAGATCAGTATATCAGCAGCAGTGTGCAAATGAATCAGTGAAGCTGGACAGAAGGTTGTTCTAGCGGCTGGAGACAGTTATGGTGATTTAAGACAGTTGTGGAACACAGTTCTGGCTGTGGCAAAACAATGCCGGCACTTGAAGACAATTGTGGTGGTGGTGGCAAGACAATACTTACAGTGAAAGACAATGCTGGTTGTGGAACAACTGTGGCGGTCCAAGCGTGGTGGTCATAGCAAGATACTGAGCTGGTGGATGACAAGACTGCCGACCGAAGTCTAAGCAATCGATAGTAGCAAACAACACGAAGTTGCTGCTCAAAGTACGCCCACCACGAAGGTAGACTATAGAGGCTGGGGAATGTGAACCGCTGCAATGAGGAGTAGCGTCGAGGATGAGGAAAAGTGTTTGGAGTTGTTCAAAGTGGACTTCACACTTTGATTCAGTGTGGGAAAGCCCTTATCTAGAGTGGGAAAGCCCAGGTCAAAGCCTGGGAAGGCCCTTCTGATTTTGACCAATTTAGTAATCTCATCAATGTTTGGCCCCATTTCCACTCATCGTCTGCCCTCTGCCCTCATCGTTTGCCCCCCATCTTCAACCTCTGGCCTCATTGCATGGTCTGCCTTCGAGGCAGACAAGTTTTGCCTGTATGACTTCGTGTCATCCAGCGCTATCTGGCCGTCTGACTACGAGTCAGATTACGGTCCTACCTGCCTCAACACCTCGCCCACATCCATCCTCTACAAATGTATGTGTCCATTAATTCTATTCTAATTGATTACATGCAGGATTTTTCAACGACATCCTCATCTTTTACCCTTGTCTCCACCGCATCGACTGGCCTGATTGCATGGTTCTGCCTTCGAGGCAGACACGCTTTGGCTGGGTGACTTCGCGTCATCCAGCACTGTCTGGCTGTCTGACTATGAGTCAGATGCCTCAACACTGCGCCACTATCTATTCGTTCTCTGCGCAAGCGCATGTCCAGCAACTCAATTCATCGTCTGCGGGAATCTTGAATGTTCAACATCTTTGTATTCCAACTACCGATCAGTACGTCCTCCCCCATCTTACAATTATACAATCGTTTCATTCTACTTACAACAGATAATCAAAGTTTGGGGTATGCAAAATATGGCAGGGAAACTGGTGCATATAATTGTAAGCATTCTTTTCTCGACACGCTGGAGGAGATTTTTGATGATGACCATGGCATCATCAGTACCGCCAGTAGCCTGGATTCTTATGACCGGAGAAGCTCATATTTGCCCCATCACCCATTTGGACCCTCATTTTCGTAAGTTTCAAAGCTTTTTTAATGTGGGCCATCCCCAATAAGTTAGTATATGATCCTTTGCGGTGAATATCACATTTTTCTAATGATGTTCTTTCAATGTACCTCTGTTCGTTTCGGTGTCGATTGGGCGGGATTATAACTTTGGAATATTATTTCTTGATGTGTATTGGGCGCCTTACCATTAGTTAAAACCTGCAATGTTTGTGTTTTTTAAACAAGAATCTTTCTTCTTTTGACTCGCAACCATTAGTTTTCTGTACTCTTCTATTGTCCTGTCAAGACTTCGAGTCTTGAAATCTAGCTGTAAGACTTTGTGTTTCACAAGCTGCCCTGCTTCAACATTCGTGTAAAGCACCCCTTTTCTCAGTATCAAGCCCATCTACGTTTCAATGGCACCGTCTACCAGAAATGCAGCCCGTTGTGGTGCTACCGGTACTGGCACTCATGACCCCACAGTGTCTGACACCTATGTCATGCGCACACGCAGTGGTGTTGATATCAACCCCCCCGCCAAACAAAATAATAAGTGCCAAAGAAATGCTGTCCCCGAGTCATCTCCTGCTCCGGATGACCCTAACCGGCCAAAACCTCGTCCTTTACCCCGACGTTCCTCGGGTACGACCTTTGAGGACTATGCTCGAGTCCTTGCTCGCCCTCGCAAACAAAACGTAAAACCCACAGTGGACTCCGTCTCTTCTGGAATGGAGTTGCAAAGCGACCATCCCCCAGGTAATGATTTGCGGCATTCACAACAATAACTATACTAACCCCTTTCATAGATACACCTGACATCGACGATGACGTACCCGTTACGGACACTCGCATGGATGATGATATGAACAGCGGTAGCGACAATGATGCCGATGATGATATGACCAATGAAGACCGTGAACACAGCCAGGCTAACGAAGACGAGGATGAGGATAATGATGGCTCCGTATGTGGAAAGACTTCAGGTATATTATTTTTCATTTAGTATATGGTTGGGAAGGCTGACGGTTGTCACCATGAAGACAATGTAGAAGGCGATAGCGACAATGATGCCAAGGATGGCGATGAAGAGCCTGAGGGTGGCGAAAATAACGAGGACTTCGAGACTTCACAAGGTATGTACTATCTTACTTTTCTCTTAGTGGGGAGGGCTGATGGTCATCTGTTGTGCGCAGCCAGGAGACTTCGGCCTTGAAGGGTCAAGACAGGCAGCTACAATTTACATTTCGACGATGGTTCTCAAAGCTCTTCATCGGATACCAGCTACCGTGAAGGCCCCGCAACATCTGATCAAGATTCCGCCCATGAGTCAGATGCAAACAAAGACCTCGACCTCGACCACAACAGCCTGTCTTCACCGCCTGCTAAGCGCAGGAAAAGGTCTTCAGCAATTGAAACTACCTTGGCCAACACTTCCCAAAAAACATCTCACTCGACAACCGTTCACAAGAAGCATGCATCTATTTCACATGGTAGCAACTCCACTCCAGCCAGTATAGTCTTTGGCCCGACGCCGGACATTGACAACAGTGAGAATGAAGACGAACCCTCAGGTCATTTAAAGTGTGGATGGCTATGTCAGGAGGGCATCGATGAGGCTCAGGAACTTGGACAGAAAACAGCAGAAGAAGCTCGGGTGATTGGCGCCAAGTATGGCAAGTCCGTGCGCGCTATTCTCATTGAGGCTGGTCTGTCCATCAAGCATTCACAATCAGAGTCTGATTGGAATGCCCACCAATGCTGGTTCATGGATAAACACCCCCGCAAGGACAAAGAATGTCAGTCCCCCATTCTGTGGTGTAGATGATGCTAACTCGAGAGTCTCAGCTATCATCGACTGGAAAGAACATCAACACAAACATTATCATGCGATGGGCAAGGATGACGAAGAGTGGGACATCATTTTCAACTACAACGTTACTGGCAGCAATACCAATCAATCACGCGCCAAGACCATTTCATCAATGAGGGAGGATATTGCAAGAAAGGTACATCTACTTCATTAGCGCATTCTAAATTACGACTAATGACTCAATACAGTTGTCTGCTTATTCTCGCCTTGAAGGAGTCGAGGCCATCAGCTGTATATTTGATACAACACAAGACGAGGCTGCTCGACAGGCGTCCAGCTTTGTCGCGGGCTCTGACCTCATAGTCAAGTTGATCAATGAGCATCAACTGGATGCTCGCGCAATATTAGATTGGGTCGTGACTGCAATGAAGTACGTCTTATTATTGTGGACTTTTCCTACCTCCTGATATATTCACAGAGCGAAAGGCTACAATATATCCGTGCCGCAGTTCATGGGGGGAGTAGGGGCTTACAAGATTCTACTTTCAAAGCCAAACGAGGCTCCCCACGACCATTACAGGAGGATATGGCCAATTATGGTACTCGAGCACACTTGTGAGTACTCAAGTTTGTCCAAATTCAACGATTCACTGGAGTCTGCTCAAATAGTGAAGTTTGGGTATCGACCCAAAGCAGTCCAGTGGCAGAAGCTTCTTGACTATGCTTTCCAGTACAAGTTCATGATTAAGAACTGGCCTGAAGACATCCTTCCTATCGGTCCCGAATTCAATCCTCACAACCTAAGTTCTCAGCACCTCAAGCTACTTGTCGTTCCTTTCATCAAGCGCAAAGCACATTCTTATTATGAGGCAGAACTCCGCACTGAAGCTGAGAGCTTGTTAGAGCTAGAGAAAAAGAAGTCAAAGGGCAAGCACCGAAATCAGGGGTGCACTGTGGAAGATGTCATGAGTGAATTAGATGTCGATGTACCCGAGATCGAGTTCGCAGCTTGGCCAGATGGCATGTCATTTCCACGTTATCATTATACCTTTGTTTTCTGATGTCAATTGTGCAAGAATGTATCAAGCAGCTCAATGATGAGGTGCCGGAGATGTTCGACATTCCCTTGGTGACCAGTGCCTTGGATGTTGTGCTACACAAGCTGGTCGACTCCGCCAAATTTAAGGTGTCTGTCCCTGAAGATATATTAGCAGCTCATGAAGCACATCCGGATGGTCAGACTCCCTCTACTCACGACATGCTGCCAAGTGATCATGAATCTCCTGTCACTCCAAGCCCCCCGACCTTGCTGTTACAATGAACTACACAGGCCCCTTGCCACCCTGCCCTCTGCCACCTGCACGGCTACAGAACGATACCCAGGATAGAACACCGGTCCGATATAGAAGAGAACTCCGGGAGATGCCGGATTAGATAAGCGGTCTGGACCGCTATGACGACATAGGTCTAGAAGACCTATTCTTGTTATCAAGATAGAAGGCAAGCCTCGTGTTGCCTCGTGTACTGATAGAAGGATGCCTCGTGCTCCTTATCTTAGAAAGAAGCCCGCCTCATGGACGCTATCTCTGACTCAATAGATAAGCAGATTAGAACCCAGCTTCAAGCTGAGCTTAGACACGATAGAGTAGCCTTATATAAGGTAGACGATTAAAGTAGATGTTCCTTACTTTAATCTACTAGGTTTTCATCAGAACTTCCTCTGTGTGATCATCCCAATCACTCAGTCAAAGCCGCACCTTAAGGAAAGCCGACGCTACCTTAAGTGGAACCCCCGAACCTCTCATTCGAGAGAAGATCCCCGTCTCTCCAATAGCGAGCCCGCTATCAGATTAGGCAATCCGCCTAAGGAGAGCTCGAACTATCCTAGTCCGTAACAAAAGATTAAAGTCTCACATTCCCGGCCCTGCTCATCACGCACCGCCGTTGAATCGATACCGACCGCACCGCTGAGACAAGCGTAGACCTCTACTCTCGTGACCAAATCGCCGAGACCGGCGTAAAGCTATCCACAAGTTGTCAAGACAGACGCACGAAGCTTTGAATCCTTAAGCCCATCACTGTCCCTTCGCACTACTCCCTCTACCATGAACGCACCAACACAGATCATGATGATCAGAAGAAATACCGACGCCGCCGCCAACCTTTCAGGAATGGATACAAGACACCACCTGAAGCAACGACGATGCTTTTCTTGCCATCACGTTGGACATAAAGCCAACGACCACAAGTGCCCGATGAGGAGAAAGATTATCGAAGAAGAAACAGTCCGCAAGACAGCGGCTGGTAAGGAGAAGACTGGACCGCTGATAATAATTAACAAGAACAGCGTATCCAAGAAGAAAGAACTACGGGTTGCCGCCACCCTAATGTCCATCATTAAGCCGCCCATTACGACCACCATGGTCATAGATTCGGGCGCATGCGACTCATTTATAAGCAGAGAACTCTGCAGGAAATATCGCATTAGAACGCACCTCCTTCAGAAACCGAAAAGGGTAATGAACGGAGACGGAACGATAGGAGGCAACGTCAAAAGATTCTGCCGACTCATCATAAAGATCGATGACCGAGTAATGCATGGACGATTCCTCATAATGCCGCGCTTAGACGACATCTTACTCGGATTCACATGGCTGGCCGCTGTGAAACCCTCCATAGATTGGAAGAAAGGTACGGTAACCATCCCTGCCACTGACAAGTCGAAAGGACTTGAGAGAATGATTGAGAGAGGTAGGAAGAGGAACGGGCTGAAGCCGCTCTTCCGTAGAGAAAAGAGGACGCGCAGCACGCGCCAAAGAAGGGAGGTAGGCACCCTGACGAAGAAGAAAGAAGAACTCCGAGATGAGTATAAACTAGATCTGACAGAAGCACCTGTCACGCAGAACCTCCGAAATGAGGCTAAACTACCAGAACCGGCTGATTCGCCGATGGAAGATCTCCGAAATGAGTCGAAACTAACCCCGATCGAGAAACTCCACGAAATCCTCGAGTACGCACCGGCTACCAAGCCGTTGGAACCCCACACCTCGACATCCCAGAACGTCGAGAAGAAGTCCACGAGACAGTCGGACTTAGTTGCCACCTCACCACCCGCAGATAAATATAGATTTTCTGCAGTACCTGCCCAGATCTTAGGAAAAGGCAGAGCCACTTTCGACGAGGAACCCCCTCGTGCAAAGATCCCAAGACCGGCCCCTGAACCGGAGAAAACTCAGAAGTACGTCTTTTCAGCAGAACCTGCTTCGGTTCTTGGAAAAGGAAGATCGGTAGTCACGGCAGAAGCGCCATCACCGAAAAGACTCCGCCAAGAGTATAAACTAGCAGAAGACGAACCGGCCGCTGATCAATGGATCAACCGAGCCGAGCCGATCGTTTCTTTCCCAGAACGATCGAGAACCGCACCAGTCACTCGCCCATTCCTCGTGTCCACACCAGCCGATAAGGAAATGATGGAAGAAACTGACGATGAAGATAACGATGAGATAATCGTTAGAACTGCCCCCGCGGCCCCTGCCATAGCAGAAGAACCCGCGACGACTCCGATGGAAGTAGATCGGATTAAACAGCAAAACTACTTTCAGCGAACGATAAAGCGTATCGCAAGACACTGTCCCCGCCAGGACGACCCTGTGGATGTTAGATTATTCCAGGGAGAGATCGCACCAGTCACGGATCAGTCTGACCCTGACTGCGGAAACCTTGATTTAGACTTCTAGATTTGATCGGTGATCAAACGGCCTACTTGGGGGGTGAAATTCTCATTTTACTCTTAATTCCCCTCACCCCGGTCGCACCCTTATCTATAAATATCGACAATCGCATAAGTCCGGCATGACTATAAACTGTACTTGAGTCCGGCACGACTATAAACTGCGCAGAAGTCCGAAATGACTTGAAACTATCCTCGGTCCGGAAAGACCTTAAACTATCCCAAGTCCATCACGACTCTAAAACTGAGAATAGAAGGACGAACCCGGAGAAACGGACCCCTTCACCTTGAAGACAAGACTAACTCACCGAGAAACTCCTGCAAGCCCCGGATGCCTTAACTTCGCCACTGTCCGGAAAGACGCTAAACTATCACGAGACGAACTCCGTGGAAACTCCTGCAAGCCCATGGAACCCTCTAGAACGCCGATCGAGAAATCAACTAAAAGAACATCTCGAAACGACATATCCCAGATCTTGACAGAATTCGACTAAAACGAAAGATCAAGACACGCACGTCCGCAATGACGCAAAACTTCCACTTCTGATAGTCCGGAATGACTCGAAACTATCACAGAACCATACTGGCATGGTGACTTCCCCTCTGCCAAGAGAACCATGAGGCACTCCACGCCTTCATGATTGAACTTTGATAAAGAGATTAAAAGATAAGTTAACTGATCAAGCGGAGCTTAGAGCACTCTTGGAGGTCCACATAAACCCTCTACAAGATATACTCGTCAGAAACTCTCGCAACAATCATACCTAACGACATCGAAGCCTCTGCCATCGTTCCCCTTAGAAACTCGGGATTTTCCAAAATCCTCGACCATCTCCGAGACGAGGCTAAACTATCAAGAGATGAACTCCATGGAAACTCCTACAAACCCACGGAACCCTCGAGAACCCGACCCATCATGGCAATGACCAACACCCTCTGATGAAGATTCCTGAACCTTGATAACCAACAAAGGATAAAGGAAAGAACGCACCTATCACGGCACTCCCCTCTGATAGCGGAAAACGAGGCATCGATAAGCCCTCACGATTGAACCTTGATAAGAGATAAAGAGATAAAGAAACAAAAGATAAGCATGAATCAAACGGAGCTTGAAACGATCTGGAAGAAGATATAAACCCTGACTTCCCCGAACATCCTTCCAACGAACCTCCATCATGTCGACCTCTATTGAAGAAAACTCTCCCGTCAATGTAACACTGAAGGACTCCGACTACGGACGTATCCTCAGAACGATTGAGAATAGCGCGTTCAACGAAGCGGCTATCTTAACACCCGCATACTCCCAAGTGATCGACGACATCCTTGGTGAGCTAGATGCCAGACTTGCAGCAGGCACCTCCCTTGCCGTATGCATTATAAGAACCACGAAGCTACTAGAAGATGTAGCCAATCGTGTTGACCTTGATGAAGAGACGAAGAAACTCGCCGTCATTCATCTACAGAAACGGATCCGCGGCCTCGCGCTCCATCTACTCCCGCTTGACTTCCCCGACATCGCGAACCAAGCTGTTAAAATTGTAGAAACCAGAAAGGCCAAAGAAGAAGAAATCCGTCCGGTACGCCCGCCTAGAAAACGAAAGGCTACCATAGATCGTACCCGCATGACGCTATGCAAGCGCTGCGGAGGATACGGACATCATTGGAAAAAGTGTCCCGATTATGTTTGTTGCATCTGCGATGAACTCGGACCCAGCCATTTGTCCATAAATTGTCCTGGACTCAACGGACGCATTGTCCTACAAGAGTTTACAGATGAAGAGAAGTTTTTCGAAGCTCTCTCAGATTGGGAGCACAACCATAAGGCGCTCACGGACCTAGAACTTCGGAATCCCACCGAACTGTCCCTCGACCTTGAAACTCCCGCACCATCCGTCTCCACGTCCACGAAACCGGCGCTGCCGTCCTTGACGATGGAAGACGTCGTAGATAATCAAAGCCGGTGACTTTGACGATAGTGAAGGGGTAATGTTACAATGAACTACACAGGCCCCTTGCCACCCTGCCCTCTGCCACCTGCACGGCTACAGAACGATACCCAGGATAGAACACCGGTCCGATATAGAAGAGAACTCCGGGAGATGCCGGATTAGATAAGCGGTCTGGACCGCTATGACGACATAGGTCTAGAAGACCTATTCTTGTTATCAAGATAGAAGGCAAGCCTCGTGTTGCCTCGTGTACTGATAGAAGGATGCCTCGTGCTCCTTATCTTAGAAAGAAGCCCGCCTCATGGACGCTATCTCTGACTCAATAGATAAGCAGATTAGAACCCAGCTTCAAGCTGAGCTTAGACACGATAGAGTAGCCTTATATAAGGTAGACGATTAAAGTAGATGTTCCTTACTTTAATCTACTAGGTTTTCATCAGAACTTCCTCTGTGTGATCATCCCAATCACTCAGTCAAAGCCGCACCTTAAGGAAAGCCGACGCTACCTTAAGTGGAACCCCCGAACCTCTCATTCGAGAGAAGATCCCCGTCTCTCCAATAGCGAGCCCGCTATCAGATTAGGCAATCCGCCTAAGGAGAGCTCGAACTATCCTAGTCCGTAACACTTGCCATCAAACCAATGTCACCCTACCAATTTCACAGCAGTACATTGCCGCGAGGACACTCATCTTCCTCAAGTCCCAGATGTGTTTGATCGTGAATCTCGCCCTGTTCTGCCTACAAGCAGAGATGAACCTGTCAGTGGTGGAAGACAACAGACTAGCCTGCCGTTCAAGGCGAAGAAACCTTTACGGGTAAGTGCTACGCTATTCCGTCAAGACTCAATGTTGATCTTCTTCAGGTTGACCCTACATTCATGCGCTGCATGGAAGAGCGTCCCGCTGACTCTCGTAATGATGCAGACTTGGAGTATGTCTTACCTTTCCACAACTTCCAACATATATTAACTTAATTGCTTAGGCTTGCGCCCTACCCAGGCCCTCGTCGTGAGGACAGAAATTTTGTTGCCCCAAACCGCCGCCGTGAATATTCTCGTTCACCTCCTGTATACCCTCAGCGAGATCCATCTCGCTCAAGGTACTATCGGCCCACCTACAGGCAACGCGAGACTTCTCCTGTCGCGCTTAGCGATGATGATTCTTATCCTGGACGTCCTGCTCACTCACACCGGCAAAATTATGCTAATGATTTCAATCAGAGGTTCCAAGTAAGGGGAGCTGGTGACTCTCATTATGAAGATGGGCCTTCGCAGTTTCGCTACTAACATGGGCAAGAATTGTGCTGTCCACTCATTCAACTTGACTTTGCTTGCCTTCGGTTGTTCATAGTAGCGCCTCACGATTTTGTACTTCGGGTACCTCTAGCTGTTGTACTTTGTGTACCTCTCACTGTTGTACTTCGGGTACCTCATCACTTCAGTTGTCTCTTGCGCAGATGAAGCTTTCACATGTAATGTTAGTACTCCCATGTGTCGGAACAAGACAGGTCATGTCCATCTCCCTTTTGTTGACGATTTTGTAATGCAATCATATGTGTACCAACAGCCCAAAACGTGTGAAAAATAAGTTTGCGCACTATATCTGTGAGAAGGTTTGGTGACAACGACGAATGGCAACATAATTTATCATCACATGCAAGAGGATTCAATTGACCTCCTCTTTCTGTGGATTTTTGTTAAGACCGTGCACAAAGGGTAGGACTGATTCTGAGGGGCTTGGCTTCAGCTCGTGCGCTGCGCCCCTTACCCGAGTATGTGCCCTTAATTTCAGAATGATGTCCGAAGAAAGTCCAAGGACGTCTGAAGGACGTCCGAAGCGCGGGAAAGTTCGGAAGGACTTTCCGGACAAGTGCAAGTAACTTCCGGACAAGTGCGGGAAAGTTCCGGAGGAACTTCCGGAAATTATGATGAGGTTTCGTCCTGATACGGATACGTGTAATGGCTACTTAGGACACGTCCTAAGTAGAAGCAAACAGAGGAAAGGCTGCAAGGACAAAGTCCGAAGCAGAATAGGTCCGGAGGACCACGGGAAAGTTTCGGACGAACGTCCGGAAACTTCGGAGGATCGGATGAGCAGATAAGCGGATGAGCGGATAAGCGGAGCTCTGGCCTAGGGAATTTCTCCCTAGGCCCGAGATGGATATTGACTAAGTTGATAGACTAGAACTGATATGAGGACTTAGAGTGAGATCTAGTGCGAGGACTAATATGATATTCAGACTGAGGAACTACCGGACATATACAAGAGTTTATATACTAAGGAAATAACGGAAAGATCAGTAAGCAAGCGTCCGAGGCTATGTATGAAGCATAAGCAAAGTTATCAAGCGCGAGTCGGAAATGAAGCATAGGTTAACGGATCAGTAAGCATACCAGTAGTAAGTATAACCGAGATACCGAGGACAAGGAATACCGAATAGAGGAATAGGCTGTGTTAACGTTATATGCACAGGAAATGAATTAGGAAGCTTATCGTATATCAGATCGGATCGGACTGGACCGGACCGGATGTCCGGACAAGAAGCGTGGATATATGGGATATGATATTAGGGCAATAGGACAAAGGATGAATGATGCAGGCTAGCTGCGGAGGTATGGAGGTCCGATGTACGGAGGTAAAGGGATCTGGACATGGATGCGCGGATGTGGATGTGCAGAGGTGCAGGGATCCGGATGGGTAGAGGACTGGAGACATGTATAGGACATCCGAAGGTCCGGATGAGGCGTGGGAACATTATCGGATGTAGGTCCGGAATACGGGATATGACAATTTTTCTGCTGAAGAAAAAAAACAAATATTTAAAATGAACATTGGCGGGTTCGAACTCACATAAACATGCTATGCAGGCATACACACACTCTAACCATTACACCACAAGTCCTAATATCTCTAATGTGTCAAATTGTATATGGCCGCTGAATGCTGCTCATCTCATCAAAACTTTGCAGTCTTTTGCCCATCATCCTATTCAGTCTACCACACTAGCAATTATGTAGCATAACATGTACTTTGCACACAATATTGCTTGTTGTAGATTTCAATTTCTATATTCAGATGTATTTGTGTTCACTGTGCTCAGGTAAATAGAAATATGTGCACTTTGGGTAGAATACAAATACTGAAATGCATGTGATTTGAACATACTCCGAAGTCTACAAGAGCTGATCAAGGCCAGCATATAATAGCATAATTAGGGTGAGCGGGAACACCTGGATAGTAGTTTAGAGGTAGATGGGAGAGTCCAAATAGTGTCATTATGGTCAGCGGGAGAGCCCAGATAGTATTAGAGGGGTAGACGGGAGAGCCCAAATAGTATAATTATGATCAGCGGGAGAGCCCAGACAGTATTAGAGAGGTAACCGGGAGAGCCCATATAGTAGTAGAGGAGTGGGCGGGAGAGCCCAGATGATGTGTATACAGTCGGTGGGAAGGCCCAGTTGCTGATTGAATGGTAGGTGGGAGAGCCCAGATGATGTGTATGCAGTTGGTGGGAGAGCCCAAATGGTGTTGGTAGGGTTGGCGGGAAGGCCCAGTTGCTGATTGAATGGTAGGCGGGAGAGCCCAGAGGATGTGTATATGGTCGGTGGGAGAGCCCAAATGGTGTTGGTAGGGTTGGTGGGAAGGCCCAGTTGCTGATCAAATGGTAGGCGGGAGAGCCCAGAGGATGCATATATGGTCGGTGGGAGAGCCCAAATGGTGTTAATAGGATTGGCGGGAAGGCCCAGTTGCTGATTGAATGGTAGGCAGGAGAGCCCAGATGATGTGTATAGGGTCGGTGGGAGAGCCCAATTGTGAATTGAATGGCAGGCGGGAGAGCCCTGATGACGTGTATAGGGTGGGCGGGAAGGCCCAGATAGTACTAGAGAGGTAGGCGGGAGAGCCTAAACAGTGCCACCAGCTAGTCAGATCTATCTATTCCCCCCCTCTCTAGATAGCATCCCAAATTGAGATTGGCGCCTACATTCCTCTCTTCACCTCTCATACCTCCATTAGAAAGATTTGCTTCATTGGTGATGACAAACAATTGCCACCCTATGGTCAGGATGATATCCACGACCTGAAGAGCATCTTCAAAGTCAAGCATCTCAAGGACCATGCCCTCTTCCTGAACACACAATACAGGATGCCTCCTCAAATTGGAAACTTCATCTCTCAAGCTGTATATGATGGCCTACTCGAGTTGAACCCGCAACACCCCGTCATGAACGAGAGGATGGCTTGTCATTTTATCAACATTCCCAGCCAGGAACAGTAACATGGAACTAGCCGGAAGAACCTTGGACAGTGCCAAACCATTTTCCATATTGCTACCATATTGCAAGCAAAGAATAAGCGGTTCCGCATTATCACCCCTTATGACGCTCAGCAGACATGATATAAGTAAAGCTCCCACATTTTATTGCATATTCTCTGTGCTACCCCCCCTTTGTCGCACACCCCCTGTCATCTTATGACAGACTTGCAAGTAAAGCTCCCACATTTTATTTCATGTTGCCCGCAAGACAATTCAACTACTCAATGACTAGTGGTGCACTCGGTGTCATCTATCACTCTTTTGCGCCTGCCCACCACTCCCTCAGCAGTCTCAAAGTGCGTCTCATGAGCATTATATATGCCAACAAGTAATTTTTTATAGCTATTGATTGCAATTAATAAAATACAATAAAGTCCACTCGATGCATCAATCTTGACTATAGTGTACTGTCTATTTGAATCTGTCATACACCGCTGGTGCCCGCCCACCATCACAGTTCTCATTAGACTTCTCTTATGTTTAGGACGATGTTTCAGGCCAAAATCCCTGCAGGTTTTGTCTGATATCAAAATCTTGTCTGAAGTGCATATACTGGCCTTGCATACCTAGTACTACTCCTTCTATGAATGTACAAATTGTGAATTTTTATGCTGTCAAAATGTCTGAAAAAGGACCCCTATCACCCCTATTTATGATGGGAAAGCCCTCCTAATAAATGCCCCGGGACATCCCAGAGACATGCTAGAGTGATCCCAGTTGGGATTGGGAAAGATCAAAAATAGGTCCTTGGGATGGCCCAGATACTTGCTTCAGTGTGGACCAGGACATCCCAGTACATAGGGTAAAATACTGGGAATACCATCCTAGAACACACCCACTAGGCCCTTTGCTAGCCACAAACACATAGACCTAAGAGGTCATTTCAAGTGGTTGACTGAAGTGCTTTGTCCTTGCAGCATTTCCTCTGTTTGCTTCTACTCAGGACAAGTCCTGAGTAGCCATTACACATATCCCCATCAGGACGAAACTCCATCGTAATTTCCGGAACTTTCCCACACTCATCCGGAAGTTTCTCGCACTCGTCCGGAAAGTCCTTCCAAAGTTTCCCACGCTTCTCCGGATGTCCTTTGGACTTCACTGGACTTTCTCCGGACTTCATTCTGAAGTTAAGGGCACATACTCGGGTAAGGGGCGCAGCGCACGAGCTGAAGCCAAGCCCCTTGGAATCAGTCCTACCCTTTGTGCACGGTCTTAACACATACCCACCATACTTAGTCTTGGAATTCTCACTGTTTGATTGCAAGCTCTTCAGAACCTCTGCACATCATTGAATCCTCATTTCTTAGAATCTACTCTTTTGGAAACCACTTGTGTAGTGGAAACACTAAGAACAAGTCAGACTGAGGTACATTGTTAAAGCGTATGAGATTAGACAGAACAAAAGAAGATATCTAATACATGAGTATGCATTCAGTATAAATACGTGTTGTCATATCCCATATATCCACGCTTCTCATCTGGACCTCGGACCTTAGATCCGGTCCGATCCGATGCGTTAGATCCATTTCTGATCCGATATACGATAAGCTTCTTAATTCATTTCCTGTTCATATAACATTAAACACAGCCTATTCCTTTATTCGGTGTTCCTTTACTCCCGGTGTCATGCATGATATGAATATCATACATGGACATATTCATATATCTAAAAAGCCTACAGCAATCGAGCCTATTAGCTTTGTCCATGGGAGGCTTGCTTAGAGGCGATATATAGGAAGTTGAAGAAAAGAAGCAGAAAGACTTGAGTAATTTGTATTAGGATCTGGTTTAATTTTGTTTGCTGAATGTCTGAAGACTGTGTTTCTTACATAATCTTTTTCATTGGTCTATGATTGCAATTGTTTATCCATGTTTCATATTTATGAGTTGTTTACATTCATCATGTTAGTTTTCTCTTCTAGGGAAAAAACTTACATAATGAGTTCACATGTGATTATTCAGAAATTGGCAAGATCAAGCTTAGTCAAATCTGATGACTCATGAACTCTCTTTCTCTGCTCAAATTGTCATCTAGCACCACTATTTGCATATTGGTGATCAGATCGATTGGACTGAGTCAGTTCTATTTTTATTTTAATAGTATACATGTAATATTTAATTACAAATAAGTGGAGCAGGATATTCCAGATATTCATTTGGCACCTAGGTATCTTTCCCATGCCAATGTATAAAAGGAGGGCCTCTTCTCCACTGAAAAAAAGAGATTTTCCACTTTATCTGTCTCTCACAGAGGAGAATTCCCACTTCACCTGTCTGTCACAGGAAGTGCAAGGGACCAGTATTTCCCTCAGTTAGTCTACACTAAGATTAGGTAATCTTAGTCTTGTATTTACTCACTATTGTTAGACTCCAGCTAGTCTATCACTTGTATTTAGTTATCTAGTCCTTAGGTGGTCTAGATCTGTTGTATTCTTGTTGTGATTACATCAGCAAGGATTTGTCTGGGAAAAGCTTAGTCAGCATTCCCATCTTTTGTTTGCAAGACCTTTCAGCCACAGCCTGAGGTCCAGCTTAGTCATAGGTTCTCACATCTTTCCAGCTTGAAGTATCTTTGTGTTCAGCCTACTCATTTAGGATAGTTTGTTATATCACTGTCCATTACCTTCTTCAATATATTTCAGTGACTCTCATAGGATTTTACCTATACTAGTCATTGTCTATCTTATTTCAGCAGTCCATTGCTTCAACCAAACGACCGACTGTATAGTCTTGCCTCCAACGAACAGCACGTTATCAACCGAGAAGTAGAAAATCCGTTGACCGTGTACTTGAGGAGTTGGCAGCTTTTGTCTTATCAAAGTGTAGTTGTGGTGTCACTGCATTTTACATGAAAACATATAAGACCCTCAAGTAACAAGACACCGGTATCTCGGTTATGCTTACTGATCTGTTAACCTATGTTTCATTTCCGACTCGCGTTGTCATGCATGGTATGTGATTCATACCATGTCAGATATATATAGAGAGTAATAAGGAAGATATGAGAGACTGTCTAGCCCTCTGTCACTGAGTTACCTCTCTATTTTTCCTCTATTTCATTGTCTTGTATTTTATTTCTCAGACTTATTTTACCTTGTATTTTTATGAGCATGTGACCTTCTGTTTATTTCTCATTATTTATTTTTATTTGGCTTCTTTCAGCCACAGATTTGTTTGTCAAAGTTTTGTATCTCTTTGTTTATGTCTGACTGTTTACTTTTATTTGGCTTCTTTCAGCCACCAGATTTTATTTGTCATCACATCATGTGACTGGGAAATAATCTGGTTTGTAACATTATTAAAGCTGATTCAACATGTTTAGTCATGATTGGTCATGCTTTGTAACAACATTTAAACATGACTCAACATGTTCAGTCATGGTTGATCATGCTTTGTAAGTTCTTTGTAAGACACTGAACTTTGTTTGTAATGTACTTAGTAAGAAGGATGATTCAGCTCACCCAAAGGCTTGGTTTGTCAGCTTCTGCATGACCAATCCCTGAGAAGAGTCAGCACCTTTCTGTCATGCTTTGTAATTTCTTTGTAAGATTACACAGTATTTATAATGTATATTAGTAAAAGCTGATTCATCACCTGGTTTGTAAGCCACATTCTTACCAATCCATCTGACAGAATCATGCTTAGTAAGGGGATTCCAAAAGGTATAAAAGGACCCCATTTTCACCCATGAAATATAACTTCCCATTTTTCATTCTTCTCTCAAACTGTGTGAGAGTACGTAAGAATAAAAGTGCAGGCAACGTGCCTTGAAGTAAGACTAAGACACATCGTTATTCTATTCTAAAAGTTATATACTACCTTACAGGGGTTGACTATATAACTTTTGAACAGCTCTCATTCTAAGCTTTACGTGTATACATAAGACTCTCTCTTTCAACGGAAAGTGAGACACATATCTAAGGACAACAAAGTTGAAACAGACTTTCATAGGTTGAAACACGACCTACTAGGCTGAAACAAACCTAACGAATTATCCAGAACACAGAACAATCCACAACACTTTGTATCAGACTACACAAGAAGAGGACAACAAACTAAATCCTCCCAAGAACTCACCACGTTACCTTCCACGAAGTAGAAAAGTTGGAGACCGTGGACTTAAGGACTGGCAAGAAGTCTTCACCGTGTATAATTGTGTTGTCATTATACACAACTTTTATATAAGACCCTTAAGTGACAAGACAGTGTTTGATAAACTTTGCTTATGCTTCGTACATAGCCTCGGACTCTTGCTTACTGATCCTTCCATTATCCCTTAGTATATAAACTCGTGTATATGTCCGGTAGTACCTCAGTTCGAATATCATCTTAGTTTGTCCTCTTTCTGTCTTCCGGACTTGAGTCTAATCAGCTCTTGTCAATCTCTGAGACTTCGGATAGTCTATCCTCTGTTTGTTTCTAGTTCGGACTTGTCCAGATTAGCCTTATATGCGTTTCCAATATCCGGACGTCATCCGGATAACACTACGAGACTCGTCCGACCCTCCGGACGCGTCATCGTTAGTCTCTGAAATGAGGGACAGTACTTGGGAAAGGGGCACAGCGTACGAGCTGAGGCCGAAGTCCTTTGGATCCGACCCTACAAGAGTACGACCTTAACACGTGTCCAGACAAATATAAGTGAACAATGCGGGGTGTCCAATCAGTGTCAGATGACGCATCAATGACGTGTTGATGATGTAGTGTAAGCAAGACTTACACCCTCCCAGCCTATGAAGAGTTTTGATCTTTCTCCCAGGTGTCCAGCACCTCACAGTCTTCAAGGTTGCGTCTGGGTAGCCACTCGTCTTCGTCCGCACCGTATCCGACCCATCTAACCAGGTATCTCTTTCCTCACTCCACCTTCTTCTCGTCAATGATTCATTTGATGAAGTTTTCTAGCTGACCGTCTTCCATGATGACGGGTCCTGGCCGAGGGAACTCGTGTGAGGGGAATAGGGCGGGATCGTTCACGTGGATGGGTTTTAGTTGAGAAGCGTGAAACATAGGGAATATGTTTGGGGAATTGGGCAGGTCCAACGTGTACATTGATGTTTCTGGATGTGCCTCTAACACGATATATGGCCCATCATACCTCGGCATGAACTTGGCAACATGTTTGTCTCCTTTCATAATGTAGTCTCTCCTCCTGTGCTTCGTCGATAACATCACCTTGTCTCCAGCCTTCAACCCAAGTTCCAGCGCACGGTGTGTGTTGACCTGCGTAGCTTGAGCTGCTTTGGCAGCAAGAAGATTGTCCTGTGCCTCCATCATGTTGTTCTCCAGCCGCAAAATCAACTCGCATGCGCCTTTGTCATCGAGACCCTCTCCTGTTGTGGTGTCCGTTGAGTTTGAGACAGGTGGTATTGTCCGTGGAACACGCCTGAGGTGTAGCTGGAACAGCGTGAATCCGGTACTTGCGTTGACAGAGCTCATGACATGGAAGTGTATGTGGGGCAGTGCCCTTACCCACCCCTTCTGGTTCCGTTTGACGTGAAAGCGGATGCACTGGTTGATGGTCTTGCTTGTCCTTTCGCTTGCACCATCTGTTTGGGGGTGGTAGGATGATGACATCTTAAGTTTAATCCCAGTTAGTTTGTGCAACATTTTCCAAAAGCGCGAAAGAAACAGCTTATCATGATCGGAGATGACGTCCAGTGGGAGTCCGTTTTCACAATACCAGTGGTCGAAGAACATTATTGCAAATTGGTCCGCTGTCAATGTGTCCCAACAAGGCAGTATCCTGATATCAGTGTTGAGCCTGTCTGTGATTGCCATGATCATGTTGTATCCCTCGTCCTCAGGAAGGGGTCCTATGAAGTCAATTGCGACCGAGTCTCCACAAGACTCAGGCATAGGCAGTGGATGAAGCACACCTGCTATTGACGTTGTTAAGGATTTGTTACACATGCAGTCAATGCATCCTGGGATGTAGGACTCCAACAGGTCCTTGCACATGTTTGGCCAATAGTATGAGGCGCATAGTGCTGCATACGTCTTGTCACCCCAGAAGTGGCCTGAAGTGTTGTGTGCGAGGTGAAACAGTTGTTCCCACAGAGGATTTACCCTCGGGATGACGAGGCAGTCTGCCACGTACAGCAGCTTGTGGTTGGTGTAAACCTGTACAGGACTGCCCAGCAACTCAACCTGCCATTTCTTCAGTGCCCTGATGATTGCAAGAAGCTCTTTCTCATGTACAGGATAATTCAATTCTGCGTCCTGGAGTTGTGCAGAATCAAATGCTACCGGTCTTGCAGATTCCCAAGTCTCACCCCACGACAGTACAGCACCTGTCTGAAAGTCCGAAGTGTCGCACATTACAAAGATTTTGTTGTTTCCCAGATTGTCATGGTCTATTGTGGTAAGGCATTGTGGGCTCGTCACGAGGTCTTTGATGGCCTGGAAGGCATGGTCTGCCGCTTTCATAGTCAGTTGTGTCAGGATCCGTGCATAATCTGCTAATGATGGTAAGTGGTTTGCAAGGTACCTTACCAGTCCCAGGAAGGCACAGACATCATTTGCCCGCTGGGGTATCGGCCAGTCAAGTATCCTTGCAACCTTCGATTTATCTGGCTCGATTCCTTGTGCAGATATGTGGTGTCCTAAGAAGTCCACCTCCATGTTGAACAGGCTTGTCTTCTTTGGGGAGCAGAACAGATAAGTATTTCACAGTGCTGTCAGTACCTCGTGGATGTTGCACTCGTGTTCCTCCAAAGTCTGCGACCAAATAATGATATCATTGAGGTAGACGTGGCATATCTTCCCTATGAAGTGTCTGAGCGTGGTTGACATGCACCTTTGGTGTGCTGTGGGTGCATTTCTGACCCCCATCGGCATCACAGTCCATTCATACAGTCCCCAAGGTGTGTGTACTGCCAGGTATTTCATGTCATCCGGATGAACCTTCATTTGAAAAAAAACATGAATTAGTCATATCAATTTTGCCGAAACCTTTACCCTTCGCACAGGATTCTATCGATGCGCGGTGTAGGAATACAACACAGAGTGGTGCTATACAAAGATGGCTCCAAACTGATATCTTTATGTTGTGGTCTTGCACTGCCTAGTCTGCGATACTTGGTGAGACAAGTGCATTCAATCCAGGGGTCTGCAGTCTGGGAATAGTTTTGGGGGTCAGTGAGTGATGTGGGGTCAATAGTCCGAGTGTGGGAAACAATGTCCGAAGGTATAATTACGATGTCCAATGCAAAAGCATCGGGTCCGATGTTTTTGGGGTTTCAGGTTATTGGGTTCGGGTTTGGGGTATTGGAAACTAATAGTAACGCGATAGCGAGCGTCGGGAAAGCGAGAGGTGTGCACAATAATAACAATGACGGATATGGGCGGTGAAGGAACGATGATATTTGCAATGTCAACTAAGAACTACGAAATATCGGGTTTGACCCCTAAGCATCAGAGAACGGCTCTCCTCTACTTGGATGATAATGATGCTATGGGGAGTCCAATATTTATGTAGATATGTAGAAGTCCGGAACCATATAGGCGAAAGTAGTAGCGCATGTCCGATGTCCGAAGTGCGAAGTGCGATGTCTGATGTCCGATGATTTTCGGGTTTGGTGTGTATTGAGTCGGATAGGATAGGGAATGATTCGGGTAATGATTAGCATTAATACATCCATCAGAAATTAGACCTCTACGGGGCCACAGAGATGTCAGTCTCTACAGCGGTAATGGGTGGTTGTCTGGCACCGTGTTCAGATTCAACTTTCAGAAATCATTCACCCACCGTGGCAAGGCTGTAGGATCTGTTGGGAAACGGTCAACAAATTCAGCCTTCATCTTTTGGTCTTGCTCACGCAGTTGTTCTCCAATGGCGAGCTCAGAGATACGTTCATGGACAGCCTCCACAAGGTTAATTCCCTGCAATGGCTCACAAGAATCATCGACAAGAACCTTATACTCAGGCAGGATGTATGTTAAGACTGTGCACAAAGGGTAGGACTGATTCTGAGGGGCTTGGCTTCAGCTCGTGCGCTGCGCCCCTTACCCGAGTATGTGCCCTTAATTTCAGAATGATGTCCAGAGGAAGTCCGAAGATGTCCGAAGGACATCCGAAGCGCGGGAAACTTCGGACAGACTTTCCAGACGAGTGCAAGTAACTTCCAGATGAGTGCGGGAAAGTTCCGGAGATTACAATGAGGTTTCGTCCTGATACGGATATGTATAATGGCTACTCAGGACACGTCCTGAGTAGAAGCAAACAGAGGAAAGGCTGCAAGGACAAAGTCCGAAGCAGAATAGGTCCGGAGGACCACGGGAAAGATCCGGATGAACTTTCGGAAACTTCGGAGGATCGGATGAGTGGATGAGTGGAGTATTGGATAAGCAGAGTCCTGGCCTAGGGAATTTCTCCCTAGGCCTAAGATGGATATGGACTAAGTCGGAAGACTAGAACTGATACGAGGACTTAGTGTGAAGACTAGTGCGAGGACTAATATGATATTCAGACTGAGGAACTACCGGACATATACAAGAGTTTATATACTAAGTAAATAATGGAAAGATCAGTAAGCAAGCGTCCGAGGCTATGTATGAAGCATAAGCAAAGTTATCAAGCGCGAGTCGGAAATGAAGCATAGGTTAACGGATCAGTAAGCATACCGGTAGTAAGTATAGCCGAGATACCGAGGACAAGGAATACCGAATAGAGGAATAGGCTGTGTTAACGTTATATGCACAGGAAATGAATTAGGAAGCTTATCGTATATCAGATTGGACCGGACTGGACTGGAGGTTCAGATGAGAAGCGTGGATATATGGGATATGACATTAGGGCAATAGGACAAAGGATGAATGATGCAGGCTAGCTGCAGAGGTATGGAGGTCTGATGTACGGAGGTAAAGGGATCTGGATGTGGATGTGCGGATGTGGATGTACAGAGGTGCAGGGATCCGGATGGGTAGAGGACTGGAGACATGGATAGGGCGTCCGAAGGTCCGGATGAGGCGTGGGAATATTGTCGGATGTAGGTCCGGAATACGGGATATGACAATGTACTTGAGTTCTCGCACGACCTCGTTCCTAAGTTCGTGCATCCTCAGAGGCGATGGCGTCAACGACGGCTTACATTTAGTTGGCTGTGGGTTCAGAAGATCATAACCACCATCCTTAGCGATACAAGTACGAAGATCATGGTCGATGACGACCTTGTCATGATGTAAGAATGGCCCACCAAGGAGCAATGGCATACAGAGGTGCGGCGCAATGATAGCACATACAGTGCGGGAAGTAAAGCGAGAGTCGAGAGAAGTACATGAAAGATTGACATATTCCAATAATACAAAGGAGTCCTTCATTTCTCCTGAAAGCGCGACATTGAATGAGACAGGTTTCGGCAGTTTCCTATGATGTAGGCCGAGCTTCAGAGTGAGTGCTTCATTAATCAGAACTGCAGCAGAACCATCATTGATCAGTCCCAGTGAGAACTGGTTGTGCTGGGAGAGGCCAGTATGTGTTGAGGTATGTTAGTAGAACTTGCCGCGAAGAAAGCCACAGCCCAGCACAATGCAGCCTATGATGGGAAAAATAGCAGATTTTTATATGTGGGGGCAGTTCCCCTTGTGCTCCCTTGTGTCATTTTCATGATCCAGCATATTAGCGCATATTGTGACTCGCTTCATTGCCTCCCTTCGTGTATGCTGTATTATGCTCAAATGTGATATTATTGGTATACGAATGCGGGAATAATAATAGTACAAAAACAGCCAGAAAACAGCATGACAGCGGTCCAAAACACAACACCAAATCCTGTCAAGAGGACTAGTGTATCTCGCCATCGCACACAGTCTTGTTCCATGCGTTGCTTGCCACCAAATTCGCTGTGTCTTGATCATATTCCTGGAGGACGTGTCAGTCAATGTTCGAAGATGTAGTATAGAGCTGTACCATGCGTTGTGTTGATGTGAGGGAGTTGTAGTAGGCATTGAACTCCTCGGTCGTGCCGTTCAACTTGGTTTGTTTTAACCAACGTAAGGCGCACAGGTTCCTGTGGTACTAGATAGTGAACAATATAGTCTGAATTGGAAAAAAAACTCACCGTCCATTTTTGGTTTGGCTAGGACACATCTTGCCCTTGGTACTGCTCTTGGTCCCACTGCTCTTACCTTTCTTCACAGTGATGGTGGTGTCAGGTGGAGACTCGAGCGATGGATTAGCAGGTGGCGGTGGAGGTAAAATGATTTGAGACACAGCAAGAGCGATAGCAGTTCTGTTAAGCAATATTAGCAGTGAACAGGATACCATATTTTGACGTACAATGGATTCACAATCTTGATCTAAGGTGTTGGTGTTATAACAGGCTGCTGTGGTGGAGATAGAACGACAGCAGGAACTTCCTGTGCAAGTGGAGATGGAGCAACTGGCGGAAAATTCGGGACAGGTGGTTGCAAAGGCAGGGATGCGCCGGCACATGGAGAAGATTCGAATGCTTGATTGAGTTTTTGCAAGAGAGACAAAGGTGAAGCACTGGCAGCTGTAGCCGAGTCTAAAACAGGTTCCTTGGGGTCCAACTCAGGCAATTCTGTGGCAAGAGACGTCGAAGGACCAGCTGTAGGTAACTCTAATCGGACAGGTTCCGTGGAGTCTAATCCAGGTGATTCTACAGCAGGAGATGTCAAAGGACCAGCTGCAGGCAATTCCAAGACAGGTTCTGTGGGGTCCGATCCAGATGATCCAGTGGCAGGAGATGTCGAAGCACTGGCTCCAGGTAATTCTGGGTCTGCTATGATCGGAGACACTGAAGAATCGACTGCCAAACAATTAGTAACATTGATAGGATAAGCATGAAACATACTCTTGATTTTTTTCTCGTTGATCTCCAACTTGATGGAAGACGTTGAATGCTTGCGTTTCTTGCCATTCTCACTCGCACCATTCTCGATGTGATTTCGTTGCCAAGAGGGATAGGATGACATGGCGAGGTAATGCAGCTTCCAGCTGTTGTTGGCCAGCCTGAAGATAGGATGGGTCTTCTCCATTATACTATTCATCAAATCAGTACCCGATGCAGTCAGGTTACCCCAACACATTGGAGCGAGTCCCCGGTTGTTGAGTTCAGAAAATGCACCCCGCAAAGTTTGTGTATCACATCAATTTCGTCATCTTGCACTGGGTCGCCATCCTCCTGCTCAAGGTAAGGGAGTTTACCACGGTTGCCAAGTTGTGCCTCGTGTGAATCGAGCCATGTAAGATATTCGGATTTATTCCAGAATTTGATGTCGGTATGCGTCTCAGAGTTCGGCCGATCTCCTCGTGATGGTGAAATGAAGGTCGTGTTAAACTTGAAGGGATCTGCATCATGAAGCTGTACAGTGCCTGCAAGCAGTTGGAAACTTGACCTAATTATTTCGTGAATGCAAAATCAGCTATATATATATAGCTACTTACAGTATTGTGTCGTGCTCAGCAGTAATCTTGACTATCTGCATCTCCAAGGTCTTGCAGTGATCATGCAATGATTGGAGTTGCTGGTTTTTGTAAATATATGCGCCCTGAAAGAAGGTAAGAAATCAATAAACATGTATGCACTTGTTGAAATGGGTTGCAGGGTGGCTGCGTGACCCGTTGCATTGCTGCCAGAGATGTGTCATTGAATAGATCCAGACTTTCAGATAATGGAGAACCCAAAGACCCGAGTGGGGAAGGAGTAAAGTCCCCTCCCCATTGCGAATTCTGATACCTAGGAGTCGACTTTTGAGCAGTATTAAGGAAAGACATGCCATTAAAAACATGAGAGCCTGAATCGCCGCCAGAGAACATGTTGGATGGAGGCAGGAAGTGTTTACGCGACTTACGCGACTCAAGGATTTCCGGAAATTCCCATCGGAGTTGCGATACTAGACACAGATATTTGGCTTACTCCTGGGAGTAAGCCAAATGTGTCTAGTATATCGCAACTCCGATGGGAATTTCTGGAAATCCCCGAGTCGCATAAACACTTCCTGCCTAAACTGACTGAAACATAATGGCAAACTCTAGCACCGTCAATGTGTCTTCTGCGGTCAATATGCTTGAAGATGTTATACTCCTTGATATTGATGGCATTTCTCCCATCTGGGATACATATTCATTTGATCTTGACATAGCGTCTCCAGGCCAAAAAGTGAGTTTTCATTTGGTAGATACAGATGTGTTTCTGATATAATTACCTCAGAGAGTTGTCCTTCGCTTTAAAGACATAACCCGCTTCATTCGATATGATGTGTAAGTTCGTCCTGACATTAACTCCATGTACTAACATTGGTACCACCGTATCAGCAATAGTCTTGATACTATTGTTGATATCATCAAGGCAGATGACGTAGCGAGGATGGACGACACAGTGAAGACAGAGCCAGTAATCACCACCATTGATATCAAGACGGAGGACTCAGAGGTCATCAACAACGAGATCAAGACAGAGGACACCAAAGCAGAGGAACTTGACGGTGTAACATTGCTTCCAACATGGTAGCACTCTACATCTTATATTTTTCTCACTCACATATTGTTGAAGCAGCTGTGAGGTATCTCCGTGCAATGTGCTCACAAGACGCTGTGGGAACCCAAACGAGGATCCGAAAGACTTATTTGTACCATGGCGCTACACGGTCCGGCCATTCGATGTGTCGGACATTGCTACTGAGGTAGCAAAAAGAAAGAAGTTATTTGAGGAGATCGAGAACTGGGGTAGGAAGCGACTCCGACTTCTTTGATGCAGATATGCGATCCTTTCATTTGCTTGTCAGTTTTGATACATTTTTTTGATGCAGGCATCTGATTCCTTCTTTGCACGTCGCGCGTCAGTCTATTTTATTGAAGTCACTGTATTTGATGCACTGTACAACAGCACCAATTGTACAATATATTTATTCAATGCCTTCATTGTCTATGTCATTGTCATCGTTGTCTTCACCTGCACCATGACCGTAAGGCACTCCAAGGTTTGATACATCTAAGCCAGGCTTCTCTACCATGAAGAAACAATCCTCTGTAACTCCTGAAGGCAATGTTGGCCTGTGTGGAACCATCACAACAATGCTGATGATTTGTTTGACATCGACAATAGAAACAGTGTCAAGGTGAGTGCAAGATGCGACAGTGTGTGAGGAGAGGCGGAGTAGATCTTCATCTGGTAGAGAGTACATTCGAATGACAGCGACATCAGCAAATCGCCAATCATCATCATGGTCAGTGTCCGCTTTGACAGCAAGTCTAGTGAAGTACAAGACTTCACCAAAGCGATACTGGCCTTCGTGCTTGAACTAAAACGAGTCAGATAAATACATACATGATTTAGTTTGAAAAATTAACTTTGACATTACGCGACATGCGAGTTTGCTCGAGTGACTTAAGGGTCTCCCTCCAGGCAGAGCGTGCTACCTGTCCATTTGGTAAGAGTAGCCGCGCCCAACGTTTGATGCAAGGAAGTATACGACCATGCCCCAGGAAATCTTGTATGGCTTCTGCAACATCTCCGACTGCAGGGAATAATGGGTACCTGTCTTGTTTGTGCAACAGTATATACCCATCACCCAAATCAACAGCGCCTGGTGGAAGTCCTTTTGGAGGATCGCCGAGTTCTGGCATTGCAGATAGAAGTGTGTTAACTCTGCAGCGTCGTACTCCCTCTTGCGACAAATTTGCATAAGGCTGTGATGGCTGGCGTATTTCTTGACCGAGATTCCCGATCATGCGCTCCATTGTCCATTGAGCATAACATATGGGAGGACCTTTTTGGATTGTCTCTGAGACAAGATGAGAGGTTTGATGTACGCAGGGCCGCACCATCTGGAGATGATCTTCTTTGAGCTGGTAGTACAGTAACTCGAACTCACGCTCCCAGGTACATAGAAGTTGGTAGGTATCTGCGATATCTTGCGAAGTGATTTGATGCTGGCACATGAGCTGAAATCCGCGTATGAGCTTGCAGTAATTAGTCCAGTACTTTTCAGGGAGGGTGCCATAGAGTAGTGCTGGCGCGAGACCAAACATGTAAACTTGGAATTCCCAAGTTTTGTAGCTAGTGTTGAGTTTCTCTGCAATATTGCGTGGTTTGCGATCAAATGAGCCGGGCAGATACGGACCTGCTTTCTCAACTGCATCTCCGTGCACACACCATGTATCATCATCTTGAAGTACTGCCCAATCCCATGTACCTATATCATCAATGGTACCACAATCCATTGTCCTGTGCCAGAGTGAGAGAAGCAGGTCATTGAGATTGCTGGCTAGATGCATAGAATCGGTGGTCATGCAGAAGGGAATGCCAAGACAATGAGATGGGGAGAGGCCTAAAATGAGAGGAGGTTTGGTGAGACCTGTCTCAGTCTTCTGAATGTCCAATTGTCGCTGGCTTGGAGAGGATACAAGTCGATACAGGTTGTCAGCATAGTTGGCAGAACCTCATTGTGTGCACTGCCTGGTGCACACCGATCTCGTGGCTTCAGAAGTGCAGGGTAATAATGTGTCCCCCGAGTTTTACGTCTCCCACTTACTTTGCAGTAGATGTGGCAGCCATTCTTGCCGCTGTGTCCAACCATCCCGGCCCAGTAAACAAGGCCAGGTCCATCAGCGGTTGTAAAGATGAGGTAAAGATCTGATCGGAAGATGAGTTCACGAGATGCATCCCACACAGTGAGCCCTTCATTCTGAAGAGCAGCAAGGTGATGGAACCCAACAGCAAGAAAGGAGTCGAGGTTTTTTGGTTTGTTTGGCCCCAGTATAAACCTGCCTGGGCGTACATGCAGTTTTCGATAGCGCTTATCAGGTGATAGGTTGAGAATGACCCATACGTACATCCAGCAATCTGACTGCTTGCTTTCATAGAGTTGGGCGCCGTCCAGTGAGACCATGAGGACTATATTGTTTTCCTTAATATCACCATCAACAACAGCCCTGAGATAGTCATATCCCATGGCAATATCGTCAATGATGGGGATGGTTCCAGTTTCTCGGAACTCTGCAAGGATCTCCTGTGTGCGCTCGTAGAGGTAACACATGCTGCATGCACTCTCTGGATCCCGGTACAATGCCTGGAGTTGCGGACCTAAGGGTATAGTAGTGAATGTCTGGGCAGCAACCTTTACCTGTCCATTGCTTGCATGTATCTTTGCCTGATCCCAGCGAGATGTCCCACACATGGGACAGTGATCCTCATGTGCATACGGACCAGTAAATGCGAGACACGACTGCAGACACATGTCATGCACTATCGGCTCGACACCTGTATATTGCGCAATGAGCTTTTCGATGTTGTAGAAGCTCAGAATCTTGTCAGCACCCTCTGCTCCCACAAAGTTTTGCATAGTAGCCCTGCGTATACGGTCATATGATTCTTGCGAGGAATGCTCAAGAGCTAGATACATCGCGATACTCTGTCGTGTACCCAGACTTGCAATAAGGATAGGCTCATTTGGTGAGTTACGAAGTCAAGCAAGTGCATTATCACTAAGTTTTGCAATATGATCTTCTAGGGCAGCATTTTTCAGCAAAAGAATATATTCCATCATATCCTTGATTTTCTTGAGAACAGCAGTCTCCGCGAGTTCCTCCACATTAATTATAGGCTGCTTTCGGCGCTCAATTGTATAACGGTATGGGAGTGGGTCTTCGCGCGGAACTGGAGGGTCGTCAGGGAGTGGGTCTTCGCGCAGAACTGGAGGGTCGTCAGGGAGTGGGTCTTCGCGTGGAACTGGAGGGTCGTCAGGGAGTGGGTCTCCGTGTGGAACTGGAGGGTCATCAGGGATTGGGTCATCGTGCTCAGTTTCCTGAGGAAGAACAGAGTAATCAACAATTATAAGTCGCAGCATTGAAAGAATATGTGTACCATGTTGTCATCATCAAGTTTTGCATGCTTGCGACACCCAGCCCTATCATTAGTGCCTTCTCTCTCTCGTGCACGTTGTACAAGGGCTCAGAGTGTTTCCATGCGACGAGCACTACAAGAAAGAGATGCATCAGTAGCATTGGACTGTGGAATGGGGGGATTGCTTAGGGTAAGTGCTATGCCACCAAGCGCCTTTGCAGAGCGAATGCGCTGCTTTTCCTCCCCGGTCGTAGCTTCGTCCAAATGACAATACAATGTTGTAGATGAGACTTCGTGTGGTAGACCATTGTTATACTTGCTGCAGACACAGAGATATCGAGAAGTGGCCTCAGTAAGCTGAGAACTTGAACTCGGAAGCATGCTTTGTGCGTTACAAAGTTGTGATTGTGCAATACGAAGTTCGTACTTTACAAATTGTGATGCAAAAGTGCAAAGAAATGTGACACAATGTGAAGGGGTTGGTGTATCGATACAAAAATAACACAACACAACATATTACAAAACGGGAAAGTCACTGCTAGCATTTCCAGGCCTATCCGAGCACAACCAGTTCTCACTGGGGATCAGTGCCGATACATGGACAGGAGTTTGAACATTGGGACCATCAACAAGACAATCCCAGAGAAGCAAGGAAGTTGTTAGTGGGGCCATGCACTCATCACCAGAGTCTGATCCATCTCCCAAGGCAGCAGAAGGCATCACAATGGCCACAGTGTTTTCTTCAACAACAACAGCCACAATGTGCGAGCTCTTCTTCTTTGTGGCGATGTATGTGGCAGTCACAGTTTTGTAGCTCGCACCGTCCGGGAACTCTTTGCTGCAGACATTAGATGTGTGTCCTGCAAAAGGTTCCCTACATTTGAAGCAACCGTTGTTGTCACGTAATAGTCTCCACTCCTCCTCTGTGAGGGGTGGTACACGCACAAAGGAGCCTGTTTTCCTGCTAGCGCCAGACCTTGCGTTGTATTGTGTCAACAAGGAGAGTTTCTTGTCCCTGCCGTTGCGAAAACATTCAGCATGGATAGTGGCCTCTACGGCCTCCTTCTGTTTCACGAGTTGTCGCAGATGCTTCTCATCCAACAGGTGTATCTTCTCGATCCAAAGCCAGAAGCCTACAGTTGTGGAGACTTTCTCCACATGGTATTTGTTCGCAAGTTCGGGATGCATGTGGGCTTCGAGGTGATAATGGAGGTTAGTCTCAGAAAGATGCAAGGTCGTACCACGAAGCAGTGTGTTCAAACTCTGGATGTCCACCGCCCACTTGTTGAATGGCTTGCTACCTTGGCTTGATGAAAGCATCTTCTGGCGGGTGATGTCGGCCTAGTCCAAAGGCAGCCAGTAAGCGCGCACTTCTTTCATATACTCTTCGAACATTAGCTTGTCCATTCAGTCTTGATCATTAAGATACTATTCTTGTATTGAGGGCTCTTGCATACCCCATGCCACCTTACCCACCTGTTCTGTAGCAGGAACTTCCTTGTGCTTGAAGAACTGGCGACATCCCATCTCCCATGTGCGTAGCACTTCAGGGTTGAGGTCGCCTGGTGTTAAGAACAGTGGCTTGGTTGGTCCACACGAGCGATTCTTGTAGAATTCACCACCATTGTGTGTATATGCATACTGGCCGTAAGAATCCGAGGACAATGATGAATCACTGTTGTTGGTAAGAATATGCGTCCATTGCGCGGACTGGGGAATTGTCGGTAATCTGACAGATCTGGTGACAGACGGCACAGTGTGTGAAGAAGGTTGCTGACTATGACTTTGTGTATTAAGAGGTTGCAAGACAGACGGCTGTGAGCAATGATATGACAGTTTGATAACAGTTTGAACGGAACAGTGCAGACAGAGAACGGTGCGGAAACAGTGTGGTGATTGATTAAGTAAGCTAAGCCAGTGTCATAACGGTTTACGCTTTGAGAAACGTAAAAAAAAAGTGGAATCCACTTGTGTAGTGGAAACACTAAGAACAAGTCAGACTGAGGTACATTGTTAAAGCATATGAGATTAGACAGAACAAAAGAAGATATCTAATACATGAGTATGCGTTCAGTATAAATACACGTCAAGACAAATATAAGTAAACAATGTGGGGTATCCAATCAGTGTCAGATGATGCATCGATGACGTGTTGATGATGTAGCGTAGCATAAGCAAGGCTTACATCTTTACACCAAGCTTTGCCAGCAGGAACTTTGTCTCACTGACTCAAATTAGAATGTGAATGTTGTGTACTATCACAATATTTATTGACATTCATTGAACATGTGGTATACTAGTTGTACATCATTGGTGGTATACTACATGAAATCATAATACTTTGGAGCATAGAGAAATAGGCCCCTGAGAGAAAGCAACTCCTGTAGCGCTGGCTCCACCTAATTATACCTTTTGCCCTCCGGTACACAAAAGAGAGCTATGAGTAAGGTGGGTAGAGCTCAAATAAAGGTGTTTGCTTAGCTGTATTTGAAAACACACTTATGCTGAGCCAGCAGATAATGGACACTAGCATCAGTACCAATGACACTGCAGCTATATGTGTCCATACTGAGAAGGCAAAGATATTGGCTGGGATGGTCATTGACCTAGTCTCAGGGTCATATATCATGGCTAAAAAAAGAAGTTTATGTCTAGCATTTTTCAAAAGTTTCTCAGCCTCCAGTTTGGTCCCTATGTATCGCATAGATATTGCCAGCCTATGAAGGTCTTCTGCAGAAACATAGACAAATAGACGAACATGCATGATTCCATGGGCAGGTTTACTGGTGGTGAAAGCCTCATGCATATGGATAGCTAGTACAACATAAACAATACAACACTGACATGAAGGTGAATCAGGCTCCCCTATATCATGATTAAGTTTGTTATAACCCCCTAGGTGACGCGTCTCGACTAGGCTGAGACTCATAATAAACTTGAGCAAGCCTCTTTGTCATGAAATTGTTTGTATTATTAAGAAGAATGCCTAGGAGAAAAATGAGGCCAAAGTGTGCTTTGACAAGTACTTCACAGGTGCTCAGCCTGAGTGAGATAGTTTAATTTTTTTTTGAGTTATTGTCCAGATAGATACTTTCATCAGGCCAGGGTCAGCCTGTTCTACTCACATCTGAATAGGTGGCACCCATTGTATAGGAAAATTACATGATGTTTCCTAGTCGAGGGATGTGGATAATACTAGGACTTCCCAACCAGGTTAAACTGTTCTATACTGAGTTAAAGAAAAAGTGAGACTAAGACTCAAACTCAACTACATTAATTGGCATGTAATATGATTAGTAAGGCAGAGTCAAGGAGCCACCACTATGATAGTAACAATACAAGTAAGGTGGGTAAATCTATAAGCTAGCACTCAAACATAAACAATACAATGTTTTGCAAAAAAAAACAAAGTTTCTCTTCACATGGTGTAGTGGGTTAATGTTTGGGTATGCTTCAGCTACAATTATGGGCTGATAGTGACCTTATGATACAAGATGATTTTATATATATATTTAGTATTCTTGGATGGCGGTACATAAAGTCCTACTGCCCATGATGGATGTGTGATATTTAATAATGAGTGTGTGTATCTGGCTTTCCATAATAAAGAGCAATAATATTCACAATATTAACTAAGAACTACAAAATATCAGGTTTTACCCCTAAGTATTAGAGGAACCTTCTCTCCTTTACTGGGATAGAATGATGCTAAGAGTTAGTCCAATATCTATGTATGTATACAGAAATCTGGAAACATAGGTGAAAGTAGCAGTAATATTTTCGGGTTCTATGTCTTATGTAATAAGACATAAGGCATTATAGACTATAGGAAAACATGTAATAATGCTATTTACAATGTGAGTAATGTGCAAATTAATGAACTATATACCTAACAGAGCTAGCAGAATATAACATAGGTAGGACAAGTACACATCATATTTAATTGGCTGATGTAAAGTCTAAGTGCCAAGTGTCAGATATAATGGACTTTTGATGAAATAGTTTCCTACACTGGCACCTGGTCTTATTGGGGTGCTGGCACCTAATATTGCTCAGACACTAACATCTGAAATTGCTAGTATGCTAGTGCTAAGTGCTAGAGATACTATTAAAGAAGGGCCATCTGATATTCTATAGGTGTTGCTGTGCAATTGTCAGATAAGCCAAGTTTATTAGTGACTGGCTGGCTACTTGATACAGGTCTGGCTATAGGCCTAGTCAGAAACTCTTCTGTTGATTGATTGTATTAGTAAACACAAGTAATAAGAGTGCAAGTTTGATATATACTCTTATAGTATTGAGTTTCTATCTGCTAGTGGATCTTGCTAATGATGAAGAGTTGTTCATTGTGGTGCTAGTTAGTGAGTTAGATAGAACTGTTAGTAACTTATCTAATCATAATCACATATATTAAACTTAGTTACATCAATAATTGATGAAATACATGCTTCTATTTAATTCACTATAGTACATTGTACAAATAACAAAGAGCAGTAGGATTTCATAATAGAAATGAGTTACAATATACCAATAAAGACTATTCAAATAACATCAAGAAAGAAGTATTTGTGGCCATTGGATCATACTTGAGGGCTATGATCAATCTAAAAAAGTAGGTTTATTAGTCATTTCATGTTCTAGGGGGCAGGAAACTTTTACTTTCTGTTTCATTATAATCATTATCAATGGAACTGTTGAATTATCCCTCCACATCAGCCTCTTTGCTAGACTTATACTCTGTATCACTACTGTTCAGTAACTTATAAGATTTGTATCTCTTTTACAAGTGGTAATATTGATGACATCTGATAGAGTTACTCATCAACTATAGCTAGAGACTTGAGCTCAAGGGCATATGATTCCTTTAAGTATTCTGTATTCTGCTATAGGGCCAGAAGTTCTTGACTTACTAGAAGTTTCTTGAAAAGACAATAGATTCTGTTATTCTCAGTTGCTTCTTCTCCTTTTGCTCAAATACATTAATGAGTAGCTTGTTGTATTTTATCTCTTAAATCTCCCAGCCAAACCTTATGATAGAGACTTTCTCATGCAGCATGTTTGACATACACTACTAGTTGTATAGCATAATTTGACAAAGATGAGAGACTGTTCAAAAAAATGTCTCACCCCTGCAATAGTTGAATAATTTAGGTTTCAAATCTCATACCATAAAGACAATTCTGGACAGATACAGTCTGTGCCTACCATTGTTTTTCAAAGATAATAAGTCAATGCATAGGCAGAATAAAATTAAAAATCTATTAAAAGACAAATATATGTATCTCTTTTAAATCAATGGAGGTATCTAACTGACATTACTATAGACAACTAATGATAGAGAGGTTGAACAGCTGTTGGAGAATAAAGTTCTCATTAATATGGTTAATAATCTTCTGAAAGGAGGCTTGTTGGACATTATACATGGTCTACTTAATTTTTTTGGCAATATGTGGTATAATGATTTATTGTATGCTATAGGCTTATCAAACTGGTGTAGGTGAGGAATAATAGCTAGATGAAAAGGGATGAACATAAAAGGAAGAAAGAAGTGGGGTAAAATTTAAATAAACCTCTAGATGCAAGTATAGATTTGGCCTAAGGGGATTACTACTGAGAATGATTCCTCTAAGTAAAAAATAATGAGAGAAAATCTTAGAACTAGTAAGGGTAACTGAGAGTAGAAGAAATGTGAAGGTTTGTACTAATATGAGGTAAGCACATTATAATGATATAATAATAGTTAGGTACTGCATAAAGCAAGCACTTAACTAATAATATGTGCATTATGATGTTGCACCGCCTAGTCTACTATACTTGTGTGACAAGTATGTTTGACCTAGGGGTCTATAGTCTGAGAATAGTTAGAATGTTAGTGATATAATATACAGTCAATAATCTGATAGTGGAAAACAATGTCTGAAGGTCAAACTATAATGTTTTTGGATTTTGGGAAAATGAGTATTGAAAACTAATGAGATAGGATAGTGAGTATCAGAAAGCAAGTAGTATATATGAGAGTAACAAATGACTGATATCAACTGTAAAGAAATGATAATATTCACAATGTCAACTAAGAACTACAAAATATTAGGGTTGACCCCTAAGTATTGAGGAACTACTTTCTACTACTTTGATGATTAGTGATACTATGGTTAGTCCAATATTTATGTATGCCCATGAAAATCCAGAAATGTGTAGGCAAAAGTAGTAGTGAAGTATTTCAGATCCAATATTTTGTAAAAAAAACATGAGGTGCTGCAGACCATGAGAAAACATATAGTAGCTGTAAAGAATGGATTCTGGCTGGATACTTTGAAAGT